TAAAGAAAAGAAAATGGGCCTTGAAAACTCCCCTTTCCTTTTCTGTTCAGTGGAAGACATATGTCTGGGGTTAGTTCAAGAGACATCTTGGATATCATAAGCAGGGGGGCTGAGATAAGGGGACAGGTCTGCTTTCTCTCCTACCTACCACTCCTCCAGTCCCATTCCCCAAACTAGTGGTCCCACCGGCAAAGTCTGCAAGCCCCCAGCCTCAAGAACTATGCTCCATCCAACCAAATAGGCAGGTTAGCCTGTGCAGCTGTCCATCTTCTGAACTGACGGCCTCCCTCTGCTTCTGTTTCTCCCACAGACTGGCTCTTCAGCATGGTGATGGTCATGTGGTGGATTACTTGTGTCAGCCAGTCATTGATTACATCCTCAAGAGTCAGCTGTACCTGAATGCCTCTGGCTAAAGCTGCCTCGGAGTTGCACCATGGCAGCCCTATTACTCCACTCTCCTACGGTTGTTCATCACAATTCTCTCTCTTCTCATTTCTTCTCATTGCCTCTTGTGTGCATCTGCCTGTTTCACTCTGATGTCCCACCACCACTACCAAATGCCGGGAAGTGCTGCATACAACAACCAACCGAGTGCGCACTCCATCCAGTAATCTTCCCCTTCTAGTTAGGAGAGAAAATGGAAGAGAGGATCAGATGCCACGTGCCTCAGGGGGACAGCTTTGGTGTCTACCTTCCCAGCATGCATTATTAGGGGATGGAACATTGCATACCTTTCTAGCACACCTTGGAAGCCAGGAAGGTATTTTCATAATACATCAGCTAAATAAATTTCAGTGGGCCTTTTTATTTTTAATGCAGGGGTTTTTTCCTCTCCTCTATTTTTGGTTTCTAAAAAATTGCTGTGATCCATTCAAATTAGAATGTGGTTGGCAGAAGGAGATTCTGACCCACTTGGTACAAAGCCCAGACTTTTTAGGTCAAGCATGGAAGATTTAGCTTGAAAAAGAAAGAAAAAGAAAAGAAACTGCCCAAATTCTGGATTGTGTTATCTGAAGGAGGGGAATTGCTGGGGAAAGGATGAAAGAATGGCAGGGAGGCAGAATTTTCCTTTGTAAATAGATGCTTGTTTCTAAGGGCAGGGGATTTAAATGGGTTTCCTGTTGTGCTTTAATCCCTTTTTTAAAAAGAGCACTCCCTAGAGTAGAATAGCGACACAGAGCACACCTGCCTGGGATGCTGCAAGTCAGTAACCCACCTTGCTTGTTCATGGAATGCCTTCAATAATTTGTCCCAGATTGGCTGTGTCCTCTTGGTTTAAAGTGTTTAATTTTCTGCAGAAACTCATTTGGCTTTTCAGCACTTGTGGTGTCCACTGCACCCTTGCTAGTGTGATTAGTTCAGGCTCGTTCATTCGCAGCTGTTTCCCTCTGTCAACATGCCTGCCTCTTTCAGCCTTGTGGGCAACTGCAGTTAGTTCCACACTCAGGAAGAGGTATTCTCCCCCTCCCCGAAACCTCAAGGAAATACCAGCAGCTGCACTCGATTTAGTTCTCAAAACAGGTAGCCAGTTGTGATTGTGTTATAGCTAGTGAGAGGAATTGTATTATAGCTAGTGAGAGGAATCAGTGAATGTCTGTCAGGAAGAAATGCAATATGGTTCTTCAGAAATAATGTGTCACAACAAAACCATGAGTTGCACTTCCTCACTTGGCCCCACTAAACAGAGTTAGAGGGTAGAGAAATGTGTCAAATGCCTGAGGGGTTGTGTGTATTTGCTTGATCTGGGGAAGTATTCGCCCGTGTGATCCTCCATCAGCGACTCTAGAGTGGTATAGCCTCAGCAAGGCTGTTCCATGTGAGATTTCTACAAGCGTAGATCATCTATTGGCTGGAGTGAAAGCAATGCATACTTCATTCTGAGCTCTTGCATGGCTACATGTTTCTCACTGGACTTAGAGGTGACCATCTGCACTGAATACAGGGTGTGTCTCTGGAAAAATCAGTATTTAGAATCTCTGGCTGCTTCCGCGTTGGTGTCCTTGAGTGCTAATGCAAACCACAACCAGAATTGTAATTGTCTTTCCACACTATTGGGGATATTTCGCTTTTCTTTTGTTTGTCTGCTGCGTGACATAGATGCTCTGGATGAGGAAGAAGGTCCAAATAACCTGTGGCAGTTATTTGAGAGGGGGGAAATCCAGTTGTTGTTGTTTTAAACAAAGAGTCATTTATTTAGTACTAAGCACTTACTCATTTGAGTGTGATTGTCCATTATTACTAACAAAATGTCAAACAACCAAGTATTTAATGTTTCCTTTGTATTGAAAGTGTTGAATCAGGGGGAAACTGCTTGTGTGATGAGTGGAGAGGTTTCTGTCTTCTTTCCTTTAGTAATTTATTGTTAGAGTACTAAAACATTTTTTTTTAATTTAAGCAGTATTTTGCTACATTTAATATTATATATCAGAAAAGCATTTTAGTGCTATTTTAAATATTGATGAAAAATACTGTCTGATTTATAAAAGGGTGCCCACCACAAAGGTTATCATGAATGACAAACTGGCTTGCTCAATATGTCACTGCCCGCATCAAAACCCATATCATTTTTTAAAAGAGGATAAGAATAGTGCTAAGGGCATCCATGTATGTGAGGCTTGCACAAACCCCTTTTCAAGAAGATAAAGACTTTCTGTATTAGAAAAAAAGATGAAGGAAACACTGAGAAAACAAAGAAGGGGTATAAATGGAAGATGTCGTGTGGACTCATGAAATGTGAGTGAAATGTGGGCATGGGATTCCACCCTAAATACCTCCTCTCATTTCTGTTGCACATTCTAGCAGCTGCTACCCCTAACAAGGTATGGCAACCAGAGAGGATAGTGGCACACAGGGATGAGATTTGTGTCGCAACCTGGCATTATAGGACCACACCCCAAAGCATTCACTACCCCTTAGACACTCACTGCTGTCACAGGCAGATGTACAGAAGAGACCGTCTCTTTGATGAGAATTTTTCTACTCACAGAAGGCTTAGAAATCCTACATGACTCTAGATAAGTAGCTATTGCTGTCCTGTTCCGCGTTACCAACTACTATTTCCAAAGCACTCTCCTCTTTCACATGCCTCCGTTTTAAGAGCAGCCACAACCTCTTGCTGGAACCCACGATACATCTCAATGCTAAGCTTGCAGAGTGCAAAACCAAGAATGTGATCTTGACAGTTCTGGTTATATGTCCTCTGTGTGTGAGAGAGTGGAAAAGAGCAGAAAATTGTGGGCCGTTGCCAGAAAAGTTTTTGAAGGACACTTTTGTGGGGAGGATAAAAAAATGAGGTTAGCAAAGAAAATAGAGGGATGAATTCTCCATACTCTGGAACAAAAGATGGGTTATTCAGGCCACTTTCCTGTTTCATCCAGTTTAGGACAGCATGCCTTAGGAACATAGCATTGTGGTTCAGATGATGTATATAATGTCTTATTTGTCTTATCTTTGCCTTCATGTGCTCAGTTATGCTTATGGTTAGGGGGGAGGGGGAGAGAGAGCAGGGCGTAGCATAAATCTTGGATGATGCTGATGGGATTGGTTTGGAAAAGTTGGCAAAGAGTGTCAGGCCTTGACCCACACATCAAAGGAGTGGGGTTTTCCATTGCAGGGTGGGGATGGGGGGGAGAGGGACGGGAAGGTGACTGTTTACATTACTGCAATTTTAAACCGTAAAATTTGCTTTGTTTTAAAAAAAAGTTTTAAAAGGAAAAAAAAAGATTTGAATATGCTAGTTAGGTCATTGTTGCTAAAATGGTCATGGCCAAAACAAAACAAAATGTTTAAAAGGATGTAATAAAAAGAAAATTACACTAATGAAATTTGTGTTGACCTTCACTACTGTTTCCGTTTACTAGGTAAATTTCTGTGGTTTGCCAGCATAGCAACTAGTTAATGGGAATTTAGAGAATAGTTTGCTGGAAACAAGCACAGTTTAACACCTTATTTTATTTTCACTTAGCAATTATATTAAAATAGAATTCTGCCGTTCTTGCTTCATTTGTTGTAGCAAAGGTTTGATAGATGGCTGGTTATATGTTGTTAAAGTAGCATGCTGACACCACCTGCTGCTGCCTCTCCCGGTGACAAACAGGCTTATTCGCAGCACAGAATCCCATGTGAAAGGTCTGGTGAACAGGGAAAGGCAGATTAGTCCTAATCCAGAGAAGTATCCAGTAAGATTTCCATGTGCACCTGGGTTTTTATTGTACTTTTATTTCTGTAGCACAAGAACTCTCCCATGTAGCACCAGAAGCTGATTTCAAACTCTGGTGGGAGAGCAGTTGCTAGAGCAGGGCCTTTGTGTGTAAAAAACAAGAAGAGAAGCTTCGACCTCTTCTGGACTGAAAGTGAATCATGCTTGTCTGGCAACTACAAGGTCCTGTCTTTCATCTGTCTTGTGGACTGAGCAAAGAAGCTGGCCAGGCTGATGCCAGGACTAATCACTAGGTAGCAGTGGTAGAATGGTTGAGGGGGGATGATCACAGAATCAAGGCATTGACCAGGATCCCTCAGTCGCTGGGGCACACTGCAGCTACCTTTATCCAAAGTTAAAGTCGATTTCGCCACCACTAAAATGTTCACACTGTACGGGGCGGGGGGGGGGGGCGGAGGGAGAGAAGTTTCCAGAATGAGAAACACAATTAAGGAAATAAGCAGCCTTCTCAAACCATGGGGATTCATTATTTATTTTGCCCTTTTCACCCAACCACAACAGAATACTTGATATTTAGCACCATTATACACGTGTATGAAGTACTGTTTGAAGCAAGGGCATAGTTCATGTTTCTTTTTCCAACTACAGCCTTGAACGATAACTTAAAACAGAGTTATAAAATGGAAACCAACAGAATTATTCAGAGGGATTTTGTCTGTCTCCCACAAGAAAGTCTGTCCCTCCTTTCACTGAGATGGTGATTCAAAACAAGAAGCTTAGGCTGCCATCCTAGACCCAGTTACCGGGGGTAAGTTCTATTGCATTCAGTGGGACTTTCTTATGAGTATATATAGGCTTGCACTGCTAGGCACCTTTACCAAGCTATAGCCTAAGGCCAGGTAGGTGGTTCTCACTATATAGCCACATGAGGTTAACAAAACACTCTTGAGCTTGTTGTAGATAATCTACTAGAGACACCCCCCATTTTCATTGTAAAAAAAGGGAGGAGAAATGAAGCAAGAACATATTAAATCACCATTGCTGCCACAGGCTTCTACAAGCCTATATTTATTTTCTACAAGTAACTCTCAGGGCTTCCCCTGCCCCCCCCCCACACACTCTGAGGGACTCTGGGAACTGTAGTTTGATTAGAGTATTGAGAATATGCTGTTCGATATCACTGATTTCCCAGAATTCCTGTGGTGAGGCAATGCTACTGAACCAGTTTTAGGCCTATGCAAGCTCTCAGTGGCCCAAACTTATCCCATCCTTGAGGTTAAGAAACATTAGATGCTAAGAAAGATTTTCAGAAGGAAAAGCAGCCTGCGAGATGCTAAGTGGGAGAGTGAGAGTTAAGAGTAATTCATGGTAATAAAAAGGTTTTAATGTAGCATAAGTTAATTTAGCCGGGTTTAACTTCCATCTTATTACATTAGATCAGGCTGGGAGAAAGGAAGGGTAGGATGGCGGACACGTAGTTGGGAGTTCAGATTCAGCTGCTGGCTCCGAGCTTTGAACTGCGGCCACACACTAACCCAGGGCACATACCTTCTCCTAATATATTCAGCAATAATCATGTCTCTTTAAATTCAGCTGCTTTGTCGTGCAGCCTGCAGGTGTCCCTCTGGCTTCCCAGGAGTGGGACAACTAGGATAAACTTTATGTCTCCATGCTTGATGCACCAAAGTGGAACAGCTGCAACATAAACCAGAATGATGCGGCTGCTCTTCCAGCCTGATGAACGGAACTTTAAAAAGATCTATTCAGCAGTCACATGTGGCTTTTTGAGTCCTGAGAGGCTTGGGTCTTTTGAAGCACTCAAAACCGTTTGCCTAACTCTGATGCTTTGTGTATCCAAGATCTAGCAGAGTACATGGAAGTCTTCTGTCCCAGCTTCCAAAGGCTTCAAGGTTTCTCAATGGGTGGTATGTTGTAGCAACTTGGGGGAAGACTATCCCGGATTTCCTCCAGGTTCTTGATATCATCAAGGATCTCAGTAATGCTCCATTCCAGTGTCTGAATCCGAAGTTTCTGACGCCTGGCTGTTTCCTCCAGTTGCGCCATCAGTTCTTTCAACTGGTTGTTTCTTGTTCTGACTTTACTTAGGTTCGTTTCAAGCATGATCACACCTTGCTCATCCACAAACTCAGGTTGGTCTATACGAGGAGGTAAAATAAAAGGAGAAGTCAATAGCAAAACCTTCTGAGCAAGCATCCCTCAATCTACTTGGTTGTTGAAGGAGCTGTCCCATAATCCACAAACCCAAGACTTTATAATAGTGTTGCCTAAACTTCTGATAGCCAAAGCCCACTTTTGTCTGAATTAAATTTAGAGGCAGGTTCACTCTACTTTCAAAATACTGACTTTTAGAGGCTGAAGGTAGCAGGTACCTCCTACACCTTCAGAGGACTCTGTGTGAGAAAGTGTTCAGAGTATGACCCCTGGTCGGAAGAAGGCACATCCAGAGCAATGATTCCTGGAGGGATGCAATAGACAGTTTCCTCTGAAGGGAGGTGATCGAACCAGCAGGTAGTGCAGAGATGCTGTGTAAGTTTCCAGAGAATGACCGGGAAGTAGCCAATTTAGGGATCAGAGAAGCATTCACTTAATTCCAGCTTCATTCACAAATCCCAGTTTGACACAATCAGATACAGTAATTAAGCCTATTGTCCATTGATAAAACTGCCATTGTAATGTTATTTATTCACTTATGGATCCCGGATTCTAGAAGAAGATCATCAGCTTTATTTAATAGGTGAACATCGGGATTCAGAAGTGGTCAATAACCCTGGATTCTCTGCTACCCCTTGCTGAAAACTGACCCTAAATTAGAAGATCTTAGAAAGGCTTTCATTAAGGTAAGTTTCCAAACAATGTTCTCCATTGTATGTGGGACATTTTTAATGATACTAAGCAATCTGTGATTTTGCATTTGTGGATAGATTTTGAATTGTAGACCGTTATTTGTTTACAACAAATCAACAAAAACAGTCTTCTTGTAGTAAATAAATATGCAACCATAGACAACAAACAATGTTGTCATCAAATTGCGAGAAATTCATAACCCATACTGTCTCTCTGCAGTTGCAGCCAAGAAAATCCAATCAAAGCTTCTCCAAAAGGCTTAAATTTATTGTGATGGCAATCGCGTAGTATGAGTGGTAAAATTTATGATAGGAATTTCCCTATCAGTCACCCAAGCTATTTATAAATCTAGTCCATGAGCTACCCTGTGATGTTTAATTCGGTAATTTTATGCTCATAAAATTTCTAACAGACTGCAATTTGTGATGACTAATGTTGTTTAAAAAACTTGATACAATCTTATTTATTTAGTGACATTTGCATTCCACTCTGCTCCTCACTTGCTGGCAACAGAAATATACAAGCTAAATGATGCTAAGCAACCTCTCCAGAAGCACCTGCATTTTCCCCATAGGTAACTGGATTTCCCCTGTCCAAGCAATTTGAGAACGTTATGACTCCATCTACTACATGTGCTTGCCCCACTTTACATCCACAGCCTGGATGGGATATCTTAATTTGGCACACGTGCGCAGAGTCCAGGGCACGCACTGCCAATGTTCCCCCTGCCATGCATATTGGGTCTGCAGACATTGAGCTCTGCATACAAAGCCTTTCAAAAGGCTCTGTGTGTGATACCTGGGTGTCAGACAGGACAGGTATGCATAACTCCTCCCATGCAAATTCATACTTACCTGAGGGGACTGTATTAACTGCTGTGTCACAGGTGTGTGATCATGGGTGTGATTCTTATAACTGAAATAACCAGCAGCCTCAAAAGAGTGCAATTTATCACACAACAGTCCTGCAGCTTCATGAACTGGTCCTGGTGCATGTAATGTGTTAGAAATGAAAAGATCTTGGATCTGAAGTCCTAACATTGGTAACGAGTTAAAACCACAATATGCTTTGACACACCGCAAAATGCTGCACATATTGAAGAGCAGCTGGTATGTGGAAAAATATAAGGCCACAGAAATATGTTCCCACAGCAAATGTATGTTTGCCATCCCACATTTGCCAAGATGTGGAATGTTGAATGTGGAGAGGGTAGAGGATCAAGAGGGATTCAGCACTCCAGTCTCCTGCTTGCCTGTTCTCCCCACATACAGCCTGACCTCTCGTTAGTGTTTCAAGACCACCACTGGGTTAGGGACTCTCTCATGATCCCATGGTTTCATCATACAAGGGGAATAAAAAGCTATCAGTTAAATTTTATGTCTTTATTTGAACCCATAATATTTTGTCCAGTTGTGTTTTAGACTTCTTCATCCTATGTAGCGGCCTCTATATTTCTCTCTGCAACAGAGGATCCAACACTACAGGGATTTTCATTGTGGGACAGTTGCATGTGGTGCCTCAATCTAGGCTGTCAGTGCCCAGCTAATCCTTAAGTACAGTGGTACCTTGGTTCTCAAACTTAATCTGTTCTGGCAAGTCCGTTCGACTCCCGAAACCATTTGAAAACCAAGGCTTCTGATTGGTTGCAGGAGTTTCCTGCACCCAAGCGGAAACAGCATTGGATGTTCGGCTTTTGAAAAAGGTCCACAAACCGGAACACTCACTTCGGGGTTTGTGGCGTTCGGGAGCCGATTTGTTTGACAACTAAGCCGTTTGAGAACCAAGGTACCACTATACTATATATTCCAATCAATCAATCTCATATGATTAAGCTATCAATAGAATAAATATTTTTAGTCAATTACCTTTCACCAATAAATTGATTATTTTTGTGTATCATCAGAACTTCAGCAGAGATACTGAAGAAAGTGTGACATAGCATATGAATGCCACCTTTATTTCTTCTTGATCCCTTCTCACTAGAACCAAAATGGCCTCCAAAAGTGAACAAGTCTGCCCTTAATGGTCTTTTTTTTTAAATAATAATTTTTATTTGATTTTACAAACCTAAAGTTATAACTATACCAAGTCCATGTACACCTTTAGAGATTTATCTGAATCCCCAGACTTCCCACCATTCCCTCCATGGGCCTTATTGTTAACATTTTCAGCTGCATATTATTTCATGATCTATATTTTGAATCTCTCCATATTGTCCATAGTAATTGTTACACTGCAAGTGTTATTAAAATTCTGCTAATGTTCAAGTCTACCCGTAATATTCAGCTGCACCAACAAACATTTGCTCTCACCTCTTCTAGCTGGTTCCTGCTTATTTCTTCCAACTCTAAGATTCTGTGCTGGAATAATGTTTCCAGACTTAATAGGAAATATAATTGCTGCTTACCCATCATGCGCAAAACATCTTCCAAGGCACGGAGGACTTCTTGGACTGTGCTCCCAGCATCAGTGGCGTCTGCCTGGGCACCCTGTGACGCCTGACCAACCTGAAGAAGCCGCAACAATCAAACGTATTATTAGCCGGCTTTCCTCCCTCAGCAGGTTCCTTTAAAACCCCTTTTAATAAAAAGGCAAAAAGCTGCAAACTCACTTCCTGAGCTCTGGTTGTATCCATGCCAACCTCCAACTCCTTCCTTTGTAACTCGCTCTCCACACGTCTAGCCTCATCCCGCAAAGAAATGATTCCTTTCTCCAGGACTAATACTCCATCTGCTGTCCTGTTTGCTTCCATGGCCAGCCTTCCTATCTCCTGCAAAACAAAGCCAGCCAACCGCACAATTATAAGGTCAGAGTCAGTGGCAATGCAAAGAAGACTAAGACAGGAGTTACGGGTAGGTGAAGGAAAAGCCTTGGTGGCTTGAGGTGCAGAAACAATGAGCAACTGCATTAGGTAGATGGTAAAAAACCCACAGGTATCTGTGTATACAACCAGTACTTACAGTCTGTGTACTGGGGAATGAGGGGCATGTCATGTATGATCACATTTCATTACATTCTGGTGCAGATGTAGCCACGTGGCTCCTTCCAGATGTTGGACTGTAGTACCCATCAGCTCCAGCTAGCTTGGTCAGGGATGATAGGATTGGCAGTCCAAAAACATATAGAAAGCACCACATTGGCTAACCCTGTTGTAGTCTGTGTAGTGTTTATATTTTACTTCTCTGTAAATCGTATTGAGACGTATTGAGTAGTAGTAACAATAATAATAATGCTACAGAGTACCAGAGCCAAGCTCCTGCAAACCACCTCTAGCTGGGCTACAGCTAAGGATGAAAGGGTCTGTGGAGGCAAAGTCCAGAAGTCCTCTGCCAGCAACTTACTAGCTGCTCTCAGTCAAACCCCATCACACTAACCTACCTCACAGGGATGTTGTAAGAATTACTGCATAACAGTGTACATGTAGCAATTTGAATTCTCCAAGCGCTGTGGAAATGCCATATGGTGTACAGCTAGGGTTGCCATATTTCAAACAGTGAAAATCCAGACAGAAAAATTGTTGAGCTATTTTTATGGGAAATCGGCAACCATACGTCCGAATTTTCCCAAACATTTTTCCGATTTCCATGTGGACACTGCTGCTGACTGCAGTATTCCGGATAGGTCCGGGAGACTCCGGACATGTGGCAACCCTATGCACAGCATATCTCCCTGCATTTTAGTTTACATAGTTTTGAATAACAATATGTTATCCAACCTAGCAGTTCGACAGCACGTCAAAGTGCAAGTAGATAAATAGGTACCGCTCCAGCGTTTCTATGCGCTGCTCTGGTTTGCCAGAGTCATGCTGGCCGCGTGACCCGGAAGCTGTACGCCAGCTCCCTCGGCCAATAAAGCAAGATGAGCGCCGCAACCCCAGAGTCAGTCACGACTGGACGTAATGGTCAGGGGTCCCCTTTACCTTTACCTTTTATCCAACCTGAGCTTCCAGCAAACGTTGGATACAAGTCTGAATGAACAATTCCAAACCAGGCTGCTGCCAGCCAGGTATCCTTGATCCCACCTCTATTTCCTCACTGCAGATCTCTGGAACTAACACACTTTCAGTCCCCCCCCCATACCTGGTCGATGTCCCCCGCAATCTCCTTTGCTTCCCCAGCCATTCTCAGGGCTGCCTCTGCTTCTGTGGCTGCAGTGCCCAGGGCTGCTTCTGCGATGCTTGTCTTTTCACTGGCTCTGGTGACCATGCTGCTGATGAACGGGAGCCTTTGCATGGCGTCTTCAGCTTCTTTTCGCTTGTTCCCTACTTGAAGATCGAACCCTGCAAGCAGAAAGGGTGGGAGGGAACCCAACTGAATAAGGAGCCGTGTTAGTGCAGAGAGGAGAGGTCTGAGCCAAAAGTACTGAGCTGGGTCCTGACCAGCTTCCAACAGCTTATGGTTAAAGTACCAGGCAGAGAATTAGGGAGCAAGAACAGGGCAAGGCAGAGAACATGGAGGCCTTTCAAGCAGAGGCTGGGCAGCCAACGCTCTAGCTCTGAAATTCCTGCATCAAATTTGGGATTAGACTGTGTGGCCAATGCGACCCTCTTCTTCTGTGATTTAGTGCAGGTGACCCTCTAATAGGGATGGGCAAATCTGTCAATTTTAGTTTCTTATTTTTCCAATCTTAAGCTCAGCTCTCCACATTTCCACAGCAATTTGCAAATCCTTGTGAACATTCACCAGCCTTTTAGGACAATTTCTCCTAATAAACTTTTTTTTAGTATTTTTGAAAAGCAATTTTGTATGTTACTTTCACAAATATATGCACTTGAATCGACACTTTGCTTACTCATTTTTGTACACAGTGGTTGGTTGCAGAACTGCAGTGCAAAATTCAAACAAGTGCAATTTTGGGGGAATTGCTGAGTTTCAGTCTGTGTACTGGTTTGAGAAGTAAGAATTAAGTGGCTTTTCATTAAAATGCAAACAAAGTCAAATATCTCCCTCATCCCTACCCTGGAGTTTATTCATTATATTTATACCTTGCAAAGGCCTAAGGACCTCCAGGGCAGCTTCCAAAAAAAAAAAAGAAAAGACCCAAACAAAAGCCATGAAGCCTCTGAAAAAATCTGCAATTAAATCTAAAATTAAAATCCAACTTCAACATTTAAGGGCAGCAAGCTGCAGTAGATTAAAAGCTTCCTTAAATCTATTAACAATCAACAATCAGCCTCACCTTTCTTACTGAAATAAAACAGCTTTTCGTGGGGGAAATTCAATGTTGCACTACGATGATTATTCTGTCAATGCTTGCCATATGGAACAATTTCCCCTCTCCTCCCCCACCCTCCACTGTTCTGGGGGTTCTCTCAACCATCCAGAGTAGATTTGGGGAAGCCACATTGTCTCAGGGAAGAAATTCCAAATCATGAATTTGAAAATGTGCAGGAACAGACAGCTAAAGAAGATCAGTGTGTCACATCTTTATATTGGAAGTCTCACCTTCATGACCTCTAACCAAGTCAGTGGCAGACTTTGGGCTTTAAAACTTCAGTGGTGTCCTGTGTGGTGCCAAAATCCGGCACCCCTCTGCCTCTTACCTTCCATTGTTCGTCATTGTTGTGGTGCCCTCTTGGCTCAGTGGGCAACCTGGTCACACTCCCCTAAATCCGCTTCTGACCAAGTTCTCCTACCTAGAGAACCTGGCTGCCCCTTGATTGCCTATACCTCGCTATCTGAAACTACACCAGCCTTTTCCAAAAGAACCAAACTGCCAAAATGAAGGGGGGAAAGCCATTGGATTCTCTTTGTTTACACTATTTACATGCAAAACCGTTTTGATGCAAATTTCAATTTTATTTATGTTGAACTCTGAACAAGGATGCCATTGTTTCTTCTGGCCTCCTCCTCAATGAACTCGCCACCCATTACTCAGAAAACCCGCCACCACAACACACCTGCAAATGGTCTAGACCCAGCAGTTGTTAAGCAACTCACCCTTGAGATTCTTCAAGATGCTGTCCACTTCATCAAAGGTGGCATTGCCAGCACTCAGTGCCTGCTGAGCTTTACTCTTGGCAAGGTTGGCACGAGACAGCAGTTGGACAGACACCTGCAACAAGCAAACAAAATAAATAGCATGAAAATACAGCCCCACTCCCAGGTCTATAAAAATGCCCTCTATTCAAGGACACTAATTAAAAACTAGTTTGTTTCTACTCCTTAAGTGAAATAGACATGCCGTAAAAACATGCCCATAACACTTGCCTAGAAACCCATAAATGGCTAGGAATGGATTAAAGATTTCAGGGATCCCAGAGCCCTTTACCCAATAATGGTCTCCCTGATTGCTAATATGGATGTACTTTACCAGTCTGTCGTTCTGTCCTTTTTGCAAGAGCTCTTTGATCTCTTCCTCCCAACGCTCCGAGTTGCCTTGGAGCTGCTTGTATTCTGCAATGTACATTCCCGCTAAGCCAGTTAAGGAATCTGCTTTCTTCCGGAGCTGACCGGCTTCCTCCTGAGAAAAGCATCACTTGGTTCAGAGCCCTTCACAGCTCTCACAAAAAGCAGCCTCTCTCCACCTCTAGCAAGACCACCCATATCTAAGAAGTGCAAACAACTGTTGACAAAATAAGGGATGGGGAACCGGTGGCCCTTCCAGTGTTGTTGGCACTACAGCTGCCATCATCCCTGATCACTGGCCACACAGCCTGGGGCTGATGGGAGTTGGAGTCCAACATCTGAAGGGTCACATGTTGTTGAGAGAGAGAGCGCACACACACACACGCATGCACACACACACATACACACACACACACCCCTCACCTGAAAGAAGCTTGTGTCGACCTTTGGTAGGCGAGCCAGAGAGTCAAGCACCATCTGACTACTCTGGTAGACCCTGTCAGCATCAGACACAGCTTTGCCAGCATCAGCCTCCAGTTTGCTTGAGAGCAACTTTACCTCATCATATCTGAAATGGGAAGATAACTTTTGAGCCTAGGCGTGTGAAACTCCTTTTTTCCAAGGGGTATACCACATCACCAAGTTAATGTATGAATTCAGCCCAAGAAAGGGAAGTGGTTCTGCTTCTGGGCTCTCCTATCTACCATGATTATTTGTGGCCAAGACATCCAAGCATGTTGTGATTCTCATAAACCGGGACAGGCAATGACTGATTAACGTGTATCCAAAAGAGCCGTGAACATGCATGCGCCGAACCCAGAAGTGACCCCAAAATGTCACTCAATGCGTCACAAAAAGGACAGAATGGGGGCAGGGTGGAAGGGGGTGGGGTGCATTTATCTGCTCCCCTGACGCACATGGGGATCAGGAGCCAGTCATTGACTGTCTTCTAATTCTGAGAGCCCCACTAAGCCAGAGGGGAACCTCCATGATCTCTTTTGCTGTTCGAAGGAGAGACTCTTGTGCAGGCAATGCAAGGTGAGTCCATTGTAAAATACTACTTGAGACTTTTCTGCATCTGATAGTTTATTCTTCATCATAATTCAGCACAAATCACTTGGTTCAAATCTCAACTCAGTCATGAATTCACAAAGTGGCCTCAAATGCCTCAGCTCCTTGCAAAGTTGTTGTAAAGAATTATCGAAAAATATGTCTGTGAGGAGCTTTGAATATTTAAAACACACTATATAAATAGCAAGTGTTACTATAATTATATATTATTATGAAAAGTATAGTAAATGAAATAATATGTTATTATAATAAAAATAAGGGACATGTTTTAACATCACTCTTAAACACCCGGTTTTCTGTGACATGAATTATTCAGTTGACTTGATCAGATCTAGTTTGTTAGTTTTTGCCAACTCTGAAAATTTCCATCACATTTTCTTGGAGTTTTTTTTTCCCTGGGAAAGGAGGGTTCTAATACCCTGCTATATTCAACTTAACAGCATATAAAAGGTTGATAACTGTCAGGGAACTGACATCAGAGACACGGGAGAAGGAGAGGGTCTCCGATTCTGCAGGTGAAGGTCCTAGCACAAGGGGGAGACTCAGCTCGATGGAAGGGGAAGGAAATACGCATTACATCAAGTGTCCAGGAGAGCAAGGGGAAGAGGAGGTGGAAGGGCTCCGGGATTCTTCCCTGGAAGTCAGTGAAGAGAGCCCAGGCACTCCGCTACCCACGCCCACCCTGCGCAGGAGACTCCCGCGCAATGAGAGGCGGAGACGATTAGGTGTCAAACAGCTTTTATGCTGGCAGAGGTTTAAGAAACGCCCACAGACAGATTCTGCCAGTGACTGAGGCAGTCAAGCGGAGATGGGCTGTGCAGTCCGAAGGGTTTAACCAGGCAACCAAGCACCCAAACGGGGTCGGCTTACGCATGAGTAACTCCAAACCACTACAATAACAAACACAGTACCCTTAGTTCACACAAAATAACCAGTAATATGTCCCATGGGGAGCTCATAATCATGCCTCATGGTCATATTCTTTCTATAAAAGCCTGTCCATAACATTCCATCACATTTCAGCATCTGTAAGAAGCAGAACTCTGGGCAGGACACGGCATATATGGAAAGAGCAAACCTGAGTCCCAATTAAAGCTGGGCTCCCCAGAAGCTTCACCATTATAGTTTCACCAACCACCCTACAGAACTTTCTCCCATAAAAGTCAATCACTGCCATCTACTCTGACAGAGACAAAGGCCAATGCTGAGCCTGGGAATCAGTTATGATGAAGGGAAAACCTGCTCTCACCCGGCCACCTTTCAGCAGATCCAGGTTTGTGGGGGCAAGGAGGGGCTTGGGCAAGCTGCCTCCAAAAGCACCCCCTCATCTGTTGCCACCCCTGCCCATTCACCTGCCCTCTCTATCCTGGTTCCTGCCCCTCACACTTGTCACTCTTTTCTCACTCAGAGGAGGTGAATAGGAAGTGAAAGCAACCTATGAATGTTTTCATAAATTACATGGAAAAAATAGGTTCCCAGGGCGTCGCTTGGCTTAGTTTAGATTAAAATCCCACTGGCAATTAGAATGCTCTTCACAGACTTATTAATTGAATACAGACATCAAGAAGTAATGAATTATTAGGAACCGTTTAAGGGAGGCGGGAAGTCAAGTTACAAATCAGGGAGACGAGCCAAAGGGTGTAAAGATGTATAACTGAAAATGTTTGTTTTTTGATTTTTGTTTTGCTTTTTATGTTTTTCTTTTTTTCCTCTTTTCTCTAGTTTTCTTTTGAATATGCAATATGTATATGTATTTGTAATATGTAATACGTAATCAAAATAAAATATATGCATAAAAAAAGAAGTGAAAGCAACCAAGCAGAGGCAGCCAGGAGGTCTTGATGCCCTCCAGAGGGAGCCAGTTTGGAGAAGACTGCTTGGGAGTTGGACGTGGGCTCAGCAGATGTACAGTGACAGGCATCCTTCGTGCTGAACCGGCCTGATACCTGGTAGCTCAACCTCCTGATGAGAGGGCTCCCTCAGAGGGATGCAATCTGTCTCTGCGTCAGGGGTGGGAACATGTGGCCTTGCAGACCTTGCCAGGCTCCAACTCCCATCTGCAATCTTGTGGGCCTTTATTTTAAGACATGCTTCCTGGTAGTAAACATATTTTGCACCTTGCGATAAACATTATTGTGGTAAGCAGCTCCGAATTTGGAATTGCATTACATCTTCATCACATGCACCAAACAGGATTTGGAGCCCCTGTTAACTAACCTCTCGCTCCCTTGTCTTCCATGTTTTCTTTGTTTCGCCTATTCTTTTCACGCAAGTGCTTTTCTTAATCTACTAAGCATTTTTCCTGTTGGGATTCCCCTTTTGGATCTTAATCAAGCTGGGAATTAGGGACTTTCCAAGCTTGTCATTTAAATCCTCAACAATGGTCAATTTATGGTAAGAATTGCACCCCAGTCAGAGAACAATGGACTAGGAAATGCTTAAGCCCTCATCAATACTGTCACTTAATGTCAACAGTAAGCTTCCTGTACCACTATTAATTCTCCATTAACTTTCACCCTCAATCCAGATTTTCTCATGCGCTCCTTTTTGGAGAACCATGGAGAATTAGGGCTTTAGGGCAGCAGCTGAAGAAGGAACAAAAAGGGTTTTCCTGTGTGAGTTTCTTGTGGCTGTTTAGCTGCTCTCTCTGGGCAAAGGTCAGAGGGGGCAGGGCTTCTGTTGAGGTAGGTGATTAGCTGTGGGAGGAGCTTATCAGAGCTTTAGGGCAGCGGCACGCGCCTAGCGGCGCGCACAGTTTGATCCATATTTTAGACTTAGGGGAGCTAGTCTCAAACATTTGTTGGGGGAGACCTAGGTTTTTTGGGAGGGATTTATTTGTCCTGTCTCCACACTTTTTATGATAGAGGACCACTGTAGTCACCCCCAACGACACGTTCCCAAGATGGAGGGTGAGGGAACAGCTGCAGTTGCCTGTGGTTCCTGCGCAATGTTTGCCATCTTGCCAAAGGTTGCAGGCAGCTTTACCTGCAGCAATTGCATGTTGATTGCCCTTTTAAAAGACAAAGTCCAGCAACTGGAGGAACGTGTAGCTACGCTCCAAAGAATTAGAGAGCTGGAACTCTTCTTGGAAGCAACAGAGCACACCGTCTCCACCAAGGAAGAGACAGGGGACTCCCCTGAGAAGGTGGCTAGTTCACCAACACAGGAGCCAGATATATGGAGAAACGTGACTCAAAGAAGTAGGAGGCCCAGGGTTCGCTCTGATTGTTTAGAAATACGCAATCGCTTTGAGGTCCTTTCCCCTAGCATGGAAGACGAAGAGCAGACTCCATTTGAGGATCTCTCCCTCATTACAGTCGATCAGGTATATGAAGACGAGGAGCAAAGGCAGTCCTCTGGGAATGTCCAGGCGACCTTGGAACGGACAGCTCACAGAAGAACCCCGACCAGACCTAAGAGGAGGCGTGTAGTGGTGATAGGGGATTCCCTACTGAGGGGAACAGAAGCAGTGATCTGTGGGCCTGACAAGATGTCTCGGGAAGTGTGCTGTCTCCCCGGGGCTAAGATCCAAGATGTAACTGAACGACTGCAAGGAATCATAAAACCCACTGACAAATACCCCTTCCTCTTGGTTCATGTGGGAACCAATGACACTGCAAGCAATAGCCTCCAGAAGATCAAAAGAGATTACGAGGCTCTGGGCAGGAAATTGAAGCAATTAAATGCACAAATTGTCATCTCATCTGTCCTTCCAGTTGAACGACGTGGCCCAGGGAGAGAGGGAAAAATAGTGGAAGTGAACAACTGGCTTCGCAAATGGTGCAAACAGGAACGGTTTGGATTCTTAGATCACGGAATGCAGTTTCTTGAAGATGGACTTCTGGCAAGCGATGGGCTGCACCTCACAACGGTTGGGAGGAATGTTTTTGCAAAAAATCTCAGAAACCTCATCAGGAGGGCTTTAAACTGACTAATGTGGGGGAGGGAGACAGTGCTCCTGAAGGTAGGAGTCTATCAATTGATGAAGATGATCATCCAAATGTCATAGACCGAATGGAGCAAAGAGCATGCAGACCTAGTGGTGGGAGGAGAAAATCCTTAAATAAGAGACACGGGGGAATGATTAATGGACTTCAATGTCTGTACACTAATGCGCAAAGCATGGGAAATAAACAAGATGAGCTTGAGCTCCTGGTACAGCAAACTAAATATGACATAATAGGAATCACTGAAACCTGGTGGGATAAATCCCACGATTGGAATGTAATAATGGAGGGATACAATCTATTTCAAAGAAACAGACCAGACAAGAAAGGAGGAGGAGTGGCGTTATATGTCAGGGATGTGTATACCTGTGAAGAGATCCAAGATTTAGAACCTCAAAGCCAAAGTGAGAGCATTTGGGTCAAAATTAAGGGAGAGAAGAATAACAGTGACCTCATTGTGGGAGTTTACTATAGATCCCCAAGCCAAACGGAGGACATAGATGATGCCTTCCTGGAACAGATGGCCAAGCATGCAAAAGGAAGGGAGATAGTAGTAATGGGGGACTTCAATTACCCAGATATTTGTTGGATGTCAAACTCAGCCAAGAGCATAAGGTCAAACAGATTCCTCACTGCCCTTGCAGACAACTTCATTGTCCAGAAAGTGGGAGAAGCAACAAGAGGAACAGCCATTTTAGATCTGGTCCTAACCAATGTTGATGACCTGGTTAGTGGGGTAGAAGTGGAAGGATCATTAGGCGCGAGTGATCATGCTCTTCTGAAGTTTACTATACAGCGGAAAGGAGCAGCCAAGCATACTAGGACTCAATTTTTTGACTTTAAGAAAGCCGACTTCATAAAGCTTAGGGAAGTGCTGGGTGAGATCCCATGGACAGTAATACTAAAAGGAAAGGGAGTTCAAGATGGCTGGGAGTTTGTTAAGAGGGAGATAGTAAAAGCACAACTTCAGGCAATACCAATGAGACGGAAACATGGAAGGTGCCTAAAGAAGCCAGGGTGGCTATCTAAAGAACTTTTAACTGAGTTAAGATTAAAAAAGGATGTGTACAAAAAATGGAAAAGGGGGGAAACCACCAAAGAGGAATTCAAATAAATAGCCAGCACGTGTAGACACAAAGTCAGAAAAGCTAAAGCACAAAATGAACTCAGGCTTGCTAGAGAGGTTAAAAGCAACAAAAAAGGCTTTTATGGGTATGTTCGTAGCAAAAGGAAGAACAAAGAAACCGTGGGGTCACTCAGAGGAGAAGATGGTGAAATGCAAACAGGGGACACAGAAAGGGCTGAACTCCTCAATGCCTTCTTTGCCTCAGTCTTCTCCGATAAAGAAAACAATGCCCGACCTGAAGAATTTGGAGCAAATGATTCAGCAGAGGAAACACAGCCCAGAATAACTAAGGAGATAGTACAAGAATACTTGGCTAGTCTAGATGTATTCAAGTCTCCAGGGCCAGATGAACTGCATCCAAGAGTATTAAAAGAACTGGCAGATGTGATTTCAGAACCACTGGCAGTCATCTTTGAGAATTCCTGGAGAACAGGCGAAGTCCCGGCAGACTGGAGGAGGGCAAATGTTGTCCCTATTTTCAAAAAGGGGAAAAGAGAGGACCCAAATAATTACCGCCCAGTCAGTCTGACATCAATACCAGGGAAGATTCTGGAGCAGATAATTAAGCAAACAGTCTGTGAGCACCTAGAAAGGAATGCTGTGATCACCAATAGTCAGCATGGATTTCTGAAAAATAAGTCATGTCAGACTAACCTGATCTCGTTTTTTGACAGAATTACAAGCCTGGTAGATGAAGGGAACGCAGTGGATGTAGTCTACCTTGATTTCAGCAAGGCATTCGACAAGGTGCCCCATGATATTCTTGTAAAGAAGCTGGTAAAATGCGGTCTTGACTATGCTACCACTCAGTGGATTTGTAACTGGCTGACTGACCGAACCCAAAGGGTACTCATCAATGGTTCCTCTTCATCCTGGAGAAGAGTGACTAGTGGGGTGCCACAGGGTTCTGTCTTGGGGCCGGTCATATTCAACATCTTTATCAACGACTTGGATGATGGACTCAAGGGCATCCTGATCAAATTTGCAGATGACACCAAACTGGGAGGGGTGGCTAACACCCCAGAGGACAGGATCACACTTCAAAACGACCTTGACAGATTAGAGAACTGGGCCAAAACAAACAAGATGAACTTTAACAGGGAGAAATGTAAAGTATTGCACTTGGGCAAAAAAAATGAGAGGCACAAATACAAGATGGGTGACACCTGGCTTGAGAGCAGTACATGTGAAAAGGATCTAGGAGTCTTGGTTGACCACAAACTTGACATGAGCCAACAGTGTGACGCGGCAGCTAAAAAAGCCAATGCAATTCTGGGCTGCATCAATAGGAGTATAGCATCTAGATCCAGGGAAGTAATAGTGCCACTGTATTCTGCTCTGGTCAGACCTCACCTGGAGTACTGTGTCCAGTTTTGGGCACCACAGTTCAAGAAGGACACTGACAAACTGGAACGTGTCCAGAGGAGGGCAACCAAAATGGTCAAAGGCCTGGAAACGATGCCTTATGAGGAACGGCTAAGGGAGCTGGGCATGTTTAGCCTGGAGAAGAGGAGGTTAAGGGGTGATATGATAGCCATGTTCAAATATATAAAAGGATGTCACATAGAGGAGGGAGAAAGGCTGTTTTCTGCTGCTCCAGAGAAGCGGACACGGAGCAATGGATCCAAACTACAAGAAAGAAGATTCCACCTAAGCATTAGGAAGAACTTCCTGACAGTAAGAGCTGTTCGACAGTGGAATTTGCTGCCAAGGAGTGTGGTGGAGTCTCCTTCTTTGGAGGTCTTTAAGCAGAGGCTTGACAACCATATGTCAGGAGTGCTCTGATGGTGTTTCCTGCTTGGCAGGGGGTTGGACTCGATGGCCCTTGTGGTCTCTTCCAACTCTATGATTCTATGATTCTATGATTCTATGATTCTAATTAAAAGAGGTACAGGAAGCTTATTATCCACATTAAATGACCTGGGTTTTCCTTATCCCAGGAAAAGCTCCAGTCCTATTTCAAAATGCTTTTAGCAATCATGATAATAATATCATGAAATAATGATGATGGGACATGAAATCAACTGAGAAGAGAAAGGGAACATTCCCTGCACTGAAAAAGCATTCAAAGCAGCACAGTTGGACGTACTTTTTGTGGAGCCCTGGCACAGAGTTCACCAGGATGTCTCCTCCACTCGCAGATGACTGCAGCAATCCCAGTGCCTGCTCTGAGGATTCTGCCGCTGCCCTGGCTGCCAGCTCGATAGTATCTGCCAGCTGCATGTGCCTAGAAGGCAAAAAGAGACCACATGGGAAAGGGAGGAAAGGATTATTCACAGCCAGCACCCCACCTTGTCTCTAACCTAAATAACATGATGCAGCATTATAGTTAGCTACTTGGAGAAGTTTTTATAGCCTGCTCAATCCCAGGAGCAGGGTTCCAAGGGCTTGGATCCCAAGACCCACAAGCAGAGTTGTGTGTGTGAAATCAGCTTCCCAAATCCTCTCCACAACTGCAGCTACCTGTGTTTCCTACTATGTAAACGGCAGGAAGCTTTGGCTTTGCCTCTTCCCTCCCCTTCTTCTCTTTCACGCTTGCAAGCTTTTGCTTCCAGTCTTAAACAAACCACCATTTCCTGGGAACCCGTGGTTTGCTTTCTTATGTCTGAAACAGGCTCATGTCCTTTGTGTGCTGTGGTCACAGAAATTGGCAGTTGCTGATTAACATATGTTAAAACAATGCCACTTCCACCAGAAATTCAAGGTCTGGCATTCGAGAGCCATCACCAATGGGAATGAACTAGCAGCTAAAAGGTACCCCTGCCCGTACGGGCCAGTCTTGACAGACTCTAGGGTTGTGCGCTCATCTCACTCTATAGGCCGGGGCCCAGCGCTGTCCGGAGACACTTCCGGGTCACGTGGCCAGCATGACAAGCTGCATCTGGCGAGCCAGCGCAGCACACGGAAACGCCGTTTACCTTCCCGCCAGTAAGCAGTCCCTATTTATCTACTTGCACCCGGGGGTGCTTTCGAACTGCTAGGTTGGCAGGCGCTGGGACCAAGCAACGGGAGCACACCCCGCCGTGGGGATTCGAACTGCCGACCTTTCGATCGGCAACCCCTAGGCGCTGAGGCTTTTACCCACAGCGCCACCCGCATCCCTGAACTGGCAGCTACAAGGACCCTAAAACTACCTTCACAGGAGACCCCTGGAAATTGGAGTAGTTTCCTTGTCTAAAGGCAAAGACAAGTTGGTAACCATATCTGCACTTCACTGTTATAAAATTACTGCTCCTTTTTTAAAATGTTAGGTCTTGATGTTTTCAACACCAAGCCCAGTGACAGAAAGTATGTTAGGAGCAGCCTAGTGAAGATTATTATCAACTCACCTGTTTGCCAACTTCATGGCTTCTTGTGCCAGGATTAAAAATTGGTTTGACCCTCCAGGGAGGTCTAAAGATGGAATAATCTGCATGGGGGAGAGAGAAATATCAATGTGTGCTTCCAAGAAGTAGAGGATCCTATGATTACACTATGATTACAGTATAGCCCATGGGTTCTTAGGCTTTCCAACCTCAGAGCCCACCAGAGAGCTAAAAGCCTCTCAGCTCCACCAGTCACAAAATAGTGCATCTCAAAGTGTTTTTACTCATTCTCTGTAATTTCTTCTCTCTGTCTCCAGACCCCTGGCATTGGGCAGGCCAGAGCAGCACTGGTAGGAATTTGAAAGGGGTGTGCAGCGTGCCCCATAGACATATGATACATTGCACCTCACACCCTTTGCTAGGCATTTCACTGGCAAATGATAATAATACACAAGACAGTTTTTCAGAACGCAGATACTTGCCACGCTTCCCATCTTTGCCTTGCTCTGCTCCAAATCCAAGCGAGCTCTTGCCACAAGCTTCCTGGCATTTTCTGCCTGGCTCTGGTACCGACCACCCAAAGACTGCAACCTGTTGGCAGTCTCCGTGATCTCTTCCAGCCGGGTCCGGTAGGTGGACTCTTGAACTTTCATCTTGGACAGGCGGCTCCCCAAGGACCTGTCAGAAGCTTGGACATGAAGAAAGGATAACGTTTGACATTAGGCTGGAGAATGCAACATAAATGGGCGCATGGTTGGTGGTGGACAAACAGAGAAACAATTCATACAATCTGGGGGAGATCCCCACTGAGAAGAGGAGAGTTCATCTGAATATTCTCACTAAGTAGTCAGAAGCAGGGGAGAGAATGGACACAGACATGGAAAACTGCTTAACGTTATGACATGAATCAGGAATTGAGGGGAAAGACCAAGGCTGCGTACATATGACTGGCTTAAGACGCAGCAAAGTAGGCTGCTCCCGGCTACACTGCAACACACACGAGCCAGTCATTGTATGCATCAGTATGGCTGGATGTGTTTCCAAGCTGCTGTCTGCCTATACCACTGGGCAGAGAGGGGGCATATACAGTATGTCTTTGCAAGGCTAACATTTTTAAATTGGATCAAAGTTGGGGGTTTTGGGGGGGAGGTGATGCATCAAAATGCTGTATTTCTCAATAAACTACAGGCGGGTGTGGATTGTGACTAACATATGTACATGCCTTCACAAACAAGAAGAGGGAGGGCACTGGCTGCAGAGTCCGTGGGCGGGGGGACACAGCTCAGTGGCATAGCATGTGCTCTGAATGCAGGAGGTCTCTGGTTGAAAGCCAAGCACCACCAATTTAAAGGGCTGGGGAATACACACATTCACAAAATCATCACATTTTAGAACACTTTTACACCACTGGCAGTCCTCCTGTTTCTGCCTTCTAAAAGAATTAAGTCCCAGGAGATAGAAAAATAAGGCCTTCAATATATTGTGTGTTCAAGAGGGTTGTGTGTTAAAATTTTGCTTTTAAGAACTTTTTGTAGATACAGTGGTACCTCAGGTTACAAACACTTCGGATTACAGACTCCGCTAACCCGGAAGTAGTACCTCGGGTTAAGAACTTTGCCCCAGGATGAGAACAGAAATTGTGCGGTGGCGGTGCAGCAGCAGTGGGAGGCCCCATTAGTGGTACCTCAGGTTAAGAACGGTTTCAGGTTAAGAATGGACCTCCGGAACGAATTAAGTTCGTAACCAGAGGTACCACTGTACTGATGTTTTTGTGTGTGTACATGATTGAACCAAAATTAAGCATTGTCAAATCCCATTGATTCAAATGGGGGAAAATAAACATCTATTTAAACCTCTGTGGCTGCACTCAGCCACTTTTCTTCCTTAGTTCTCTTATAATCACATCAGACCATCCATGTGTCCCTATTTTCCAGGGACGTCCCTGATTTAGAGAAGCCGTCCCAGTTTCCGATTTGATCCTGGAATGTCCCACTTTTCCTTAGGATGTTCCTATTTTCACTGGAGAAATGCTGGAGGGTATGGAGTTATCCCACGCCCGAGCCGACTGAAGGCAGCCCTGTATAGGGAAGTTTTTTTAATGTATAATGTTTTATTATATTTTTATATATGTTGGAAGCTGCCCAGACTGGGCAACCCAGTAAAATTATCATTATGGAATGGGACGTTCCTACTTTCATCAGAGAAAAGTTGGAGGGTATGTCACATTCCAGAGGGATCTCGAAAGACTCAAGTTACCTTGTAAGCTCTGGGCATCCCGCAGGACTTGCTGGAGCATCTCCTCTGCCTCTTTCATTTTCCTCTCCAGCTCTCCGTTATCTCTTGACTCTCCACCAGTAAGAACCTGAGAGACCAGCACTTCAAGGCCCTGCAGTTGCTGGAGGTACTGGTCTACCTGGAAACAAGGTAGGAGAACTCTGTGAGCGAGGAACGGAAGACATGAATACAAGGCATGCAAAGACTTGGCTAGCAGCTCCAGAGTCTTCATAAATATGCAGTCTGGAAGATTCAAATCAGGTGCCTAAGAAGCTTCCAGTTCTAAATAATTAATATTTTAATGTTATCAGGTTATAATAATGATAATTTAGAAGAAGCTACTACCCAGATGTCATCTTAAATATTTTTATTACATTTGTGCTCTGCTGTTCCTCCAAAGGGTTGAAATAATTTACATGCAATTCCTAGGAGAATCCCATCCAAGACGTTTACTGGGACAGACCTGCTTGTTTGCTGGCAGACTGGCTGGCTTATTTATATATTTATATTTATGTTTGACCAAACTGCGGGAGGCATTGGAAGACAGGAGTGCCTGGCATGCTCTGGTCCATGGGGTCACAAAGAGTCGGACACGACTAAACAATAACAAATTTATATTTATATTTATTGATTAAATTAATTTATATACCGCTCTATACCCAGAGGTCTCAGGGCGTTTAGCATTTGTGCTTTCAGACCATTCTTCAGGAAGAAAATAGAAGGAGCTTTATTTATTTTTCTTTTCTGATTCCTAACCTTTTTGAGATTAAATAGTTCCAGTAAAATGTGACACGATTCATTGCAGATGCCCTCAATTAATCAGGCAGCAGATTACACTGTTTGCAAGGCCCCCATTTTAAAAGTTATTTTTACTACTTATGCGGTTTTATGCACACTTCCCCTTAACGCATATTTTTGGTTGGAAAACTGCATTGAGAAATTCGGAGCAGTGTGAATTTCAAAGCATAGCTTTGTTTTGGTTTGCATATTGTTTTTGGAATTAGATAAGCTCAAGTTAAAATGTGAACCAAACTAAATTTCTCCCCCATCTCCAGTGGGAGGTTTTGCATTAACAATCCTAGTTGTTCTGCACCCAAATAACAAAGCAGAGAGCAGGGTGTTGGCTAGGGACATTTTGTACACAATTGATAGCTATAGTCTTTGGTAACGAAAGTGCAAGAGGGAAAAGCCAACCTGAGTCTTCACTTGGTTGTAGCAGGCTGGGCAACGGGTGTGTTCGCAGCTCCGCCCTTCGAACCCTGGCTTGCAAATGCAGCTCCCATCACTGTGGCACCGTGATGGCTCAGAACTTGCAGAATTGCAATTGCAAGCTGCGTAGAGGAAGAAAAAGCATAAGGTCAGGAGGGGATAAACATAATGTATCTCAAAATGCATATTATCTCTTATATTTTCCAAACCCAATTTGGTTCAAATTCTTATAAAATCATTTGGGTGTGCATTGCTGGTAACAATGATGCCCTTGAAGCCAGCATTGACTTGCATGAGATGATGATGTATACTGTACCTCGGCATTTCTCTGCTGGGTTGATGGATAAAGGATTTCCAAAGAATCCGTCCTTGCACTTGCACTCTCCTGTCAAGTGGTTGCAAATCCCAGAAGCATTTGGGTCAGCACTGCTACACTGGCATGGTTGGCAGGGACGTGCCGGGCCGTTCTGACCCAAGGGGTCGCCAAAATAGCCATCAGTACAAAGCTCACAGTGAGAGCCTGAGAAGAGAGGGAAGAAGGAAGGACAAGCAAATGATGCCTTGAACAAGCAATGCACGAACTGCCTCTGAACACGATGCTGGCAATCCTGAGCATAGGGCGCCTACAGTCCTGCTCCACCCCTAATTTCCACAATCCATTTATGAACTGTCCACGAAAATTGTTGCAAGTACCACAAATGGCACGGCGGGGGGGGGGGAGGTTTCTCCTGGTTTAGTTGTGCTATAATGCAAGAGTGGCCCTCCAGGCAGCAATGATGCCGTTACATTAAGCACCACATAATAACTTAGAAAGATGAATAATGCGTGGATGCTCCAGTACAAAGCTTCCTCGTATGTACTTTTATTGTATCCATGTGATGCCACATTCAAAAATGCACCAGTCTGGAGGAGCCCTAACTCTCTGGGCCTGACTTCTGACTTTATCCCTGGACTACAGTACCCTGGTGCAAATCCTGGTCCATCTTCAGTCTAGCTGCCTAGAGCTCAGGCCCACTGACAATGACTAAATTTGATAAGAATCAGGAGGTGGGGAATGTGGATTTCATTATGGTCCTTCTCTTTCCCTGCCTGAGTCAGGGTCTGCCTGTGTTGGTGCTGTGAGTTCACATGGCTAATGTGCCTACATGCAAAAGCATTCCTTCCACACTGAAAAACAGATGTCAGGGCAAATGTTATAATCTAGTCTTCTCCCTTCAATGCTAGTTTTATATGTGAATGGATAGTATACGGGTGCATTCCCACCCCCCTTTTGGCAAAAAACTCTTCCCTCTGTTCTCCATTATTTTTCTTCATTGCAGTGCATTTAATCATGATCCCCTACATCAGGCTTCCTCAACCTTGGCCCTCCAGATGTTTTGAGACTACAATTCCCAGCATCCCTGACCACTGGTCCTGCTAGCTAGGGATCATGGGAGGTGTAGGGCCGAGGCTGAGGAAGTCTGCCCTACATGTTCTCTGAAACGGTACAGCACAGGCATAGCGAGGACCGGGGCCTAGAAATCCAAGTCTCCACAGAATATTGAAAAAGTGGTGGTGGGAAGTGCAATTTGAAGGAAAGAAGTGGTGGGTGGTGGGGTAAAGGAAGCTTAACGATTACCCTGCACATAGCTCTTCCTCTGCAATCCCAGCACCCAGCTGAACGCCTTTCTTCAAGCATGCAGCTGGGAATCCGGATGGGGAGGGGCTGGGTGGACAAGGGGGGTGCAGAAAAGAGTTAAATGCCCCTCTCCTACATCCCATCTTACCCCTGCAGATTTTTGCACGAGTGGTGGAGATTCAGGTTCACAAATCTGTGTCTGTCACGAACGTTTTATCGCTGGGACACACAGTGCACACAACACAGCTTTTGCTATGCTCCTGTCCTTCCTTAGGGAAAGAAAAGCTGGCCTCAGAAAGAAGAACATGCAGTCTGGTTAACCATCCGAATATGGGCATTACCTCCGGCTCCTGGAAGGCAATGACTGCAAATGACTTCCTGTGTCCCTGGCAGCACCGAACAGCCTTGGCCACCTTGGCACGGGCATGGCTGGCAGCTCTGTGGGCTCCAGGGGAAGCTGTAAAAACCAGTTGGGCAGGTGGCACTGCTTTCATCTCCAGAATAGCATTCTCCTGGATGGAGGAAGAAAGAGAAAAGGAGCAGCTGGTTAGAGTGGAGCTTTACAATATATGTTTCCCATTGCCTGAGGCTCTTTGCACACCTTACATTAGACCCCTGAGAGTCCTGGCTTTAAGGTTTGTTTCATTTGCGTAAATAAATGTTTGAAAATATGACAGTAAAGTAAAGATTCTGTGGGGAAAGGGGGAACATTAAAGTAGAAGTTGGTGGGCAAGATCTGTCAATTTCAGTTCCCCAAGTTCCTCATTCCTCCAACCTTAAATTCAGTTCTTTGCATTATGCCCTATAGACATTACAGCATGAGCAGGGAATATTTGTTTCCCCCTACTCTGGAAGGTAGGACTTGAACCAATGGCTTCAAGTTACAAGAAAGGAGATTCTGACTAAACATCAGAAAGAACTTTCTGGCAGTAAGAGCTGTTCAGCAGTGGAATGGTCTCCCTTGGAAGGTGGTGGCCTCTCCTTCCTTGGAGGTGTCTAGGCAGAGGCTGGATGGCCATCTGTCAGGGATGCATTAGCCGAGTTTCCTACATTGCACGGGTTGGACTAGATGACCCCTGAGATCCCTTCCAACTGTACAATTCTATGATTCTATGATTTGTCAGTATGGGAGCTATTGAAATAAATGGGTGTGACTTAAGACTGCCAGTTTCAATGGGTCTAAGTGTGATTAACACTAGATATGACCCACTGCATCCAATCTGGGCCAGGCAGTGATAGAGAGGCAGAGACCTGTATCTCTGGGGCCCTTGTCCTGTGGCGGTGGGCCTTTAGACATTGCAGCAGCAGCAGCACGGGATGTAACCCTGGGAAAGCATTTCCCATGCTGTGTTGCTCCAGTGCCTGAAGGTTACCTCCATCCCAACAAATATCAACCCAAATCCCCTCCAGGACTAGGTCTGCTAAGATTTTACCAGGAACTCTCAATGCAGAGTTGACTTCAAGACACGATGGACTGAATTTCCTTTCTGAAATCTTTAGAAGTCAACTGAGATTCTCAGGACTCAGAGGGTTTTCTCACACACCATCCTGGTGGGGATCCTACCTATGCAACACAATCCATCACACACCTCCCCATGTGCACACGAGTTAGCAACAACATAGGCACTACGTACATCCTGAATGGCTGCATGCATATCCACATGTGCCATCCCAGCAAAACATTACTTTGTACATGAAGTGGGAGAAGGGGCTTCTCATGCCCATTCTTCCATCACATGAACAAGATCCCTAACTGGATCACCGTGTAAAATGGCTCTAAGTGAGCTACTTGGTTTTTATATTAAGAGACCTGCTTGTTGCCCAAACAAATAAATAAACAATCTGTCTGCCCACAATAATAGGCTCTTTGACTGTGGTTGATCCTACCAGTATCTGGGTCACAGATTCCTCCTCCCTGGCAGCTGCAGAGCACACAGTTGCTGAGAGCACCGAGTCCAGCAGGATCCTCTCTCTTGTACCCTGGGGCACATTTCTCACAGAACTGCCCCTGGTAGCCAACTGGACAGACACATTGCTCCACCCAGGATGCTGGAGTGCCAGAGGTTGGCTGTGCCGAATCCAAAAGGACATTACTGAGGTACCCTGTGCCTGAGCAAAAAGAAAAAAGGAAGAACATTATAGTGAATATCCCCAAGAACACGACATAATAAAATACCTCATATCCCAGTATCTCAACTGGATCATGTCTAAATCAGAACAGAGCTGACATCTGGGGAGCAGATGTGGGGCACATCTACGCTACCATGGCAAAAGGTAAAGGGACCCCTGACCATTAGGTCCAGTCGTGACTGACTCTGGGGTTGCGGCGCTCATCTCGCTTTATTGGCTGAGGGAGGCGGCATACAGCTTCCGGGTCATGTGGCCAGCAGGACTAAGCCGCTTCTGGTGAACCAGAGCAACACATGGAAACGCCGGTTACCTTCCCGCTGGAGTGGTACCTATTTATCTACTTGCACTTTGACGTGCTTTTGAACTGCTAGGTTGGCAGGAGCTGGGACTGAGCAACGGGAGCGCACCCCGCTGCGGGGATTCGAACCGCCGACCTTCTGATCAGCAAGTCCTCGGCTCTGTGGTTTAACCCACACGCTACCATGGTACATTTGTTTTATATCAATTTATCCATCAGTGCTTCCTGAAAAGCATCCTCGGAACTGTAGTTTGCTGAGGGTGCTGGAATCAGATATTCTATTGTCCCCCCTCCCTTGCAGTGGTGGAGGAAGGGGGTGTGGAGGGTGCGGTCCACCCTGGGTGTCAACACTGAGGGGGGTTGACAAAATGAGTTTAAAATAAAAAAATAAAAAATGGGCTCATGGAACTTTTTAGGAGTGAGGTGGTGGCTTAGGGGCCTGCAGGTTCCACACTGCCTGAAATGGCAGCATGGGACTTGCCTCTGCCTACTGCCTCTCCCTCAGCCGCCCTACAGCTGAGGGGGAGGCGGCGGAGAGGCTCCAAGCGCAGGAGAAGCTTGCCCCCCCCCATGTGTGGATTGCCCCACCCCTGGCTGCAGGACAGCCCCCCGCACCAGGCACTCGCGTGGCTACCTTTGATCCTTCACAGAAATGCAATTTACCTGCAAAGAGGAAACAACTATAAAATAGGGTTTATAAGAGAAGACAGAAACAGTTAAGTAATAAATAATCAGAATAAATGTATATGACCCATTCTTTAGCCCAGATTTCACTATCCTACGCCCAACTCACTGTCTCCATAAGTGGCTCTGATCCGAAGAGCTGTCAGGTTCCCAATTAACTGGCGATACTCTTTGCCGCTCAGCCTAGGGCTCCAGTTGCTGCTTGGGTGCTCATCCAACCTGAGTGCAGGAGGTGATGAAAGACACGAGAAGTTATATGAGCAGTCTCTGCACCACCATACTTGTGTACAAAATGCAACGAGGAGTGAATTTTTAGACCCATGGAAGATTACAGCACACTGCTGTTGAACTGCTGATCAAAGGGAAAGGCCAGAACTGCAAATCAGATGGAAAAACAAGAACACTCTGTGACCAAGGAAGCACAGAATGTGGACAGGAGCATAAAATTCAGTTTACTCCAAGATTCAGTGAAATCAAAAGCAAATACAAAATTCAGCATTTAGGTCTTCACAAACAGTGCTTTCTTCAGTAATCCCAGAGTGCAACTTGTGTTTCCTTAATGATATTTTTTACCATCAGAACATGTTGCAACGTGAGCAACAATGGCTGGAATTCAACATCACACTCTTCCAGTCCTGTCTGCGCAAGTATTCCACTTTGCCAGAGAGAAGAATGCTGTTCTGAGGGTTCTCCTGACCACCCCTTCCGCTAATTTCAGGGGAGGCAGGGGGCACAAGGGGGAGAAGCACTGTTGTGCAAGCCAGAGTCCTTTTGCAAGGCTTCCACTGAGAGGGCTCATTAGGTGAATCCATCACAATAAAAGTGATTAAAGACAACTTAAGTTAAAAAGAAATAAAGTGGGTTTATGGACCAGGAATTGATGTAGGCAACTTCTCTGATTCAGGTAGCTTAACTGGCCTTTGCTGATGTTATTTTCATGACTTGAAGGACAGCAACTAGATCCTCCTGGGTAAGCAATAGCCAAAGCCAGCAGTTTTCAAGCTTTCCATCTTCTTGGAACACTTTCTGTGCTGACAACTTGCTGCCCATCGAAGAGGATTCTGGGACATGTACAAGGTACACATTCAGTTCATGTCAGGCACTGGTTAGGAACTGAGGGCCTCAACCCTACTTTGTGTGAACTGAGAGCATGATCTAAGGATGCATGTGCAAATCTCCAGAAGTTGCACGTTGCAGATTGGTAGCGGAGGGCAAGCTACTTTTGAGGAAAACTTGTCTATCATTGCTTTGAGTTGCACTGGAGGGTTTGACATATGAGTGTTCTCTTACGTCCTAAGCATTTTACCTGAATGTATAGGTCCTGCTGGCTTTACAAGGCAACATCCTTCCATTAGGCATGAGTGGGGCAGTGATTCTTAAACCAGCTCCTTCCAATATTACATCATGCTGTGAAGGGTGACGTCCAGGTCGGTTCACACGATAATCAAAAGACAGCTCTTGGCCGTAACTCAGTTGATGGTTCCCAAGGAACCTGGCTACAAAATACACACAAAAGAAACACAAGGTCAAAGTGTGGCATTTGCAAGTAAAATGCAAATGTGACCTGTGCCACTGTTGACCTTGATTTGACAGGACTAGCCTTCGGTATAGAAGGAGAATTTCAAAGGACCCCATCAATACCTATGACCTAAATCCCATTGATATCAGCCTGCTTGAACATGAAGACTAAGAATGGAGTGCTTCAAAATTTGCTCTCAACTAAGGTCATTGTGGATGACACAAGTGAAAGGGCCTTTTCTATGGTGGCCCCACAGCTCTGGAACTCATTCTCATCTGACTACCAGAAGGCTAACACACTCCAATTCTTTCCAAAAGCTTTGAAGACCTGTTTCAGGTGGGTTTCATGTGACTGACTGCTATGAAGGCTGAGATGTGTTTCCTTTAATTGTTTTGCTATGAAAAGTTTGCTTTGTATCATGGACTGCATATGGATTTTTAAAATTAATGTTGGTTTTCTAATTTGGGGGATTGTTGTAGAATTATATTGTGTTTGTATATTATGTATTGTGGATAGTGTACTGAATCTTTATTATGTGAATCACCATTCATGAATTGAACTCAGACGGGTAGCCTGTAAATATTTGAAAATAAAATGAAAAAAGAAAAAACATGTGGCTGTCAGTGGGCTCTAATTTTATGGTTAAATGCTTGCTTATTTATTTAATTTGAATTCCACTTATCAGATAGAAATCTTTCAAAGTAGCTCATATCAACCAAAATGATTCAGTGCACACTTAGGTGCATTTTGAAGATTTATTATTTCTGTTTTGAGAAGGTCATCTTTGCTTTCCCATACTCCTTAATTGTATTCATTTTAAGGACGCTATAGGCATCTTTTTGGGTATTGTTTTCTTGTAGATATTCTCATCAAATTTGCAGATGTCACCAAACTGGGGGGCCGGGTAGCTAATGGCACAGAAGACAGAATCTGCATTCAAAATTACTTTAGCAGATTGGAGAACAGGGCCCAACCTAACAAAATGAATTTCCATAGGGACAAATGTCAGGCTCTGCACTTAGGCAGGAAGAACCAGATGCACAAATATAGGATGGGGGACGCCTGGCTCACTAGCAGTACGCATGAAAAGGATCTAGGGGTGAACCACAAGCAGCAAAAAAGTGAATGTTATTCTAGGCTGCATCAACAGAAGTATAGTGTCTTGGTTAAGGGAAGTAACAGTACCACTATTCTACCTTAGTCAGACCACACTTGGAATACTGTGTCCAGTTCTGGGCACCACAATTTAAGAAGGATGTTGACAAGCTGGAACGTGTGCAGGGGAGGGTGATCAAGATTATCAAGGATCTGGAAACATAGCTTTATGAGGAGTGCTCGAAGGAGCTGGGTATGTTTAGCTTGGAAAAGAGGAGACTGAGATATGATAGCCATATCTTAAGGGCTGTCACATGGAGAAAGGAGCATGCTTGTTTTCTTCTGTTCTGGAGGGTAGGACTCGAGGGAATGGCTTCAAAGTACAAGAAAGGAGATTCTGAATATTCGGAAACACTTACTGACAGTAAGAGCTGTTTGGCAATGGGAACAGACTCCCACGAGAGGTGGTGGACTCTCCATCCTCTCCATCCTTGGAGGTTTTTAAGCAGAGGTTGGATGGCCATCTGTCAGGGATGCTCTAGCTGAGATTCCCGCATTGCAGGGGGTTGGACTAGATGACCCTTGGGTCATCTACAATTCCATGGTTCTAGACATGAGGAAAGTGACATTCCAGCCATGGATTTCAGGATTTGTGGGTGGGGGTAGGATATAATGAATGGATCTATTGCAGGGGTCAGCAACCTTTTTCAGCTGTGGGCTGGTCCACCACCGCTCAGATCATGTGGTGAGCCGGACTATATTTTGAAGGGGAAAAAGAACCAATTCCTATGCCCCACAAATAACCCAGAGATGCATTTTAAATAAAAGGACACATTCTACTCATGTAAAAACACGCTGATTCCTGGACCGTCTGTGGGTCAGATTGAGAAGGCGATTGGGCCACATCCAGCCCACAGGCCTTAGGTTGCCTACCTAAAACCATGCCACGTTTTCTGAAAATTCAACCTAGTCTTGTAAGCACACTTTCAACACACATTTAAAATGGGGCAGAAGGAAATTATCCAGAATTAAGAGCAATTCCTGTTCTAACTTGAGTGTTAGAATTGTCTACAAGTCAGCAAGAATCTGTACTAGGATTTCTGCATGTAAGTGGACCAACAGGTGTCAATACGTGAGACATTTGATAATACTGGCAAATAAATAGTGAAGTTCAATGGTCCTTGTGGCTGCTCCTGTTCAGCACGGGATATGGAAACACATACCTGGAGCCATGAAATAGATGGGATCTGGCCTTCTTGCTGCCACATAAACTTCTTTATAATGTGAAGACCACTGGAGCTGCAAAGGAGACCCATTTCCTTGAGCTTGCCAACCTTCATCACCTGGAATACAAGGAAACCAACAGCTAATTAAAATGAGCTGGAAATCCAACCATACCCAACGATTCAGGAAATGTGATTGGAGGAAAGAAGCAACAAACAGCTCTTTTCATATTACATGGTCCAAAGGAAAGATATGCCATGTCTCCAAGCTCATGACAGACTAGTGATGTCATATGCTTAGGAAAGCACTGTATCACAAGAGGTCACAGGACCCATTTTTACAGTAAGTAGAATCAGGCAGTAAAGCTTTCTGGACTGTAGCAAGTACTTCAAGTTGCTGGTGAGAGTGCTGAGCACTTGAATATTGACCCATGAAAAGAAACCTCCCCCACACCTAGAAAACTAGCATGTTGGGGTGGGGTGGAGAATTAACCTAGCCTTCTCCCCAATATGCTCATTTTCTATCTGCAATACTTTTGGGTGGGGCATTTGTGACATGCACTCTACAGCTGCAATGTGCATTCCAGAGCTGGAGAAACACAACAGTTTTCTAGAGAGATGAAGGTAGTGTGCCAGAGCCAGCATTGTCCATTATGTGCAAACACTGATTATCATCTGTGCCAACATGTTTCTATACTGCATCAGAAACCTCCACAACCTGTTTGACCAAAGATGGTCATGGGAGGACAAGAGAAAGCTGTGCACCAACCATGCTAAATAATGTTTCTGTCATTCCAGTTGCATCTCCTTAAAACTCTTCTGATCCTAGAAAACCTATTCTAAACTTTCTGATTGTATAAACTGGAACAAAGTTAGCAATTTTGACCCAAGGCCAGTGCTAAGTATTTTTGCATTCCACACAAAGACTCAGATCCATTTGTCTTCTTCCTTTACATTATGACTTTATCACTGATTCAGCTCCTTTGCCATTTCCCAGCTGCTTTGCTGGTTCAGAAAGAATATAAGTGGAACCACTTTCTTAGGCATTTTGCATAAATATCACCCAAGTCTTCCGAGATCATGTTACTGACATAATATTAAGGTAAAGGTACCCCTGCCTGTACGGGCCAGTCGTGTCCGACTCTAGGGTTGTGCGCCCATCTCACTCAAGAGGCCGGAGACACTTCCGGGCCATGTGGCCAGCGTGACAAGCTGCATCTGGCGAGCCAGCGCAGCACACGGAAACGCCGTTTACCTTCCTGCTAGTAAGCGGTCCCTATTTATCTACTTGCACCCGGGGGTGCTTTCGAACTGCTAGGTTGGCAGGCGCTGGGACCGAGCAACGGGAGCGCACCCCGCCGCGGGGATTCGAACCGCCGACCTGACGATTGGCAAGTCCTAGGCGCTGAGGTTTTACCCACAGCGCCACCCGCGTCCCTGACATAATATTATGCTGCTGATTTTAAGAAATAAAGTGATTGTTTAGTCCTATTGCTTTGCTTCTCCGTTTGGCAAACCTCATCACCAGCAAACAAACTTCAGTCTGGTAATGGAGGCAGCTAATGTTTCCCTGCATCAATAGAAAATGTAAAATTGAAAGTTCAGTGCAACACCAAGTGTATTGATCATGAAAAAGAGAAAAGGCAAACCCCAGTGAAGTTTTTACCTTGCTCGAAGGTGGAGGTGATTTTATGGATGCTATAATTTTCTGCGCTGGAACATGCTGTTGAGTGCCCATGACAGAAGCATTGAGAACAGCCCTCTGGGTTTCCGGCATCTAGGTTGTAATAGCCCTGCTTGCAACTGTGCAAGAGATAAATTAACACACCACACAATTATTCTCTTGTGCATGCATATTCACACACAGAAAGCTGACATACTGAATTTCCAATCCGGATACCTCTGCTTTATCTGCTGTGACAGGATAGCTGCATCCTCCAGCCAATAAAAACTTGATGGCTCTGATGTCAGCCATTACTACAAATCCTGTGCTACCATTCTTGTTCAAGTGATGACTTCATGACAGAATGACTGGCACTCACCACACACACAAAGGCACTGAGGTAACTGCTCCAGAGGGTACAGAAACAGGATTCTAGCCTGTGCTATAATCTGGTGAAAATGTGGATTTGAGAGTAGATACACACTATTCATTTAAAGCACATCAAACACACAGTTAAAGTAAAAAAGGTTAAGGGCCCCTGGTTGGTTAAATCCAGTCAAAGGTGACTACGGGGTTGTGGCGCTCATCTTGCTTTCAGGCTGAGGGAGCTGGCGTTTGTCCACAGACAGTTTTCTGGGTCATGTGGCCAGTATGACTAAACCACTTCTGGTGCAACGGAACACCATGACAGAAACCAGAGCACACGGAAACGCCTTTACCTTCTCATCGCAGCGGTACCTGTTTATCTACTTGCACTGGCATGCTTTCGAACTGCTAGGTTGGCAGGAGCTGGGACAGAGCAATGGGAGCTCACCCCGTCGCAGGGATTTGAACCGCCAACCTTCTGATCAGCAAGCCCAAGAGGCTCAGTGGTTTAGACCACAGCGCCACCCACACTGTTAAAGTTCATTACTTCCCCAAACGCATCCAAGGAACTGTAGCTTCCCACACAGAGCTATAATTCTCAGCAACAAACTGCAGTTCAAGGGATTCTTTGTGGGGTGTCATGAGATTTAAATGTGTGCTGGATGTGCTTTTTAATGTAAGGTGTGGATCTGTGATGTGCTGAGTTCAGTGCAACTTGTGCACATGCCATTTTGGCCTCAGCATGGACTCAAACAGTGACGTGAGTCAGGGCTGCCATTAAATCATAAATAAAAGTGTTACGCTTTTTTACTTTCCATTAATTATTTGTCAGTGGCCCATTGTGGGCTACCACTATGCCAGACCCTTCAAGTGTCTCAATTTTCCAGGGCTGATTTAGAGAAGCTGTCTTAGTTTCTGATTTGATCCTGGAATGTCCTGCTTTCCCTTAGAACGTCCCTATTTTCATTGCAGAAATGTTGGAGGGTATGGAATTATCCGACCCCCAAGCTTCATAAAGGCAATCCTGTATAGGGACTTTTTTTTTAACATTTAATGTTTTATATATATATTGAAAGCTGCCCAGAATGGCTTGGGCAATCCTGTAAGATGTGTGGGGTATAAATAATATTAAAATTATCATTATGGAATGGGACGTCCCTATTTTCATCAAAGAAATGTTGGAGGGTATGCTATGCTGCTATCCAGATTAGCACAGAAAATTCCAATCATCATCACTACCACAACTAATGACATAGCAGTGCCCACATTGCAAAGTCAGCCTGTTTTACTAGCCCATCATGCACTGAACTGGCTATGTAATAGGCTTAGATTGGGTTTGCTCTCCCTCTGGTCAGCGTTTCTAGTGCCTGTGGTTTTGGTATGAGCAGGACCAAACCTACCCTCACCTGGTTTAGCTGGTCAGTCAAAGTTGTTCCTGACGCATGCTGATAGCTTCTAGAAGCCACAGGTGAGAGGTGAGTGCAGGCTGGGAATCACAGGGGGACCAAGTATCCCAGAAGGAGCATGACGTATCCTGTCCGCAGACACCTCCGGGTCACGTGGCCAGCATGACAAAGCTGCATCTGGCGAGCCAGCGCAGCACACGGAACGCCGTTTACCTTCCCGCTGGTAAGCGGTCCCTATTTATCTACTTGCACTTAGGGGTGCTTTCGAACTGCTAGGTTGGCAGGCGCTGGGGACCGAACAACGGGAGCGCACCCCACCACGGGGATTCGAACCGCCGACCATGCGATCGGCAAGTCCTAGGCACTGAGGTTTTACTCACAGCGCCACCCGCCAGAGGTACTACCGCTCCCTTAACACCCCATACACGCCAAAGCAACTAATACAAATGCAAAAAAAAAAAAAATGTTTGAACACAGCAAAAGGCAAGAATGAAATGGAAGGAATAATATGAATGGAATGGAGATTGGGGTTAAGTGGGCAGAAGAGGCAGGAAGGATGGGGAAGTGCAAGGATGAAGGCTGAAAGTTGTATAGCTGTGCATAGACTGAAAGCCCCCTTCCTGGCTTCTGAAGCTCTGTTCTGGCCAACCAGACACCACAGACCTACATTTCCAAATATTACAAAAGATACATTGCTTTCTCAGCGGAAACTGAAGTTCTCAGTATCCAAAACACTGGCACTAGATTCCACATTCCATGCTTGCACGCTGAACTCAATCCACATAGCCTCCATTTCTGAGTCAGAGAGAAAGCTACATTTCTGTTGGGTTTGTATGCTAAGTGAAAGAGCAACTTGAGCTACCAAGTGGATTCCTTGATCATGACAACTCTGAGCACCATGAAAACATTTAGCCACGCAATCTTTGTGCACGCACCTGCTACATCGCTCTCCTTCAACAGCTGCCTTGCAGATGCAACGTCCTGAAACACACTGGCCCGTGCTGCCAGCTGGATCACAATCACAATTCCTGAGAAAATCAAAGGACCATTTTCAAATGAAGCTCCACACTCCTCATTGGAACACATTAGCCAGCAACAAACAGCTCCACCGACCCAACCGCACTTACTGTATTTGCCCAGCAGCTCTGCAGCCAGATTCTGAGAAGGAATGGAAATTGTGCTGGCATCGGTCACATTTATCACCTGTCACACCAGGTTTGCAGTGGCACCGTCCCTGGTTATCACACTGTACACTGAAAGAACCTGTGAAGAAGGAGTAGTAGAGACAGCAATGGGCTCAATATTTATGATTCTCTCATCAGGTTTATAGCTATTCCAAGGAAACTCAAGGAGAGTTGCTGCAGTAGTCATTCAGTTCCATTGTGCAAAGTTCCTCTCCTGCTTGGTTTGTCATGACTGGCACATTGCTGAACTACTCAGGCACACTTCGTCTAAAAAGTTGCTTTGGCATGTACAAATATGATGCTCTTCTGCAGTATGAGATAGGCTGAAAACTGGTTTTGTGGAATATTGCCAGAAAAGTGGCAACGGTTCAGGTTTGAATTGGTAGACTCTATTGCTTGGAGGTTCTTCAAGAGAAGCAGTTTGTTCCTCTGCCCCCAAAATACCTACCCAATGTATAAATTTGTAAATAAACTGATTATTACAAAGGCAAAGCAAGGGCCAAACTAGAAATGATGCTAAACTTGTAATCACATCAGTTTTTAGAACAAAATTAATAAATTTTTGTTGGGGATTTTTGTTGGGACTGGTATGTGGGGAGGAGATGGGTAACACTTTCCTCCTTTGCTTCAGGTCTGATGAAAATCACTCCCTGCAACTCTCTCTCTCTCTTTTTGTCACGCAAGCGCGAGCACACACACACGCACACCACACACACACACACCATGAGCCCCTGGAGGGAAGTATCCACTGGTGCCAATGAAGGCTTCCTTCCCAGAGGTATTAGCAGGACCAAAGACGAGACCATTTTTGTCAGGACCACGGCAGGAGAGGAAAGGACTAAATGTCCCTGCATGCTGTGGTCTTGATAAAAATCAACTGACATGCCTGCAAGTGGCATGATCAGCATCACAATTACTTTGGCCCTAAGTCTCCATTGCTTTCTTCCAGAAGGGAAAAGGACCTAGCAAAGCTGTCCTAAAGTTCATACAGCTCAAATAAGGGGAAGCACAAAGCAGCAATCTTCCATTTGCACAGACAAAACCTGTTAAGTATAATTGTTTAATTGTACATTGAAATGTCAAATAACTCTGTATATGTCTGGATGTGTACTCAGTGGCGTAGCGTGGGTTGTCAGCACCCGGGCAAGGCGCCCCCTAACCCGTGGATTGGTGCCCCCTAACCCGTGGATTGGCGCCCCCTAACCCGTGGATTTTCCCTAACCCCAGATGTTGCGCCCGGTGCGGCCGGCCCCCCCTGCACCCCCCACGCTACGCCACTGTGTGTACTGCTAAAAGCTCAATTCCTCTGAGCTAAACATTGAAGCTGCAGAGAGCCTAATAGCCAATGGTTTAAGTAGGGCTGTATCTCCGCTGGCTCTGTCACGAGGTATTTAACTTAGATCACATGAGAAATAATTGTATTACAGGTCTCCATTTTGGGTGTATTACTAGCTCTTTGTTCTAAAGCAGCTGAGGAGAAATGATGTGCTAATGATTCCCTCTAGGAAAACAGCTAGGCTGGAATGGAGGAGAAGCAGAGCTTTGTTCTTTAGATAGAAGAAATTCATATTTCTAAGATATGCTAAACCTGTGCTGGGATCAGCACATTATATTATGCAAATATCTAGATGTAACACTTTAGCAGATGTACATCACTGGCACCATTTTTGCCTCACAGCTGACCAAAGATATCCAGTGCTATTTCTGCTCCACAGGAACAATCAATGCACAAAGTGACTACATAGTAAACTTTGCCAAAAGAGATACTGATGCTGCCTATTTTTCCTTCTGGCCCAAATAACCAAGAAAATTCAAGCTACGGAGGCCCTGCACGCATCACCGGCTTAGAACACAGCTAGGTTGTTTTGTTTTGCTTCACATTCAGATTGAAGCTGGTTTTGGGGGGAAACACATCAGAACGTGGTATCTAATTAAAAACAGCAATAGGATAGAAGTGCATTATAAACCTCACTGAGGCCTTGAGGCCTACCTCCGGGTCCCCATTCCACAATAACAAAAGGAAGTTTTTGGAGTCCTACAGACCTGGCATGCTTCCAAACAGGTAATGTATTGAGCATTCATCTTCACTTACCGTATTTTTCGCTCTATAACACGCAGATTTTTTCTCCTAAAAAGGAAGGAGAAATGTCTGTGCGTGTTATGCAGCGAATGTGTGGTCCCTGGAGCCGAAAAATGAGGCAAAAATCAAACCGCGCTTCAGGGAGAAGGGAGCTCCGTGAGAGAGGAAGCTGTTGCTTTCCTGCATTCTGCCTCAGGGTCTTACTGCCCACCCCCCTCTGTTTCGTTGCTGTGTTTGCTCAAACGGAACAAAGAGCAGGGAAAGCCCCTCCCCTCCAGGCAAGAAGAGAGGAGAGCAGAGCGTCTTTCTAATTCCTCTCCCTGCTCCGGAGGGAACAATGTTTGTGAAGGGAAGAGAGATTACAGGTTCGGCTTAAAATTCTGATTTGACTTCCTGCTTTTTGTTTTTGGAGACACACAGCATTCAAATATGCTTTCTTCCATTTAAAAGGATGAAATCCTTAAACAGTGTTTTGCCTGTAAATTCATGCGATCTGGAAGATTACAGTGTCTGTACCTCTTAAGGGATGGCAAAGCTTAGGTTTCGCTGCTAAATAGTTCTTAATGCAGTTAAAATGCTTTCTTCTGTCATGCTGGTGGGAGGGAGAGGGAGAGGGAGAGAGAGAGAGAGAGCGCACGCTGGCTGGCTTGTGTGGGTGGGTGGGGGGAAACTTTTGCCTTCCTTTCCTCACGTTATAGCCCTCTCCTGCATTCTTAGCCTTCTGTGTTTTTCCTTCCCTCCCCACTTAAAATGTGGTTACAAAGCATGGATCCACATGGATCCTCAGGATCTTTGCATTGGGTCACCCCAAATTCACCATCAGAGCACACAGCATGTCCATGGCTACAGCCTGCCCCCCCAAAATCACACACCCATTGTTGCCTGGGGCTGCAATGGTGCAAAAACGTGGTTACAAAGCATGGATCCACATGGATCCTCAGGATCTTTGCATTGGGTCAGCCAAAATTCACCATCAGAGCACATAGCATGTCCATGGCTACAGCCTGTCCCCCCAAAAAAAATCATGCACCCACTGTTGCCTGGGGCTGCAATGGTGCAAAAACGTGGTTACAAAGCATGGATCCACATGGATCCTCAGGATCTTTGCATTGGGTCAGCCAAAATTCACCATCAGAGCACATAGCATGTCCATGGCTACAGCCTGTCCCCCCCCCAAAAAAAATCACGCACCCACTGTTGCCTGGGGCTGCAATGGTGCAAAAACGTGGTTACAAAGCATGGATCCACATGGATCCTCAGGATCTTTGCATTGGGTCAGCCAAAATTCACCATCAGAGCACATAGCATGTCCATGGCTACAGCCTGTCCCCCCCAAAAAAATCATGCACCCACTGTTGCCTGGGGCTGCAATGGTGCAAAAACGTGGTTAAAAAGTATGGGTCCACATGGATCCTCAGGATCTTTGCATTGGGTCAGCCAAAATTCACCATCAGAGCACATAGCATGTCCATGGCTACAGCCTGCCCCCCCAAAAAAATCACGCACCCACTGTTGCCTGGGGCTGCAATGGTGCAAAAACGTGGTTACAAAGCATGGATCCACAGGGATTCTCAGGATTTTTGGATTGGGTCACCCCAAATTCACCATCAGATCACATGTCTGTGGCCACAGCATGAAGCACAAAAATGATATGTCCACTGTTTCATTCAGAATATTTTTTCCCTTGTTTTCCTCCTCTAAAAACGATGTGCGTGTTATGGTCAGGTGCGTGTTATAGAGCGAAAAATACGGTATTTGCAGGGTGGTTAGATGATGTTATGGCAAAGCAAGTGCCACTCCACATTTCCCAGTGGATTCCACCTTCACTTTCCTTATTGCAGAAAGTCCAATCTTTCAGGCAAGCACTTTGTTGCACAAGACTTCTCAGCCAACTATGATTGTGCAAGCTGGATTTCCCACCTGAAAATAGTAACAGTCTGGAAGTGCCCCTTGGTTGTGTTCAGGAGAACAGCTGCTTTTGGCTTCTCCTCTCCCTGATCTCATTCAGAGGAACCCAACTCAGGGTATGCACTGGAACCCCAATTCTCCACGTAGTGAGTGGCTTTAAGGGTGCCAGAACATTTGTGACAACTGGCTTATTTGGGTTGAGTGTAGACAGAGATATGCAGCAGTAGAACCTCAACAGACACTGCAGTCCCATAAGATTGGGGGTGAGGGGCTTTCCCACCTGCCCCTCAGTCCCTGCATACCTTTGGGGTTGCAGCTGCAGGATACACAACGTCCTCGAGGTTCCTGGCGATAGAAGCCCTCCTTACACCGCTCACAATTATTTCCCTCTGTGTTTTCGGCACAGTTGAGGCACCGGTATCCATTTCCTGTTCGTCTGAGCAGCTCCATGTCGAACATGCACTGCCTGGATTTCCCATTGCAATGGCAGGCTGAAAGCAAGGAGAATAGTTAGCACCATTCAAGAACAACCACCCGTTTGGCAGTGCCAGAAATTGGCTTGCCATTTTTACTTGACGATATACATTTAAAGGCCGCCCTGTTGGTAAGCTCAGATCCAAACTACGCAAGCAGCAGTGACTAGTCATGCAACATTAGCCTGATTCCCTCATCACAGAAAACTGGCTGGTCCATTGGTTCCAATGACAGGCCAGTTTCCTCAGCATGCTAGTTTTCTATATTTGGGTTTTAAAAAGCAAACCACTGCAGTGGTAGAGTTCAACAAGATGCTTTAGTTAATGTGAATGCTTTGGCTGAGATTCCTGTCTTGTAGGGGGTTGGACTAGATGGCCCTCAGGATCCCTTTCCAATTCTATAAGAACTGCGCCCTGTGGTTATTTCAAATGGAGTAGGTTGGGCTTAAGGCACTGCCATGCCTTTTCTTGGTCTTCATTTCTCTCACTCTACTCCATTGCCCTTTCAGTTTAACACCAGCAATTGAACTCCCTTTCAGCCAATATGAAACGGGAGCTAAAACAGCAAGAATATTAGTGATGGAAGGAAAGAAACAAACACAGATGAGGAATTAATATGAAACCAGGAAACTCTTGTCACTCTTACTAGTAATATCATTAATCCCACTTCACAGCATATGCATGAGCAAAACCAACAACTCCTAACTCAAGGTTAGAGTCATGAACAAGATCAGCAAAGAAGCATTGTCCAGAGAACAAATCCCTCTTCCCATCTCATCCTATACATTTTGTTTATTATCAAAATGTCTATACCATATTTTACAATAACAGCCTATCATAAAATTTAAAAATAAAAATAGCAAGTTGATGTCCAAAAGCAGTGTTGGCACTGCACCCTACAAAGGGGACTCTCTTCCAATACATGGGCTAGTCTTTAAAGTGTCTTGGCCTGGAAGCAGAAAGAGAAAGTGGCTGATGAGGAAAAACCAGAAGCAGCTGTGCCGCGAGGGGAGGGGTCCGCAGCCTCCTCTGGTACTTTGAAAAGTGCGCCAGTGGACCGAGAGGGTCATTCTCCATAGCTGTTGCAGCAGGACGACGTTTTAAAATACTGTAATCTATATGAACTAATCAATCTGGGTTAAAACAGAACATGAATTTTATATTTATACTGTATTTAAAAAGATTCTCATGCTGAAACAACAGGGAAGGTGTTCCCCCAATCCCATATCAAAAGCCTCCCTGTTTCTATGGCAAGCAACTTGTTTCCCAGTTTCTTCCATTGACAGGACTTATCTGAGAAAGGAGAGTGAGCCCCATGAGCAACTCTGTAACAAGGAAAATATGGCTCCCCTAGGAGAGACTCCCAGGCCCTATGGATATTCCATCTCAGAGAATTCACGGACTTGAATGTCTCTCTCTTCCTACACTCAGGACCCTCTATAATAGCATCTGGACCCCAGGAACAAAACAGCAGCAACCCAGAGAGAAGCAACCATTAGAAAGCAAAGTGTTTAACCTGTAGCTGAAGGATTTCCTTCCCCAAGCTCTTCCCTGGGCTGGCTGTTAATGCACCAGGAAAGGCGGAGCTGCAACGCCTGCTAGAAGGTGGCAGGCAGGCCAAACTACGTTTCCCAGAGTTATTTGGGAGAAGCCATGGTACATGAACAAGTATAAACCAGTACAGGTTGGCAGTGTAGCCTTGCCCTAAGGCGTTAAGGTGAATTTTGAGGAGGAGTTGCAAAATAAACAAATCTACCAACATTTTATTAATGCGGTTTATTTTCAGTACTGAATTTCTGTTTTCCAAGCACAGGATTTAGATTGCTCCCCCCCCCCCCCATGTTTGTGTGCAGAGTACCAACAAGCCCAGAAGAAAGCAGAGGGAAATTTTCATAGCCAAGCTCTTTGTAACGAATACTAAGGAGAACCATATACTTAAGAATCACATCTCTGTCACCTACAAAGTGTGCAGAATTATTGTGGGTGTTACAGTGCGTTTGCTAGTCTCTGAAACACCAAGAGCTGCTCTCCACAGCTGCTCCTGCTAATCCTCAGCTTGGCTGCCAACACATACGATCAGGTTCAGGCACGACACTTGCATTCCGAGCACCTGAGAGGTTCCAACGCATCAGCCGGATCCTGGGTCTGCCAAGGCTGCCAAGCCAAGTAGAGCTGATCTCATACCCTTCAACGCTCACTCAGCAGCACCTGGAATTTAATCAGCACCCCCTGCCCCCCAGGCAGAGCCTCAGCCCATGTGCCCGTCAACAGCCTCCTTTGCTTTCCCAGGCTCCCTCAGTGCCCCATCTAGCCACGCCTGAAGTTAGCTTGTGTGGGAGCCCTCCCATCACCGCAGAAGTGGGCCATTCCCTGCTTTCCCAGTAGCTCAGGCTCAAATATCATGCTGCAAGGAATTCTGGGTGTGTGTTCCTCCACATTTTATTTTTAAAAAACAAATAATCTCAGCATGTCTCAAAATGACTCAGAGGACAGGAAGACGTGGTGCGGCTTCTTAAACCTTAAACCCAAGTAGGGCATTGCCTTTTTAGGCATACACTGAAAACTGTGGTGTGTGACTGAGACAAGTGTCTACATTACACAGGTTACTGAGGGCCAAACTAGATGTTTCCTTAATTATGGAGCATATTCCTGGAGTGTGAGTGCTGCTGCATGCTGAGCGCGGCAAGGAGCCACAGGTGAGAGCTGAGTGCAGGCTGGAGACTATAGGTGGATAAACTACCCCAGAAAGAGCATGACATGTATCCCACCAGAGGTGATACCCCTTGTGAGAGTAGCTGATGGGTCTCAAGCCCTCAGTGAGTTAGGGACTTCCCCTGCATGCAAAGACAGGCTCCGGTGGATTGGGAGGGTGAGACCAATGGGTCTAAGCGTCAAGAAGGCGGTTTCTGCATGTGCTGTGTAGAGGGAAGTGAGGAGCAGGTGAGGCTCATCCACCTGGGAAGAAATCCATCCATCTAGGAGAAAGAAAACTCTGACCTCTGCTGCTTTGCGGGATATCTTTGGGAGAAGAAAAGGCTAAGGAGTAAACCCTACACAAATCTGGAATGGAGTCCCAAAGATGGTTAGATGGCGCCTTGTACGTCTCCTTCTGGCAACTCCTGCAGCCAAGCTGGTGTGAAATGTATTGCTCTGCTTTCCTTTGGACCGCATCGGGGGGGGGGGTGTGTCTTGTCATCTGGGTGTCCCAGGACCTCTAGACACACTGCCCAGGCTTATGCCCTGGGGAGGTCACCAGGGCTGGTAACACAGTGGTATGATTTCACCCCCAGAGGCATACTCCATTGTCTCTTGAGACAGACAGATGCCAACAGGCTATGCATATTGTTTTCTTAAATAATTACTGGCACGGGTGAGACAGTTCTTACTGGGAAGGCAGCAAATGAGAATGGGAAAACTTCTCCTCATTCTTCCACCCTGACTGGACCAGAGATTCTCTCCCTCCTTAGGAGCTTGGGGGGGGGGGGGAGAAGACGTTTGCAACTTAATCTCAAAGGCTACTTCTGTTAGGGAAAAGCAGTGTTTGGAGCGAGTGACTTTCAGGGGTGGACTAGTGCAGGACAGAGAAACTAGACTCCCCCTCCCCACATCAATATCTGCTGCAGCTCTTCCCCCACTTGCTGGTGGAACACAAATGCTCTCTAGGTGGTTATTTGGTGGGGGGAGGGGGGACTTTGGCTTCAAAGCTTATGCCTAAGGCAAAAGTAATGATAACTGAATCTAAACGAATACCAAGAAAGAACACTGGTCTTTGTCTTCCTTCTGTTTAAGGGAGGTGGGTATTTACAAAAGATGAAGAAATTGACAAAGTTCACAGATAGCAATCTAAACGATGGTTTGCAGTGCACTAATCACAGATTAATCTGTTCAGCATTAGTCCATTCAGACATCACACCAAGCCATAAATAAGAAAATCATGGTTTGCAATGCCAGCTCAAAACAAGCTTTCTGATTTGCCAGCCAATCACAAACCACATTTTGCAAATTTAGCTGCCAGGCTAAACCATAGCAAAGCTTGCTTTGTTAAATTTTGTGTCATATCTAAATTAACTGACTCTCATGTTGTGTCTCAGTTGCTATTTTATATAAAGACCACTTTAAACCACAGCATCTTAGTTCTCACTGAGGTGGTGGTAAATATATTGTGGGGGGAAAGAGTTGCACCAGTTCAGCCTGCAGATGCGGAGAATCCCATGACTGGATGCTTCTTTACAGTTATCTAGTACCGTCTGTTATTTTCCTATGTAGAAGGAATTCTTTTGTATGAAAGAGCATTTAGTCCTGTGAGTCTTCACTTTTCTTCCGGAGTGGTGAAATTCAGACATAGGTTTACCCTCCCAGTGAGAGAAAGACTTGACACTCTTTGCACATTTATTTTTCCTAACTTAAAAAAGCCTAATATGGCAATGACTGCTGATTAGATTGACCAACACATATAATTAGCACAGCATAGCAATTTTCATAGCCAATAGCTCAACTTGCTTACAGATTACATCATCCAGTCTTGCCTTGATTCTGCTGCTGCTGTTGTTTTCTCACTGCTTTGTGTCTGTCCATAGCCTCTTTGGAGGCAATTACATCACGATAAGCGTGTCTGTAACTGCATGTGTTTACACAAGGTAATGTCACACTTCTTCCCAGTGCTGATACCTGTGAAGTTTCTTCACATAGCTTTTCTGAATGAGAGTCTCAGTGCTGAGATGGGCTTTCACAATAAAACTTTAGATATGTCCGGGACTGGTTGGACACAGAGGAACCAGCTGGGGAACCCCAAGGGAAGGAAGACTCAGAGCCCAGGGAGTGGTGGTGGGACAACAATGAGCAGTCACATGGAGAAGAAAGAGAAGAAAGACTGGGGGGGGGGAGGTGTCAGAAACTGAAGGGGTAACAGGGCTTAGTGAGCAAGAAGAGTCTGTGGCGGAGGGAATTTCAGACTCAGAAGGTGGAGCAGGAGAGAAGGGAGGCCGAGAGGCAGAGATGAGTCAGGCTGGTGAAGAGACACGTGTCTCCCCCTTCTGCTGCGACAGACTCCCCTCCCCGCTGGTCTCTCAGAATGAGGTGAATATAAACTGATGGATTTGAGAGAAATTGCATAAAGGAAGAATTGGGGACCAAATTAATCCTGGAAGGGTGAGCAAGTTACAGGTGCTGGGAGGGGACAGGTCAGCAGCAATGTGTTGGAGGACAGAGCTGGATGTGACTTGCACCTCCTCAGCCCTCAGGTGCAGCAGGTGACACTGTCCTGCCTCCAGTGCTGAACTAAGACTGAAGTAAGATGCAACTGCCAGTATGCTTGGCTTCTGTATGTGGAATGAGGGAGCGCCATTTTGTTCTCGGGCCTTGCAGCCAAGCTCCAAAAGAAGGGGATCAGCCGTGCCTGCTCTGCCATTATGGGAAAAGAGCCTTCTGAAGTAAGATGTAAAGGAACTTGCCTTATCCCCCCCCCCCGCCTTCTTCTGGGATAATGTGGAAAGATTAATTGGGTACTACACCGTCAGCTTCCCAGATTGCTACTAAGGCACTAATCATCGGCAGGCAAGTGGGAATGCTGCCTTTTTTACCTTCCATTTTTTAATGCGGGGCAGTGTTCTGGGGTCAGTGCTTTGCCTTCTGCTCATTCAGTGAGAAGGACTGATGCATTTATAGACCTGAAGCTGTCAAAGCCATCTGTCAGACACAAGCAGGCTGTTATTTAGTGCTGCTTTCACCTCAGTGCACCTGGAACATCCGAACTCGAACCAACTGAATTTTGATGTAGTAAAACAATTGAAGGTGGTCATAAGCGCCTTTGTTTGTGTTGGGTGGGCAAAAAGAAAAGGTAACTCCTGTCATTTCAAGGTTATTTCCTAGTGCATAAATATACATAACGGGTTTAGATAATATTAAGTGTTAAGCCCCTTATTCTGTCCCCCTTTCCACTCCTTCCCATTCACACCTGTTTCCCCTGCCTCTTGGTTCAAGAGCTTGCTCCCATTATCTCCAAAATTTCTCTGATGAAAATAGGGACATGCAGCCATACAAAATGACCAGTCCTTGTCATTTTTACCCCGCTCATCTGACTGGGGTGCCCCAGCCACTCTTGGCGGCTTCCAACATGTATATAAAAACATAATAAAACTATAGAGGGCTGCCTTCAGATGTCTTCTAAAGGTTGTATAGTTATCTCCTTGGCTCAGGGGTTACATAACTCCATACCCTCTGATGAAAACAGGGACATCCTACCATACCCTCCAACATTTCTCTGATGAAAATAGTGATGTCCTAAGAAAAAGCAGGACATTCCAGGACCAAATCAGAAACCAGGATGGCTTCTCTAAATCCAGGACTGTCTCTGGAAAATAGGGACACGAAGGGTCTGTGTTCCCTGTCCAGACTGGTCATCTTAGACCTCCCAGTTGCAAACATTCCAACTCCAGAACACAAAAGAAGTCAGTGTTGTGTAACCGCTCAGAAAGTTCACTCTTCACTGCGTTGGATTTTGGTCCCTCCTCACATTACCATTGCTAAATATATTAGTTTCCCCCCTAAATATTTTTTGCACTTCTGCAAACCTTGAGGTCTTCCCAAGGCTGATACTTCCCTCATTACCATGGATGGTGCCATGTGGGCTAGATAAACATCTACATTTGGGATAATAAGTTCACTACTGGCATCTATGATTCCTCATGCTCTACGAGTTCAGTGTTGGTTATAATTCCCTCTCCCCTGAGATCTATTTTTTCCTGTGGCAGCTGTGTATGGATGTGTGTGTGTAGATTTGCACATGTATGTGCCATGTATGTTGTTAGCATCTGGCTATCTCAAGAGATAATGGAGTGTGCCTCTGGGGGTGACGTCAAACCACTGAGTTACCAGCACTGAAGTAGCTTCCCCGGGATGCAAGCCGAGGTAGTGTGTCTGGAGGTCTTGGGCTGCCCAGATGACAAGACCCCCTCTCAGCCTCACTGATGTGGTCCAGAGGAAAGCAGAGCAATATGTTTGACTCCAGGAGTTGCTGGAGGGAGGGGTACAAGGTGCCAGCCAACCATCTTAGGGACTCCACTCCAGATTTGTGGAGGGTTTACTCTAAGGTTACCAGATTTTTTTCAAATAATCCGGGGACAAAAAAATTTAAATTAAAAATAAATAAATCTTTTTTTTTTTAAATTAAGAAGTAATATCTTCTCTTCTGGGTCTCCTCTGTCACGTGGCCTTCCTCTGGGCCCCGGCATGATCTCTTGGAGTGCTATCTGCCGTGGAGTAGGCTCGGTCGGGCCTGGGCTCAGCCACGTGTCCTTGCCCTCCTGGTGCTCTGCTACCTCTCTTCCTCAGTGGCGGCGGCGGCAGCAGCAGTGTGGCAAGGTCAGGGCTCCCCTCTTTTTTTCTCCTTCCTCTCTCTCTCTCTCCCTTCTCCTTCTCCTTTCCTCCTTCTCCCAGTGTCAGCTCCGGAGCGCCGCTGGGCAGTCGGCCAGGTGGCCGGACACACTCGCTCCCAGCTCGATTTGGGTCATGGGGGGGGTGTCAGCGGTTCCCCCAGTTGACATGCTGGGCATCCCCGGTTTCCCCTCGGCAGCGGCAGTCTTAGCAGTCTGGAGCCAGCCTGATAGTGCAGTTGGCTCTGGCTGGCTTCAGGAGCTGCTCGCTGCCGTGGCACCCGCCATTTTGCCTTGCTGGAAGTCCCTATATGTTTTGTCTTGTGCCGTTGAACCAATCATGCAACATTCATTCCCTACTAATAAATCTAGAACACTTAAAATATAAATCCGGGGACATTCCAGGGACGTATTTTGTCCAGGGACAGATTTGTAAATCCGGGGACTGTCCCCAGGAAACGGGGACACCTGGTAACCATAGTTTACTCCTTAGCCTTTTCTTCTCCCAAAAATATCCCGCAAAGCAGCAGAGGTTGAAGGTCAGTGTTTTCTTTCTCCTAGGTGGATGCGCCCCATCTGCTCACTTCCCTCTACACAGCACATGCAGAAACCACCTTCTTGACTGTTGGGCGCGCTATTGTCAATCCACCGGATGTCTTTGCATGCAGGGGAAGTCCCTAACTCACTGGGGGTTTGAGACCCCTTGGCTACTCTCACCTGGTTTAGCAGGCCTGTTGAAGCTATTCCCGGAGTGTTGAAAAGTGGTATACAAATAAAATGAATGAATGAAATAGAAAGTGAATGAATAGAGCGTGGCAGTCCCACACTGAAACATCTAGTGTGGAATCACCCCTTGTCTATAAACAATTGTTATATATAACAAATTATAGTTGTCTTAATTCTTGTTCTCTACGTGGCTATATATGAATGTTTAGGGATTTGTAAGACAACTCTCATCATTCTCTTCAAACTACAATTCACGGGATTCCCTAAGGGAAGGCACCATAGGAACACTGGTGTAAAACTGATATCAATGTGTGGCCAAACATATGAATGGTACTAAATCCAAGTTAAGAACTCTGACATGTTAGCCCACAGTGAGTTTATGAAAAGTGTCAAATGCATAGAATTAATTTTGAAGACACTGGTAGATACGCTAAGAGAATTACATCATAGAAACCATTCTGCTAACGTTAAAAAGTGAAGAATTAACACCAACACTGTTGATCAAGTGCACACAGGGACCGTATATACTTGCATGATATATATACTTTGAAAGCTGAATTTCTGTTTCTAGCTCAAGATCTAAAACAATTTAGTAAAACAATTATTTAAAAAATGACCACACCCGCCCTCAGTTTCTTCCATTGCAACAACTGCCTTATATAGAGTAAGTCCGTTGCTCTATCTAGCTCTTTTCACTCTTCAGGATTTTAGACTGGAGACATTCCCAATCATGCCTGGAGATGCTAAGGGATGAAACTCAATATCTTCTGTATGCAAAGCAGATGTTCTACTACTGAACCAAAGCCCCTCCCCATTGCCCTAGGAAGCATATAAAAAGTATTGGAATAAACATGTCTCATTTGAATGTATATTCCATCTGGAGATTGAAGTAAAACACTAAGGGCAGCATTTTCAAAAGTCCCTGAATGAATCTAAATTTACTGGGGATCAACATTCATCCACTTGTCACCTTCTTACTAAAAGACCTATAGTGGACTTATCCACTAGACTGATAGGACATTTGTCCCCATCACTGACCGATTACTGGGTGTGACCATATCTCAGCCCAGACACCCAATCAGGATACAGATAATACATGAGGAAGCTTGCAGTTGCTAGGCGACCCCAGTGTGCGCTTCACCATCTACCTCTAACTAGAAGGTTTTGGAGGAGAAACGCGGGCCAGACCTAAGGAAGGAAGCTTAGATGATGAAGATCTGGTCCCATCCTCCATTATCGCCCACATGCTGAAAACGTTACTGCCCAGTTCCCAAGACATTCCATGTGCCCATAAAGAGAAAGAGTCTTCAGCTTAGCTACTTCTCTCACACAACAAGGGGCTGCTCAGCAGCTGGCCCACGGTGCACCTGACACCAAAACAAGTGTCGGGGAGAGACAGAAGACTGCAAAATGAAGCCCACTTCCAAAAACTAAAGTGGAAAGATTTCACACTCGTTTGCCTCACCTTCTCTTCTTTGAATGCCAACAGCTGACGGGAGGAGGAGAGTGATTGCAAGGCAGCTGACAGTCACCAGCCAGTGCTGAGGCATTCCAGGGAAGTTCGGAGGGCTGCGTTGCCCAGAAAGTGCTCAGATCCAACTCTTCCAAGCAAAAGCCTCAAGATCAAGGGACAAAGCTGTGTGGTGGTGGACGTGCAGCTGCGGACAATTCCACCTGGGCCGCTGTTTCTTGTTCCAGGTGCTTTTTATCACCTCCTCTGCCTGAATCACTCTAGACAGGAATAAGAGAACTTGCCTTCAGTCTGACTCACCTTGCAAATAAAAAAAAAAAGAGGGCCCAGCCCATGTACAGTTCAGGGAGACACTTAACAGTTTCTTCTTAGCCATTCGTAGGGGCGGATCTCTGCAGAACACAGCAGCCAAAGCCCCTGGCAGCAGGCCAAGAGGGAGTGGGGTGGGTGGCAGGAGGACAGAAAGAACAATTTAATTATTGATCTTCCGCATTAAAATCGCTTACAGGGCAAGCCCAAGGCCAGACTCACCGCAGGGCTTGTTCTGTAAACTCATTAATGTAAAACACAACTTCATTAAGTAGCTGGTTTTACCCTCAGGTAACACCACTTTTATTAAACCTGTGCCACGTTCCAGAATGAAATGGGCATGTTCCCACTCACCTTAGCCCAATTAGAATACTTGCAAAGAATTTGTTAGCATTATAATTATTACTATTACCTTAGCAACACCCAGAAAACACACCTCACCAGCTGTTATCCAATCAAAACAGCTTGAGAGGGACTCCTTTATGTCTGACATATTTTGAATCTATGATGAAAAAGAAGATGAGCTAAGACTTCATCCTGATTAAAGTATTCTGGAATGTACATGTTTAAATTCAGGTTAACTGAATTTACTATACTCACAACTCTATACCCAACACCAGCCTTATACAAACAAAGCAGCTCATATTTTGCACCAAACTCAAGCAGACAAAACAATACCGTTCAGGCGGAGTTATTTGCTTTAGCTCAGTGGTCTTCACACTTCCTGCTTTCCATATAAAAAGTTATTTATCCTACTGAGCTTTGTGTGCTGCAGAGAAGTCTGGAGCTTTTCCTGTAGACCACAAGCAGTTTTTCACACAGGGCACAGCTGACTAGGAACAGTGCGCCTCACCATTAATTGTGCATAAGCTGAGGGTGCCGTGTTGAATACACCACACATTCTCCTATGGCTGTGTAGTCTTGGGGAAGACCAAGTGTGGTACAGAAGCTTATCCACTATTCTTGGTTTTCTAATAGAAGCCATCCTGGTAAGCTTCTGAGAAACTCTGTGGCCCCACTGAAGAAGTCTGAAAACCTCTACTGTTAATCAGATCAACTGACTCTCACCTGCCATTCTTCTTATCCATTCACCCATTTTAGAGAAATCAGTTAGGATCTCTTCAAAGTTTGCTTTGAGATGCACCATCCTGAGTAACTTTGATGTCCTCTGCAAACATTCAGTGACATGTGTTCAAGATCTCCCATAGCTTCTAGTTAATTACTCACACTTGGCACCACTCTCCAGGTATTTGTGAAAAAATTATGGTCCCTGCTTCCAGTAAAAGTCCTTAGGAAATCCAGAATTTAGTTTCCTCTGTTGTAAAAACTGTGCACCGTCCCTCTTAATCACTGCTTCCTGTTCTTTAATTAGTTACCCACTCAGAAGAGGAACTGTCTACTTTTCCCATGGCTGCAAAGTTTGTTTGGCAATGGACTTTGGCAATGGACATTGTCAAAGCTTTATGCCAGTTTCAGTACATCATGTCTATCAGAGCACCTCTATCCACATACATTGATAATAAATGCTTGCTAAGAGGTTGAGGAAGCAGGGCACTTTGTTGCCTTTCTGTTTGGCTCATCCTTAACAGGAACTCCTTCCTAAGCTGCTTGTTTGGTGATAAAACATTGGGGGGGGGACCCACAGTCTATACATATGCATATAGGGATATGGAGTTCAGAACTTACTTAAAAGTGACATACGTACAAGGCCTTTCTTATCTCCTAGCTTACTGCCTCTGATTCCAAACTCTAATTGTAGGTAATTAAAGCTCAGGTGTTTCTCATAATCTCTTGAGCTGTCTGGCAGCTTCCTCGGCCTTAAGCTGATGATGCTGGTTCAGACAGCGTAATGTTCTGTGGTTGCTCACTGCTGGGAGGCTCAGAAAAAGCATGCGGTGAGATCATCACCATGCTTTGCTTTGATTTGTCAGGTCCTTTGCCTCCAGGTCATGGCAATACCAGGCAGTAGAGATGGGCAGCAGCAAACAGTTTCACCTTTCTGGGCAAACACAAAATTAGAACAAAGGTCCCATTGACAGGTGTCTGTTGAAGAGCTAAAAATGTTCAGAACAATGTTTGATGAGGATGAAGATAACGATGGGAATAATAAGCTAGAGGAGAAACAGGCTTATGGAGGTAAAAATGGAAATGAAGCATGCACAGAGACTCCAGAACAAACTGATGAAAAGTGGCAGGACTGGATCAAGAAATAAGCAAACTGAAGGAATCAGATGGCTATGTGGAAATGGAATTGGAAATGATCTCCATTCAAGGATTTGGAGGAGAAGTAGAAGATAAGATTACAAATGATGATTTGGAGATATATCTGGATAGGGTGTTGATAGAGCTGAAAGGGAAAAAACTTTGGGATTTCAGTCCTGGCCTTTCTTTAGCTTTAGCAGACAGAAAGGATTCTGCTTACAATCTGGAATGTATCCAAAGAACGTTGCTACTAAAGCTATGGTATTTCCTCTGGTAGGGGTGCAGGTGGCACTGTGGTCTAAACCACTAGAATCATAGAATCATAGAATCATAGAATCATAGAGTTGGAAGAGACCACAAGGGCCATCGAGTCCAACCCCCTGCCAAGCAGGAAACACCATCAGAGCACTCCTGACATATGGTTGTCAAGCCTCTGCTTAAAGACCTCCAAAGAAGGAGACTCCACCACACTCCTTGGCAGCAAATTCCACTGTCGAACAGCTCTTACTGTCAGGAAGTTCTTCACTGAGCCTAGAGCTTGCCGATCAGAAGGTCGGCGGTTCAAATCCCGACGGGGTGAGCTCCCGTTGCTCGATCCCAGCTCCTGCCAACCTAGCAATTCAAAAGCATGCCAGTGCAAGTAGATAAATAGGTACCGCTCCGGCGGGAAGGTAAATGATGTTTCCGTGCGCTGCTCTGGTTTCTCCAGAAGCGGCATAGTCCTGCTGGCCACATGACCTGGAAGCTGTATGCCGGCTCCCTCGGCCAATAAAGTGAGATGAGCGCCGCAACCCCAGAGTCATTCACGACTGGACTTAACTGTCAGGGGTCCTTTACCTTTACCTTATTTCCTCTAGAAATAGATGGGGGGAAATGAAAGTGGAAGAAATAAGGGAAGGATTTGCTGAATAATTAATTAGAAAGTGGAATACAGAAAGGGGAGGTAAGAGGAAGTCGGGAAAGTAAGTTATAAGAAAATAAGAGTTGAAATTATATTTGTTTTTTATATTTTTGTTTGTTATTTTCAGTGTACTGCTTTGTTTTGTATTTGTTGTTATAAATTTTTTTTGAAACTTTAATAAAAAATTATATAAAAAAGAAAGAAATGAAAGTGGAAGAGATCAGGATACCATTGTAAAACAAGAGGAAATGGGATGCAACAGGATATGGAACTGGATATGCAGAACTGGACATGAACTTATGGATATGTAATGGAAAATCAAAATGGAATACTCCAACAGGAAGTGGAATACAGTAAGAAATGGAATCAAATAGATGGACTGGATATGAACAAATGGGATATTGGTCTAATGTGTGATCATATTGGAGACTTTAATATGGACACAGATGGAAAAATATAACTTCTAAAAGAAAAATAACCCCTACAACATTGATAAATGTAATCATAAATTGCATTAAGCCTTCAGCTCAAACACAGGCTGCACAAAATCATATGCCCCAAAGAACCCATGTGTATGCCGTCTGAAATAGATGGGCCTTCAAGATCTTTTGGGGGAAAACTGGTGTGAGGTTTTGGAGGTCAGCTGACAATGAGTTCCAGAGTCGTGGGGCTACCAGAAAGACAAGTTCAGCTAATCACTGTTCCCCCCCCCCAATTTTCCACAACAACAAAAAAGCTCGACAACTTTGGCAAAAAAACCCAACAACAAACTATAATTTCATAGAATGTACATTACTTTCCTGCCCTGGAAAGCTGCAGCTAAGTGTGAGTTCTCCCAACATGACATGCAAACCACTGTGTCATCTTCTCCTATCCCCAAAATCTGCAACATTGGATGATAATATGACTCTACTTTACAAGGCCATTGTAAGGCCTACTAGGATGACATAAAGGTAAAGGTAAAGGTAAAGGTACTCCTGCCCGTATGGGCCAGTCTTGCCAGACTCTGGGGTTGTGCGCCCATCTCACTCAAGAGGCCGGGGGCCAGCGCTGTCCGGAGACACTTCCGGGTCACGTGGCCAGCGTGACAAGCTGCATCTGGCGAGCCAGCGCAGCACACGGAAACGCCGTTTACCTTCCCGCTGGTAAGCGGTCCCTATTTATCTACTTGCACCCGGGAGTGCTTTTGAACTGCTAGGTTGGCAGGCGCTGGGACCGAACAACGGGAGCGCACCCCGCCGCAGGGATTCGAACCGCCGACCATGCGATTGGCAAGCCCTAGGCGCTGAGGCTTTTACCCACAGCGCCACCCGCGTCCCAGGATGACATACATACAAGCTGATAAGTGCTTTGAATGTTTGAATGATCAAAAAGGATTCTTGCAGGATTAATGTGTTCTTCTCAAGTGGAAATACTCTCCATGTAATAACTTGTCCCTTGCCAGATGTTGGTGCCCTACAATTCTGCAACAGTCCACCAGCCAGCATGGCCAACAGTTGAAGATGAAACAAATGGCAATCCAGCACTATGTGGAGGGCCACAGCTTAGCTACTGCTGATGTAGGAAATGCCTAACAGATAAAGAAGGTGCATGGCAGTATTAAAAAGTGTAAATACTGTTGCTGTGGGACCAAAGAGGCAGTAGAAGCAGATTACAAACTGTGGCTAAAAATACTTTTGCCTGGAAGCTATCACTACCTAGTCGGTGACTACCTCTCCACTCAGATAAAGTTGTCTCAAGCACTCCTTCCCTGAAGCTTAGGTTAAAATAAAATTCCACACCCTCCAGGGCTGCGGCAGATCAGTGAAGGGCCACACCCTGCTGCTCAGTTCCGTTGAGCAAGCTAGGTGATGCATACCTGGCGAGACTGTGGCTGAGGTGTCAGCATGGCAGGGAAGTACAGTCACATCTGGTCTGTCCAGTCTGCTGCCCCTTCCTGCAGAACGGACCCCTCCTTCCTTCCCTCTCAAGATTAAAGAATTTATTTGCCCCTCTGCATACACATTCAATTTTCTTTTCTTTTACTCGGCCCTTTTAGCCTCTTTGTTGTAACTGTCAGGAAGGGAGCATCAATGGAATTCCTTGATGACATTCCTAGCATTTCCTGATTAATACGGAGAGGGATTTTGTCAACTCCTGAGCTGCCGAATGAGCTTTTAACCAAGAGTGCATTATACAGACACTATTTTCATAACACACTCCAGCAGGTCTAGACAAAGGTTTTGTGGCTGTGGGTGAGAATGAAGTTCTTTCTGGGGTGATACTGCCCCATCATCTGCTCATGTAAAGCAAGCAAGAGAATGATCGCTAAAATTAATTCTCCAGCAGACACAAATGTTTTCAGTAAGGCCACAGAGCTTCGTCAGTTTGATTAATCAAAGGATCACATTTTGATTATAATGATGCTGTTAACTGGGCGACAGCTTGGGAAGGGGAGCTGAAATTCTTCAACAGCTTTTTCCTCAGAAAAAAAATATTTTAAGAGAAATTTTGGCTCATGTCATGTTGAATAACACTCTGTTGGAGGATGAAGGGAGCAACGGGCTAAGAGAAGGGAACTGTAAGGAAGAAATACCAACAGCATTAAACTAGACCCACAATTGCATTCATAGACAGCAAAATTGGGGAGGGTAATTTTCTAAATATTTCCCAGGGGAGGACTGAAATTCTAACAGTTTAGGAGGGGCTCAAAAAAGTGGCAATTTCTCAACACGGCTGCAACTTTGAAAAGCCCAGCTCTGCTTGGAGCCATATTGTTCAGCTGTTGTGCCCAATCCTGTCCAAGTAAGAATTTTACGGGAAGTACTCTTATTGGACTCGTTAAGTAAATTTAGCAGCCACAGAATAAGAGGACGTTGCCTTTCACAAAAGTAATGGGTAGGACTAAGTGACCAACTTCTGACAAGTGGAGGGAAGAAAATAGTGGGATTTCTCAAGGATCTGTATTGCAACTTATTCATAAACCCTGTGTTAGAGGTAAGGAATGAGTTCTTTGATAATTTGGAGTTATTTAGGATGACACATTCTAAAGAAGACTGTGAACAGATCCAAAATGATCTAAGCTAAGTGAATAGCCAATGACAGATGAGATTCAGTGTTAAGAACTGCACAATGATCTGAACACTGTGGTAAAAAATTCCTATCAAATATATGCTGGTGGGGTCTGAGCTGGTTATGGTTACCCAGTATTGTTTCTTTTTAAAATTCTCACCCACTTTTTTCTTTTTTCTCAATCTTATCTTCTTATAAATGAAATTTTCTTAATAAAATATAAATGATACCCAGGAAAAAGTTTTAGAGGTAATGGTGAATCAGTCACTGAAATCTCCAGTTATTCGAGAAGTCTCTAGAATTCAAAGTGAGCATTTTAGCCGCTACAGAGGAGGATATTTTCAAAATATGAAATTAAATCTTGAAGCCATTTAGAAATTGGATGAAGTTCCATAATAAAATCCATTTTAGCTCAGGTTTCCTTCCGCAAAAAGGTGGTAAGGTAAAATGAGACTGTTCCACCCCCGTATTCAAATCTGACAGCAAAAGCAAAACAGCTGGTGCATGTGTGCGCTCTCTCTCTCTCTCTCTCTCTCTCTCTCACACACACACACACACACACACACACAGTAAATACTCAAGAACCCAGCATATGAGGGGTTACAAATATTCAGTCTTTATTATAAATAAGAAATACTGTTTTATACATAAAACTGCCAAGTGTTGCATTTTTGTTGTTTTTGTTCACTGCCCCCAGACAGCAAGACCACAGATTTAGTCTAAAACTGGAGTGAAGGCACTTTTTGAGGTGCTCACAGTTGAGAATAAAAAATAAAATGAAGGGAACTCTTCAGCAGGCGTCTCCCGTGAACAGCTGTTGCATCGTTTTGTTATGCAAAGAAATAACTTGGACCTATACAAACGTGATAATAGCTGTTAACGCAATATTCGTAAATTCTTATAAAGGCCTTTTTATTTATTTATTTAAAAATAAAAAAAATCTGTTAAAACCTGTTTAAGAGAAAAGGGGGAAAATACTAGAAAGGCAAGGAAAGGACTAGAAGCACACTACGAACTGTAATCATCCCCTTCTAGTCAAGTGCGAGAGGCCACAGCAAAAAGCCATTTCCAATTCATGGCTTTCGGTTCTGTTTGCCTGTATGCATGCAAGTCGTTTATGTAAACTGTTGCTTGGATAAAATTAAGATCTGGCTGGAACTTCTCTCTCTGGCCCTGGAGGTGCTGTAAAAACCAAGGCCAAAGGGGTTTTGCCTGCCTACCTGTATTCACAGAGACCTGCTACTGAATCTACAGCAATGGTCCAGCGCTTACTGCGGTGGAAAGCATGTGGCCGGCTGGCACCCCTTCAGTAAATGGCTCCCATGACTGAATGTTCCTTAATTTCCCTACATGCAGACAACTAGCCATGTCTGAGAGAAAGGTTTTTCTCTTGAAAAACAAAAACAAAGCTGCATGGAGAAATGGTACCAGCTCAGACCTAGGTTAAACCACCTGAGTAAGAAGTAGGCCCAAGTCACATTTCCTCTTCAAAGCCAGCAGGAAGCCTATAACCATTCATAATATCAAGACCACAAACAAAGGGCCAGTTTGGGTGATGCCTTCACCCGCCAAGCAGGAGACCTGGGGGCCTGTGGGTCTCCTTCCTGTCCGCTGAGAGAACTCTGGATCTGCCTGAATGCCGGTTCTCCCATTTCTGCTCACAGTGGAGGAAGGAGGTGTGGGGCAGAGGAGGTGCTCCCCATTTCAGCCCAGAGAGTCTCTCAGGGCAAAGCATCGCCCAAAATGGCCTAAGGCATCGTGAGCTACACCCCTCTGACTCCTTTAGGTGTCAAGTGGCTTTAGGAGGGCAACTTGCCTCTCAGCTGGCAATGCAGATATGGAACACTATTAACTACCAGTACGGAGTGCAGAGGTGAGGATGGGCAGAGAAAATACCTGACCCTCGCCCACCCTGCCCCTCACTGCCAGAGGAATAATAACCTGGAGGAGAGGATGTGGGCAGTGTGGCGGTGAAGAGGAAGCAGTGAGAGAACAGGGCCACTCGGGAAGCAAGGCCAAGCATATTTACAGGGGCGAAGGCTGGAGAGGGGCAAGAGAGAGAGAGAAACAGACTTTTCCTCACACTATAATCATGATAAAAAAGACACAAAATCCCACATTCACACAAAAATATAAATTTGAAATAATTAATAGCACCAGTGTGTGTGTCAGATAATAAATTTCTTCCCCTCTACGCAAACGTACAAAGTTGCATAGTGTTTGAGGGTGGGTATATGCAGATCTCAAAGGCAGGGGGTGGAAGCATCAGACCTCTCTCTTGAGGAAACTGCAGAGGCTGATAATTTCCTCCAGTTCAGGATTAAAAGGGAGGGGGGGTGGAGAAGAGAGACAACATGGAAGGAGGTATCTTCTCCCACAAGGAAGCATAATCAAAGTGGGAGAGGGGACATTCTGAGCGGGGCAGAAATTCATACCAAGCAACCACCAGCTCAGTTAGTAAATACTGTGAACTCTTGGAGTTATTTACCCCTAGAATTAGGCCTGACCAATTATTTTTCCTAGAAAGATGGTAAACCTACCATGGCAAAATGATATGATTCAACCTGCAGAAAGAGAACTCTGCAAACATTTGAGTTTCTACCAGAGAGGATTATGTTGACTTCAAATTTCACAGGCAAGTCTAGCAAAAAAAAAAAAGTACTCTCTGGATAGTGGATGCTTCTTTCAAAAAAGGGAAGAAAAGAAAGAGTCTGATTCAGGGGCTTCCTCCGCCCCCAAGAGACAAAGACAGAATCTGTTGATATTAAATTATCTGTCCCTGGAAGATACCTCTTGAATATTACTAGTGACTGGCTGGTGACAGGAACAATTCTGATCACAAGTAGATTCTTCCATCTTGAAGAATTTCTGCCTGTGTTCTCAGAAGTCGAAGGCAGGCCAAGGTATAGCACCATGGAGACCTAACACACCCCTCCTTCCTCATGACTCCCCGAAAGCATTTTCTGAGAAACTGTTTCTCAGAATCAAGATATACATATACATATTGCACTCTAGAAAGTTTCTTTAAAATTGGCAGCTGGCTACCAAAGTGGTAGTTTAATTGGCCACTAATATATGAATTAAGTTGACTTTTTCTTCTTTTCTGATTCTGAACTGTAGCTATACTGGCCGTTACAATTTAATACTTTGGTAGCCAAACCTTTTCCTTCATAGAAACAAAAAGAACAGAGAAATTGTGAGATGGGGTACGGGAGAGAGAGACGGGGGATGAAAGAAGGAGAAGCCTGTGACTGCCCCCACTATGTATCAGTTCTCATAGCCCTTTCTGTAATTCAGCACAACAGTCCATAATATTTCACATCATTATGCAAATCAAAGGGGAGTCTTTTCTGGGAGAAGAGGAGAAAATGGAGTGTTTTGAGCAAGGAAGTGTATACATTTCATATCTTTAAACCCTTCTGAAGCCCAAAGGCTGGATATTTAATTTGCGTTCATTCAGAAACTTGCAATTTTCTCCCTTGAACTGGGAAAGAAAGAACTGATAGCTGTGTGGGAGATGAGGTGGGGGTCCTGAAGAAGGTAACCTAGGAATTAAGGCACTCCACAGCCAAAAGAACTGCTCCACCAGTCATTGAGGGAACGCCCCCCTGCCTTTAGCACATCCTTAGGGTTTTTCAATGGACGGGGTGTTGAAACAGCCAGTTGGTAAGGTCTTCTTGATGTCCTCTAAATTGCTAATGTCTTTCCTAATGGTGTTAATGTCCCTGTCATATTCACTGATGGCATTGGCTTGCTTTTCAGCTGCCTTCTCCAGATCGGAGACTTTCCGGTCCAAATCGTTGTCCCTCATCTGGTTTTTGGCAGTGTTCAAAGTATCCTCAATCTCATTCAGTTTGCTCAAGTCCACAGGTTCCACACGCCCTGTAATGGGAGCAACATACAAAATTAGATTTTTTTAAAAAAAATTAAGGCCCACTTCATTCTGATACAGAAATAATTTCCACTGGTCAAATGCAAAAGAGAAAGAGATTAAAAAAGCAAAATAATTCAAAAACCTGATCTTCCTAGCTTGCCACATCGTCTCTAAAATTCCTCAAACTACTGCATTCAAATTGTTTAAATTTGAGAGATAAGTTGTGTATCAAAATTCAGAAATGTGTAACACCGGAGCACTGAGTTCAATGTCTCTAAAAGTGCACACCCAGAAATTCACATTATGCACAAACATTTTACATTGTGAAATTTAAGTGTTATTTGAACTTTATTTCCGCTGTTTGAGAAAAAGTTCTCTATACACATCCATCCTTAACTATTTCCCCTCCTCCTTTTTACAATGCCAAGATTAAACAACATAAACAACTGATTGCCCATTCCCTGCATTTGATCATTCAGCCCACCCGTTCTTTTTTACAGGCCAAGTCTATGGACTTATGAAGCAGTAAACTGTACAAGAAATTATTGTTGTGAAAACAGATGCAAAATGTGGCTGAAAAAGAAGGGAGAAGCTGGGATAGTCCTTGACTGGGCAGCCAATTCAGCAAATAAAGTGTCTTGTGGACAGGTTGGCGAGTAGAGCAAACAGGGACAGAGCCACCCTAGTGCTATATGCATCCACTATGGTAATCTAGCTATCAGTGAACCCGTTAACCTGGCAAGCATGTTGATTTGCAGAGTGAAGTCTTGCATACTGCAAGGGCTCCCCAGGGGGTACTGTACAACTTTCTGTGATCTGAACACAAAAACATCTCTACCCTGTATGGAATCCCTGGCAGTGGAGGCCTGGACACCCATTGTCAGGGTTAGCTGGCAGGTTTTACCCTCACAACAACATGCCACTAAGAGTAAAAGAGCAATGGATGTAAAGTCAATAGACAGTGCTGGGAGTGGGAGTCAATCATTGCACATTCATAGATTTGTCCATCTAGGTTTTGTTTTAGAAAGTCAGATTGTACTGAATACAGGGAATGGACTTTCTGACAGATGCCAGACAGATACATATCTTAATATGTAAAATAAATATGTGTGCAGTTTTACATTAAGCCCCACTTGTTTATCATAATTTCAGCTTTGTCAACTCAAGTCACTGTACACTATTGTTGATAAGCATTTTATTGAAGTCCTTTGAGTAAGTCCACAAAAATTATTAGACTAGGTGCTCAGCTACACAAACTTATGTTAGCCAGGTACAGCAATGGCTTGAAAGAACAAACAAACAGGAAAGGGGCGATACCCCAAATGCCACACGATTCAGGGTGAGAAGGTCAAACTCTCTAGCAGTTTACCAGCTGAAGATACCCACCCAGCTTCTCCAGGAGGTCATTGATCATGCTCAGCAAGCTGCTCACAGAGGTCTTGGCTTTCCTTGCATTGGCTTCTGCTTCCTGAGCTGCCTCCGAAGCCTAGGGAATTAAAAAATAAATTCAAATGGATATGACACCTGAATTCACATATGCATGTGTATAATTCCATATCAATTACTTGTGGCTGACCACATGAACCAGCTAATAAGACACGACCTGTGGTGTTTAATTTGCAGTGAGTAACTCTACACACCTAAGTCCCTGAGTAATGAGCATGCATGTGTCAACTCTGTCTCGAACACTGCAGCATCATGCAATGCCATTTCTGCTGGAAGACAAGGGAGTCGCCCAGGAAGACAAAGGTGAGAGGATGGGAAGGAGAAAAGAAGGAAATGATTTTCCAAATGGCATGAGGCTTCTTTGAAGGGCAGGCAGCCATGCATGGGTTTTGTAAAGTCTCTTTTAAAAAACCAACACACAGTGGTACCCCTGGTTACAAACGCCTCAAGTTACGTTTTTTCGGGTTACAAATGTTTTAAACCCGGAAGTGAGTGTTCCGAGCTCTCGGAGGCCTCGCCACTGCCCAGAGCCAAGCCTGGACATCCGCAGGGCCTATGGAGGCTCCGCGACTGGGCTCCAGCAGCAGGAGCTCTCTGAGACCTCCGTGAATGCCTGGAGCCAGGCCCCGACATCCGCAGGATGCCCAGCAGGTTGCATCCCAGCCCCAAAGATAGGTAAGGAACACTTCCCTAATGAAGACCAAGAGCAGTGAAGCTGTTAAGAAAACAAAGGTGAGCCTGGGCTGAAAAGCCCTTGACCAGCCCTTGCCCCCCCCCAGCCGTAGCAAGATGGGTGGCACCTAGCCAGGTAAGCCCACCTACCATGGGGGGGGGAGTGGAAAATTTTGGGATTCTGCAAGGGATTTTGGGATTTGTTTATGTGAGTCTGCCCTGTGCCTTTGCTCCTTCATTTGGGGGACTTCTGGGGGACTCTGCCTTCTGCCATTGTTTGGGGATCGTGTGGAGCCCAGTTCAGCTACTGGTTGATTGTGTGACTGCAGAAATGGATAAAAACCCTCCATCCAAACAATGACTATCATCAGTGCATGTAAGAAGAAGAAATGTTATTTTTTTCCATCTACAATACTGTCTTATTTATTTTATAGTACAGTACATTGATTATTGCCTTCATTTTATGGATCAATGGTCTCGTTAGAGAGTAAAATTCGTGTTAAATTGCTGTTTTAGGGGGTATTTTTCATTGTCTGGAACGGATCAATCCACTTTTCCATTACTTTCCATGGGAAAGTGCACTTCAGGTTAAGAACGCTTCAGGTTAAGAACAGACTTCCAGAACCAATTAAGTACTTAACCGGAGGTTCCACTGTATGTGCTGATATTGCAGATTAACAATATGCCAATCTAACTCCCCAAAATCAAAGGTTGTTTTTTTTTGAAGCAGACAAAGTAACTCACCATTCCTGCCATCATCATATCTTGATCAGCGCTTTCCTGTTTCGCCTTTAGCTCTCTCTCTGCTGCATCCAGCTGCTGCAACATGTCGCCCACTTCTTTGTCCAGCTCAGCAACAGTGGAGAAGGTCTTGTCAGCATCAGCTTTTGTTGAAGCAGCATTCTAGAATGGGCAGAGACCAAAACCATTTAAAAAATAAATAAAAATACCTGAACAAAGCAAGTATATATGAAAGGATGAAGAGCCTGCACAGCTGGTCCAAACATACATGCAATCTGTTCCTGAGTCCCAATCAACACCAGCACTGGGCTGTGCCTAAGGAAGTCAATGCAGACTCGTACGTGCTTCCCCTCCAGTTAATTCCTTCACTGCTCTTAAAGCCTCATCTTAAAACTTCATTTGAAGTACTAATATTGATTATATGTGTCTATATGAGGTTGCCCCGTACAGTTAGACTGATCGGTGGGTCCACACAGTCCAGTACTTGTCCCAATGTACCAGGGTGCACCTTTCTAGTGACTCATGCAGGGATCATTCCCAGCCTTCATAACCATCTTTACCTGGAGCCACAACGGATTAATACCAGGGGTTTTCCACATGCAAATCGTGTGCTCTGCCACAGAGCTGTGTTTCTCAACAGGGTACGAAAGAACACCCTGCCATGGTATTTGGCCCTTTAATGTTATAGGAAAGCTCTCTCTGTTCTGGGCAGCATTAAGAGCAAGACAGCTGAGCAGGCTTCTTTACCAACTGCTTGCCAGTAGAGAAATGTCAGCTTTTGACTTCCACTAATGCTAAAACAGCAGTTGGTCTCATCGAAGACAGCTTCTTGTCTATTACATATTGCCAAGAGCTGATCTATTTATGCAGAATAATTATGTGAATGACAATGCGCTGTTGCCACTTCAGGCTGTGGACAGGAGGCATGATGTGTTTGGAAAATGGAGAAAGTAAATTCCACACGCATGAAAACCAGCAAGTTGGGAACTTTTGTCCTGACATGCTAGTATTCTGTGTACTGAGAGTTCATTTCATGAACCGTTCAGACATGTTATTCACATCTACGGTCTGAGGACAGATAATTCAGGAAAAACTGTACCACAAAAAAAATACTTTTGAACAAATGAAGCTCCTCAATATGTTGCTTCAGATCAATGGTCCAGCTAGCCCAGTACAGTGGTGCCTCGCAAGACGAAAAGAATCCGTTCCGCGATTCTCTCCGTCTAGCGGTTTTTTCGTCTTGCGAAGCAACCCTATTAGCGGCTTAGCGGCTTAGCGCTATTAGTGGTTTAGCGGCTTAGCGGCTATTAAAGGCTTAGCGGCTTAGCTGCTAAAAGGCTATTAGCGGCTTAGAAAAAGGGAGGGAAATCGCAAGACTAGCAAGACGTTTCTTGCGAAGCAAGTCCATAGGGAAAATCGTCTTGCGAAGCAACTCAAAAACGGAAAACCCTTTCGTCTAGCGGGTTTTCCGTCTTGCGAGGCATTCATCTTGCGGGGCACCACTGTATTTACTAGAGATCGAACATGGAGCCTTATACAAAGGATGTACTCTACCACTGATGCACAAGACTCACCTTCTGCACAGAATTAGCAATTCTCTCAGAATCAGCAGCTTTGTTCTTTGCTTCTCTGGCATCCGCAGCAGCGTTGCCTAGTGCCAATTCCGCTTGCCGTGTCTTATTGTTGGCCTCCAAGATGGTCTGGGTAATGGCAGGAATTCTCCTTAGAGCCTCCTGAGCTGCAGTCTTGTTATCATTCACTCTCTTGTCGAAGTCTGGGGGGGGGGGAAACGTAAGGAAGCCCCACTGGATAACTCAGCCTTCTATTTCTAACCGTGGTCAATCAGATGCCTCTGGGAAGCCCATAGGCAAGACATGAAAGCAACAGCCACCCCCCACCCCCCGCTTGTCCCTAGGATCTGATATTCAGAGGTATATTGCTTCCAAACAGGCAAGGTCCAAATAGCAACTGTCGCTAACAGCCACTGACAGACAGACCTGCCATGAAACACTGTTTTGCATCAAAGGTCTTCGAAACCCACTGGAATGCAAGTGGGTGAGAAGAAACTGGTGTCTCTCCCGCCCCTGCCCCCCATTAAAAATACTTACAATATGTTGTTGACCCTGAGAAGCTTTCAGAGGGGCTTACAAAAAATCCTCACAAGTGATTATCTTTTCTGTCTTGTCATGTAAACGGCTACAGTAAATTTGTCAGAAGGAAACATGTGCAAGGGCTGAAATGTATTGCACCTTGGGAATCCTGCTACAGTGGTTGGAGTTTTTGACTGAGAGCAAAGTTCAGATCTGTGCCCAGTTACGAAGCTTGCTAAGCTATTTGGCAAACCCACCAGGTTTCCATTGACATATGGCCCTCCCAGGAAGCTAACTTCTGCACTTCCTCAAAATCAGGGCGTACGCTCAGTCCTGAACATACACGTTTCACTGGGATAATACTGACGTGATTACAGCAGTACAGTCGGTAGCAAAAGGAAAAACGCGTCCTGTGGAACAATGTTCTGATTCTGGCCCACTCCCCCCCCAAGAGAGGGCTGAGTCCCTCAGGGAGGTCAGCCTGCCATTCTGCAAAATGACTCATCAGGAAATCATGCTGCCACCTACCTTTCAAGTTGCTGAGGATGTCATTGGCCTCCTGGAGGGTGTTGCTCCCCTTCTTGGCGGCTTCTTCAGCCAGAGCCTTGGCAGCATCTGCTCGAGCCAAGAGCTGGTCAGCAGTCTGTGCAAGCACACACAAGGCAGCAGGTCAGCCACACGCTCTCTGCCTCTCTCTACAATGCCTTCATATAGCATGTATCATGCACAGACTGTTTCTACTGAATTTCAATTTATTATTATTATTTTTAAAAATACTGCTTTTATTTATCTTCATGGTACAGAAGACAAATTCTGAGAAAACAATTGTAACAACAGTAAACAACAAGTAAGTTGTCCTAATAAAATTACAGATTTTTATCTTGCCATGTGTTAAAAGTTTCACTTGATTACTCTAAGAGATCACACCACATTTCCCCATGAGCGCTGGGTGGATTCCTGCCACAGTCTGAGTGTTCTTCTTCTTCTGTTTGTACCCCTCCCACCCTGGGCAGCTTCAATGTTTCCCCAAAGGGGCAGGGGCAGGAGTCAAGTCCCTAGCAAAGTAGTGACATTTCCCTAAGCTTTCCCCACCTTAATTCTAGCCCCACAAGGCAGCTCAATGCTTAGGGCTTTGCAATGCTTCTGAAATACACTCAGGCCTGGATTTCGTGAGTCTTCAGTGGGAGTGAGTTCCATAGCAGAGAGGAGAGAGCCACTGACAAGGCTTCTTTCTTCAGTGGATTTCAAGGAGGATGTAATCAGACACAACGGAGGAAGTGGCCTCTAAACCAGACTGACCCTAAGAGTCTCCGATTATCGTGTGACTAAAGCAGCTTACAAGGAAGTTAAACAGTATAGGAAAGTACATTTGCACAGTCACAAGAACAAAATCTAAACGTTTTAAAACAGTTCATATATTTTAAGGAGAAAGATGCTAAAGAATGGGAAGGGTCCTTCATCCTCCCCAACTCTGCTTTTGACTGCTGATTCTGCTTTACTAAGAGGTGTGTAGTCACACCACTATGGTCTCTTTTGGCTTGGACACTAAAACCTTCACTTGCCTTTTACAGCAAATTGTTTCTCCCTTACTGCCTACTCTCTCTCTCCACCCGTCCTTTCCTCGTCTCCAGGCCACTTTCCCTTGGCTCTGGGGCCCATGCTGCCTCTCCACGAACACTTTGCACCTAGCTTGTCCTGCGCATGGTGCAGTCATTCTACAGAACACACAATCAAAAAAAGCCCTAAACACATGTCCACCATACCTCTCCCTGAATTGGCTAACACAAGTTTTCAAAGGTTGAGAGCAGTTAAGCCACTCCTGTTTAACATGCATTTATGGCTTTTGTCAGGGCAAGAGTTTACATACAAGTAGAACTGACCTGCTGTTCAGTCTTGCCCTTCTCCAAAAGGTTCTGTACTTCCAGCTCTTTCCCTTTCATGTCTTCTCTTAGGTCCTCATAATCCTTCAGCTTCCTGTTAATGAGCTGGTCAAGTTCTCTGGCTTCCTTCTTGATCTTATTCGCCTCGTTCTGCACGTGGAGAAAACAGGAAGAGAAATGGCTTTTGTGGATGCAGCGACTGTGTATTATACATTTTATGGCACATTTCCAAGGGTTTGAATTTACAAACATGGTATCTGATGAGCTGGATCAAAACCACCCTTTAAAAGACCTCAAACCAGGATCAGATACCGCAGTGCTATCTGCAGCACATCCTGAAGTACCCAGAAGTGCCTCAACACAAATATAAGTATTTCAAAAAGCATTAAACAAATAATCTCTTAGCTGACATCAACAGCTTGAACCATTTATCTCTGGTGTCACCTACAAAAGCTAAACAAGTTTCACTTTTATTGGTGCTTTAAAGCTCTTCCAACAAACTCTACACAAAGCCCAACTCAGCATATCTCTAGCTCGGAAAGAGATGCAACCTGTCTCCTTTTATTAGGTGTTTTAGATTACTCTTAATCAACACAAGCTATAAAGTGATGCTAATTTTACTGATTATGGCAGCATGTTTGGAGATAGCCACATGCTGCCACACCACAACTAGCTTATCAAGACTCCAAGAAAACACAAGAATAGTCAGTTGCACTTGTAGAAAAGTTGACTTGCCAAATAGGGGTGGGCCAGAGGCAAACTGGATCCGATGTCCTATGCCACCTGGCAACTGTTCATTTCTTACATGCAATGGGATAATCAAGCATGTCACCCACCTTGAATACATTATAACTTGTGGAAACACTTACTGGACTGAAGAATTTTAAAAATGAATATACATGTCCTATTGCACCTTTGAAATCTATCCCCCTTTGGGATCAGCCATGATATTGCTAGTGTTGACTATGTTTGGTTGTTGTATATATTTCAAAAATAGTAAGATGACAATAAAAAACATACCTCTAGCTCCTCAGAGTCTATAGATGGCAGACTGGTGAGGTTGGCATAGATCTGCAGGGCCTTATTCCCAGCCTCCTCAGCATCTGCATGGACTTTGTTTGCCTGCTTTTCTAGATCTCGGGAAATGTCTTTTGCCTGGTTATACCTAGGAAACAAAGATAACCTTACTATTGTTCCTCTTTGGCCTGTTGGCTCAAGGTACTATTTCTGCTTTGGATGCAACAGGTCCTGTGCTCAAGGAGTGGGTAGGTGGGTATGGCTGCAGCAGATGGAAAGGGCCTGCAGCTCAGTAGCTGAACAAACTTTTGCACGCAAGGAGCCCCTCATTTAATCTCTGACATCTTTTCAACTTAGATCTTAGGGAGCAGAGCTGGGAAAGACTGGTGCCTGGAGCAGTCTAAAAAGACTTAAAAGAGCTGGTGCCAGTCAGAACAAATCATACTGAACCTGATGGATCAATGGTTTGGCAGAATAGGGCAGCCTTTCTAGTAAAGTTAATCAGAGATGCTTTCAGTAACAGGTAGGTAGCTGTGTTGGTCTGCCATAGTCGAAACAAAATAAAAAAATTCCTTCCAGTAGCACCTTAGAGACCAACTAAGTTAGTTATTGGTATGAGCTTTCGTGTGCATGCACGCTTCTTCAGATACCAATGGTTTCAGATAAACAATTTCAGAGATGCTTTCAGATAAACCATTAAACAGTTCAATGCAAATACACACAAACACTGAATTAAATATGGAAACTGGCCGGGAATACACTGCACCTATGGATGGACAGCTGAACAAGCAACCAGTCAGCTTCCATTTAAAAGGTACAGGTCATTTTAAGTATCCCCAATTGGCCTGGCCCTGACCCATGCTTTAAAATTGATCTTTGGGGTGGTGGCGGAGTGTGGAGAGGGTATCTGGACCAGGACTCCAGTTATGAGAACTAAAATCTGAGTTTCTCTTCCCTAGGAGTACAGGTCAGTTTCCTCAAAAGAAGCATATCTGATAACTGAACTTTGCCATTTTCAGCACCAAGTTAAAACTGCTGTATTCAGCCAGCCTTTTAAGTTCTTTAATGCCGCCTTGTTTTAACCCTTTAGCTTTTATTTATTTTTTAATATAATTTTTATTAAGTTTTCCATATTTCATTACATTTCAGAATCAAAAATCAAAGAATTTATAACTTAAAGCATTACTTAAATAAAGCATCAACCTCCTTCCCTCCCTTTAACAGACTTCCATATCACTTTATCAATTTCTTCACATTCCTGTGTTTCACTTTTTTTACCTTATATCATTCTTAAAGCAATCACCTTCTTATAAGTAAATCAGCTTCTTAATTTCCCATTACCAAACATTCCAACTTAAACCTACAAACATTTCCAACTGTTTGCAATTTTCTTTCATATAGAGTATACATTTCCCCCAGTCCTTTTGGAACAGTTCATCGCGGCGATTCCGAATCTTCCCCGTCAGCTCTGCCAGCTCCACATTCTTTAGCACCTTTGTTGCTAGTTCTGCATCTAGTGAGGCCATTCAACACAAATAGCAGGAGCAAATCCAGGTATGCCACAAACTGTACACTGAATGGGGAGCTACAGTAAATCCTGGGAATGTATGTGAATGAACCATATTTCTTTAAAGACACTTCAGTCTCATTCACATTTTACAATTATAGATATATGCTTCGTATGTGCACATAAAAACTTCCCTAAGCCTAATACTGATAAAAGTTTTATGCCTTAGGCTCCTGGATATAAATTCCTGTCATCTGTTTTTGCATACACAGTAACTATTTTAGCTATTCTGCTTCTTATGATCACTGCAGCATGTTGGACAGTTGAAACATTTTAAAAATAAAGCACCTCAATTTGTGTCTTCACTTCATACTTACTTCCTATTAAGGTCACCGATGTCATTCATGGTCTGATTCTCCCCTGCCAGCGTCTCCAAGAGCAGCTTATATGCTTCTGTCGACGTATCATTTGCTTCTTTAGCTACACGAACAATGTCATCTGCTTCTTGCTTGTGCCTGAGAAGTATTAGGAGAGCAAAACGAAATGGTTAGAGAACCATCATTGTTTTCTCTCCAAACATTATAGTCGGAGTTAGACCCTAGGCATCATTTTCAAAGAGAATTAAAACATGCCATAAATCTTCAGTTTCAGGAACACAGCCTGAATTGTCCCTGAGAATGTAGCTATTCCTAAAACAGCAATGGCCAGCCTCTTTGTCAAGGGCACCTCAAGTGTGCTGCTGCATAAAGACAATACTCCATGTTTTCTGCTGCTGTATTCTCTAGCCAAGTAGCAGCACAACACTGGAGAGGCAGGCAGGAGTAGAGGCCAGGCTCACTGGATCCTCCTGTTCCTCTTCAGAGGTATCAAAGATCCATGCTGTCAATGCCCACTGGCTGGCCATTCACCACAGCTAGAGGTGGCTGCCTCTCCACTTCTTGCAAAGGACTGACACAATAGTTCTCTTTCAAAAGCTTGTAGAAATCCACAGCTAGTATTTTTTTTCCTTTAAGGGGTGGGTGGGAAAGATTCACAGAACCCAGGTTAAAATTAAAAAGGGAGGAACTTAAAGAAGTGGATGAAGCACTCCAGCTTTTCATGGGCTTGTGGTGGATGAAGGACTTCCATTCTTTTGTGAGCTGGTTGACCAACAGTCTCTGTTCATGTAAGGGGATTCAGATCCTGGTCTCTCCCAAATACAGTGGTACCTCGGGTTAAGTACTTAATTCGTTCCAGAGCTCTGTACTTAACCTGAAACTGTTCTTAACCTGAAGCACCACTTTAGCTAATGGGGCCTCCTGCTGCTGCTGCGCTGCCGCTGCACGATTTCTGTTCTCATCCTGAAGCAAAGTTCTTAACCCGAGGTACTATTTCTGGGTTAGTGGAGTCTGTAACTTGAAGCGTATGCAACCTGAGGCACCACTGTAATTGCCTATTTTCCCATTACTCAACAAGACTGTTCAAACAGGAAGTGACTAATATAAAAGCGGGAACAGGGCGGGGAGGGGAAGGAAAGAGACATACAACAGACTGAGCTAGCAGATACTTGCCAGTGTTATCAGAACAGAAGGTGGGGGAAGAGGACAAACTGATGACATACTCGCTTTGAGCAGACAGGTAATATACTCGCTTATCTGGCCGAGACTGCACCCTTCAGGGCCAGTTCTTACAAAGCATTTTGAATTTACGTACAGATATACCTGAGCACAAAATATATACCTAACACATTTAGTTATGCTTTCATGTATGCTTTTTGTAGGTTTTTCTTCTCCTTAAAAGAAGCACAATGAGAAACTGCACACCATGCATTTCAAAAGTAGAATCTTCTATTTATACATGCAAACACCCCTTTGTAACCTAAACAGTGCTTAAGTATGCACTGTGCATTCAGTACTGTAGAAAAGATAAATATGCCTTGTTAAGATGCAACCCTCAGTTAAATGATTAGAAGCAGCACCATTCAAGCAGTTTATGGCTATGCTGAGACTGCTCCATTATGGGCCTCCCTTGTTCTATTCACCTTAGGGCAAAATGGAAAGGTAAGAACAAATGGGGGATAGAATGGGAGCAGGGAGGAAACAGGTCCCCCCAAAGGAGAGAGGGGCTGGTGGTTCTAGTGCGAAGAACAGTGAAAGGGAGGGTGGTAGGTGTGATCTTAAGGTACGCTGCAAGAGGGAAAGATGGAAGTGACTTGAGGAGGGGCAGCCTTGTGTTTCTTGACAATGTGTTGCTATATTGTTGATTACATTTATAAAACTGCCCTTTCCATGCTCAGAACAAATGGAGAAAACAAGGAAAACAGGCTAAAATGCAGCACCATCACAAAGCAGCTAATCCATCAGGCCAAAAGTACAACCAGCAGCTCTCCTAAAAATTCTCAATTTCTACTCAAGCTCCTTCCTCAAATACCTGTGTAAAGAAAGTAGCCTTCACTTGCTGGCAAAAATAAATCATGGAGCGGCACGACGGAACCTCCATGAGGATGCGGTTCCATCACACGGATCCTTCACGAAGGAAGCGCATGGTATTCACCAAGACCAAGAGGGTTAAACATGCAGAAGGTATGCTAAAGATGCCATGGGCCTTACCGGGCAGCCAGCTGGCGGGCTTCTTCTGCCAGGCGAGTCATGTTGTTGGGGTCGCTGGTTGATTCTGGTGGAGTAATAGACTGGAGAAGAACCAAACAGACTTTTAAGGTCTTTTATATTTTTAAACAAATGAGCAGTAGCTACTTGCCTTCTCAGATTAGGACTGGGTCTAAAGTACGGACTGGAGCTAGACATGGTGAGAAATATGGGGCCCTTGCTGATACAGGCAAGTCTTGTGTGGTTCTCCCTCTTCCCCTGGTCTGTGTCGGTATGGAAATAGGCAGTGAGGCCCAAGAAAACACTTATTCATGACTCAACATATGAGAGAGAGAAAGAGGAACTCAGCACAAGGTTGCCAATATCTCAAATATTCAAGGCACTCAAATTCAGTAATTTTAGCTCTTTCAAAAAGGAACACAAGAACCACTCACCACATTAGCAACTGCCACCTTTGCTCTCTGCAGCATATCTGAAGCTGTTTCAATCAGTTCCTGGGTGCTGTCCACCCGGGCCTGGGCCCGCTCAGCCAGATTCTCTGTCTCTTCCACTGTGTTCTGGATGTTCCTCAACCGACCAAGTTGGCCGGACAGAGTTCTGTTGATCTCCTGCAAGCGATCCATCAAGCCCTGGTCTACATCTGGAACAGACCAAGCCAAGCAACACGCACAGACTGAACTAATTGCACAAAAAAATGTGGCATGAACAAGAATAAGGCATTGTGCCCACATGCTTTTACTGATAATTGCTTTTACTAAAAAAAAAAAAGAAAGAAAGAAAGAAAGAAAGAAAAAGAAAAGAAAAGAGTGTGAACAGGAATGTAAAGAAAGGTGGATGCAAAAACTCCCAAGACTTTGGCAGCATTTAGGCATTTCCCAAGGATATGGAAATGGTCAAACTGAAAGAATCCTGGGCAGAGGATTTTAGAGAGGAACTTCATGGAGGTGTACTTTAAAATCAATAAAAGGTGTTCTTAAGAGGGCAGCACTTCTCTATTAGGACCACACACAGCAAAAGCAGAGGGAGTGAACCGGAATGTCTTCAAGTTCTTCCTCTGAACTCATCTCTTCTCATGAAGCCCTTGGTTTTTCCTAATCCCTGATTGACACAAAGTTTTAACTGTACTTGCTTAGATTCATCCCTTGTTACCCCTTCCTTTCTCCCCAGCTGTCTCTTTCACTATCAAAGTTCAGATTAAATATTCCTTTGGGCAGGGACAAAACACTTGCAGATAACACATTATGACAGGAACCACAGTACAGCTTCTTTCTACTGCACACAGGGTGGGGATAAAAAAACAAAAAAACCCCACCAAGACCCCTGGAAACCCCTGCTTCAAGTTACAAAATTCTTTCACAATTGCCTGTTGAACAAATTAAGCTATTTTCTGATTTGAGAAATCCAGGAAAAAAACCTCTACACTTTGGATTAAACTTTTAGGAAAGAGACTTTTAAATTTGGTTTCCACTTATAATCACAAAAGAATACACCACTGCTATCGCCATCAAACACTAAAACCTAATTACTTCAATGTTATTACTTTCAGAAGATCACATCTCTTCTGAAATATTTATTTATAATTTATTTGTAAGAGAATTTCTAGCCCACCTCATCATATGATCCCAGCGTGGCAAAACCACAGAGTTGGAAGGGACCGTGAAGGTCATCTAGTCCAACCCCCTGCAATGCAGGAAACTATTGCCCAACGTGGGGCTCGAACCCATGGACCTGACAGTCTCATGCTCTATCAGCTGAGCTATCCCAATGGAACGTAATTTATAGAAGCAGATACAAATGCAGCACACCTTTGGGGAGCAGCTAGGGAGCGACAATCTCAGTTCCTCAGTTGCTGCAGTGACAGAATTACTAAACCCCCCACCCCAAATAAAAAAGCCTAATCAATAACATGCGACAATCCTGGGGAAAGAAGGGTATTCAGAAATAAATCTGTGTCCCCCACCTTTGCTGTTTTGGGCATCCTGAAGCAAGTCCATGACATCTCGTTCAGCTTCTTTCAGCCTGTCTTCAAAAGCCTGGTCAGTTATAGTTTCTTCACCTGTTCCTATGTTGGCTATAAGATTCTCAAGCTCCTGCAATCTCTCCCGCTGCTCTGCCACCTAAAGAGAAATGACAGAAAGGAGGGATGAGGAAAGATGTTTCCACTTGCCAAGTGTTTGAGACTCCAGTGGGAAACACTCAGTCCTCATCTACAGATCTCTCTCTACAATTAAGTATAGGACTTCACGCGGCAACAATATCTCTGTGTTAGCACATGTTTCCAATTAAGCTGGAGAAGCCTAAGGTTGTCGTATTTGCCAGTTTTTAGTACTCATGCTTGTGTGGGAAATAATCTGCAAAGGTTTTGACAGTGTTCCTAACATATTAAAGAACATATTAAACGAACAAGCAGTTAAACTCAACTGGATGGATAACAATTTGGCAGACTTCTCCAAATGCCTGGGTGATATAACTTCCAACAACTTCTGAAGCTGCATTGTAGAACAGGGAACACTTTGCAATAAAAGTTATGGGTCCACTGTGGACTTTTTTTGAGGAAGCAGGGTGGGGGGATTGTCACTGCCTTTTTAAGGGCAGCAAAAACCCACCCCCTGCACAACGGTGTGATGCATTCGCCATACACTGGACCCAACTAGTCAATCCCCTCTGGCTAGGTCAAAGCAGTCAAGGAAGGCAAGGTGTTGAGAGGTCTGCACCACCCTTCAGCGCTATTTCTCCCCTTGCCTTGCAATTAGGGCTATTTGGAGAACTCGCTTTTTGAAAATTCTAACATAAATAGACCTTATCCACACATCCCAGACTATGTACAAATTGGTACAGTACATTATCATCCTCTGGATCCTACACATTTGGAAGTGTGTATTTTAAGAGACTTTCAAACCCAACTCAATCCAGCTGACTTAACCATGGTAATGTACAAACACAGCCAGTGCAGATCAACACACTGTAAATCTGGAGCCAGCCTTGAGAATGGGCTTCCTCCCACTACCCTCCCTTCTCTGGAGCAATGTCCCCCTCTCCCTTCATTTCTCCAGGTTGATAATTACATGACCACCCAAACAAAATATGATTAATACAACCAAAGGTCATTTACAACCATGATTTGCAAACCCAGCTGAACTGACAAAACCACACAGTTTTACAAGCCTGACCTTATCTTTCACCAATCTGTAACATGCAGGGCACTCTTGACAGCCTGGCCAAGATCGATTGTAGAAATAGTTCTCTTCACACTGGTCACAGCGGTTCCCAACAAAACCTTCTTTGCACTCACAGCGGCCATCCTCTTTGCACTGAAGAGATCGAGAACCTTCAGGGTCACAGTCACAAGCTGCAGAAAGACAAGATTTAAAAATAATTATGAGGAAGAGGAAAATGAGAAAAGGGGATTTGGATGAATATATTTCAGGACACACTTAAACGGTTTGTTACGCCTTGAAGACCAACGAACGTCTTTAAAGTGTCACAGGATTAACAAAGCTAACATTTGTTGGTCTTTAAGGCATAAAGGAATCTTTGTTGTCTAGTGTGATGTGGAAACTGTACATTTATGACAACAGCTGACTGGATCTGTGAGTCGTATGCATATGAAAGTTTGCAATCACTTTCATGATAGCTCAGCTTGAGCAAGTTAAGACTCACTGAAGCCTAAGGGATCACTTGTGAGTAAATCTGCTAGTTTGCACCTTTTGTGAAAGACCCATCTAACCAATTATTGGTGTCCTTATTTTCACATAAATTATGTTGTATGGCATTGTGGCTATTCCTTCAAGTGTAAGCACAACCTTCCAAGTCAACTTTGTCCTCGACACAAAGCAAAGAAAGCAACAAACTGTTTCTTTCAGCCTGCTTCTCATTATGTAGATGCCTCCAAGTCTGGTTTTCGTTAGGACCACGAGAAACCCAGTGTGCATGTCAGTACTCTATGCTGATCCAAATAAACACACACTTTCATCCCGCCTAAGAACAAAAGGTGGAGGTTTGAAAGGGGTGTCCACTCTGTGAAAATACCAGTGATGATGGGATTTGTCTGGTCTGCGAAGCAAAGACTTTTTGGAAAGGTATTGGGTGAATATGCCATATCTGATATGTCTTTTAATATCAAGATGCAAGTGTGCAAACTTACATATAAACTCTCTCCATGGACCTCAGTGAGCCTTACTTGCTCCATCTGGGCTGTGAGAGAGTATTTCTGGGTGATCTACAAACGTACATATTATACAACATACACCTGCAAGATGAAAATGGTAGGCAAAACCACATAATTTTGCATCTTTCGATGCACTTAAGACATTGAGCTACTAGCAAAACAAAAACAGCTACTCATTTAGTAAGTATTACATTCTTACGAACATACCACCTCATCTGCTGTTTGCAAGAACAAGACTCTACGAAGGAGCTTTGAGGTCTGCTTCTCATGTCACACCTTAATAATATGAAATCCATTCATGCAAGGCCACATTCATGCTTAACTATATGAAAAGCTTGGCATAAATTCTCTACTCTTGTAGATGTAGTCACACTTCAAATGACACTTGCCAGCACAGCTGTGCACATGTACTAGGTCAAATGATGGCTCCCCAGAAACCATGGCTTGCAAACTGAAATGAATGCTTCCTTGTCCTCCTTCCTTCCCTATTCTCCAACCTCTCCTTGCCAGGCGGAATCATGGGTTAGCATTATATGCTCATCAACACAAATACTGGGTCCCAAGCACTTTCCAAACAATGATTTTCATCTCTCAATCAGATGTTTACTTATTCAACATAAAACTATGGATAATGCTGCAAAGGGAAGACAGCTCTGTAGAGAGAAGGTGGGAATACAGCAATATTCCAGAGGCCAGCTTCCAATCTACAAGCCACGGTTTGCAGGGAAACACAGATGCATGTTCACTGGGGCACTGTATCAAACCAACACTTAGATTCACTTTACTCTTGAGATATTAGGGAACCCGAGATGGGAGGGTTTAGATAAGTAGGAATGTATGTCCCAATCTGACACACTTTGCATGTTCTCAAGCCCGAGTTAGCAGCTAAAGGCCACATTCCAGAGCAGAGGCGTAGGAGTGTAACAGCCAGAAAACAGGTCAGTTCTGGGACAAAACTCAGAGCAAGTGTTTATGACAACGAGCAGCAGATGGTCTACAAGTATATGCAATCATAATGCCCTAGAGGGAGAAAGTTAAGACTCACACAACTGCAAAAACATCCTCAATAGACTTGAAACTCACACAACATGCAGGAAGCAGACAGACAAAAGAAAAAAATGGGGAGAGTGACGCAAAGAGCCTCTTGTGGTGTCCAAGTCCACAAGCACACTAATAGTGGTGAGCAACGAAACACATTTTCAACAGAGAAGAAAAAATGGTGATAAACAAATGTAAGCGAAAAAGATGGGAAAGAAAAACCATGTTCCCTGCCCCCTTGCTTACGTTTGCAGCCTTCAGGACCAAATCCAAAATGGTTTGCTTCACATCTCTCGCAACGCTGCCCAGTAATGCCTGGCTGGCATTCACATTGCCCTGTCTGTATCTCACAGTGGCCGTTAGTGGAACCCAATGGATGGCAGTTACACCTACCAGAGGAGGAGGAGGAGGAGGAAGGAAAAGAATAACACATTTTTTTAGCGTTAAGGCACAAAGTTAAAGCAGTAAGATTGCACTTGACCATCATGTTTGATTTGGGTACAGTGCAATGAAAGTCACATTCGCCATGAGAAGTCTGAAATAATGCTGCATCAAAAAGTGCCAATATGAAATGCAAGATAAAATGCATTTGCCTGCTTTCCATAAAAATATAAGCCTTAAACACATCCAAAAAAACCTCACAAAGTGGAAGATTGCTAGCTCAATAAGGCAGCCTTCTAAATGCTAGTCTACTATTTGAGGAGCAACTTCTTCCCTCCTAAGAACTGGATTGAGATCCACCCCAGGGTCACAGAAACAGACCTACAATGTAGTTACTGCCACCTGCAATAGTAATTAGCAGTGTCCCAAAATTTCAGCTGGTTATTATTATCAGCCTAGGAAAAAGCAAGGGAAGGGGGGAACGGGCCAAAGTGTAGCTATAGCTATTAAGGCAGTTTCTGAAGGGAAGAGGGACTAAAAGGTTAAGTAATGTCTTCAAAGAAAAGGTGGGATTTTAAGTAGGTATATGAAGGGAGGGTGCCACCATATTGATCTTCTGGGAAGGATTTATAGGCACCATTTTTGCCACCACTGCTCTCCTAACCTTCCCCCAAGGAGTTCTTGTGACAAGTTGGGACGCAGCTCACCTCTCGCAGCCCCGTCTGCTCTGCAGGTTGTAGAAGCCGGGCTGACAAGAGCTGCAGTCCCTTTCTGTGACGTGCGGAAGGCACTCACACTGCCCCGTTACTTGATTGCAGTTGGTCTGTAAGTTCACCGTGCCGTAAGGATTACAGCTGCAAGCTGCAGGAGCAAAGGGGGACCCATCAACACGTATTTTCCAATGAGAAAGGGTTCGGAGAACAGCTGTGGACTAGTTGAAGTCGCAGGAAGCCCAAGGCACTTTGTGTTTTCAGTGCTTCTGTACCATGTTGGAAACAGAAGTCTCCCCATCTCCCCTTAGGGTGCGCCCTCAATGGGGGAAAGTGCAAAAGTACTATTTTGTATTTCAGGTGTTTTATTATTCAAAATGTTGCAATACATAAATCCGGGGGTGCCTCCCTGCAAAGGGCAAGCAACTATTCTTTGCAAGTTCAAGATGAAAGATTATGTTCAGTTTTACCACAATGATTACAAGTGCCTAGGAGATGGGGAGTGTCTTGTGTTCTGACCTAGACCTCTGGATTGTAACAAAGAATGTATTACAGACACATACCTTTGCACTTGTCCTCTGTATTCTGAGCCAAGGGATTCCCATAGAATCCATCTTTGCACCGGTCACAGTAGAAACCAGCCGTATTATAGATGCACTTCAGACATTCGCCCGTCAAGCGGTTGCAATTCCCAACAGCATTGGGGTCAATGTTGTCACTGCACTGGCAGAGGCGGCAAAGCCTGGCGGGGCCATTCTCACCAAGAGGATCTCCAAAATAGCCATCATCGCACAATTCACACCGTTTGCCTACAAGGGCAAAGCACATTAGAAAGCAAAATGAATTTTCTTGGATGCTGTTCTCTTATAGCCTAAAAAATATCAGGTGAGTGAAACCAAGCGTTTATAATTTCAGAACTCTAATCCACACAAACACCAACACGCAATTCATTCAAGTAATGAAAATTGATCTTGCATTTATCACTTAATCGAGGCATGGCCAAACTTGGCCCTCCAGCTGTTTTGGGACTACAACTCCCATCATCCCTAGCTAACAGGACCAGTGGTCAGGGGTGATGGGAATTGTAGTCCCAAAACAGCTGGGGGGCCAAGTTTGGCCAGAAAACTCAGGTGATGAATACTAACAGAACTGTAGCCAAAATGAAGCCACTGAAACAAGAGGGATGCTGGGAGAATCCCAAGATTTTAAGAAATGCATTTCAAAAAGAAAGACTCCAGGGGTCAAACCACCTCCCAACAGTCCTATGAGCTCCAAGCATGTTCAGTAGCAACAGCATGTGCAGTGAGATATGGAAAGGAAAAACGGAAGAGTGTGAATGCCATGCCTGGACAGAATGCTTGGCTGGAACCTGGAACAGAAATACTTCCTTTAGGCCACAATGCAAAATTTTGTTGCTGGTCCCATTTGTTTATTATACCTGCATGTTGTTTTTTCCTCCAAAGAGCTCAGAGTAGTACTTTAGCCTCACAACAATGCTGGGAGAGAGTAAAGCACTGTGGATATGAAAATTTGTTTTTCATGTCCAAATCCAACAATCAAACCATTGTGTCACACTGGAGTTATTCAACTGACATGATAAGCTGTAGTTCACTGGGATGGAAATGAGCCTGTGGTAGCCTTGGGTTCATGCCCCCCCTCTGGTGTAACCACAAGGTTTGAAGGCTTTCACTTCCATTTTTTATAAATTGTAGCTTGCTTTGACATCTGATTATTATTATTTTTTTAAAAAACTTACTTTGTTAAAAAAAAGCTAGCTACAAACCATGGTTAAGACCAGTGTTTTTTCCTAGAAAAAGAGGTGCAGGGACTCCCAAAAAGTTGTTGAGCTTTTTTGATGGACAACCCTAAGAGAGCCTTTTTTAGCCCAATCGTCCCACTGCTAGCATCACTGTGGCCGCATTACAACGTCACCTCCGACACTCTGTGCAGCCCAAAGGCTCCGACACGCAGCTCTGGGCAGCGTGCTGCTAGATAGCTGTCAGTGCGCTACAATGAGGTGCCGCAATGCACCAAAGAGGTTGCGGAACTCAGTTCCGGTGACTTCCGGATGAAAAAAAGCCCTGGTTAAGACTGAACACAGTTTAGGGTTCAGTAGCAATTTTTATGGTTTGGTTGAATCTGGTTAACCAAAAATGGAAATGACATCTTCCCTGTGGCTTCTTCACTAGTGCTGGGAAGCAAGTGGGAACTTGAGACTTTCACAGGCTCATTCCCATCTCAATAAACCATGCTTCCAAATTCAGCCACCAACTCTCTGAATAAAATACTACTATTAAATAGTATACTATTAAGACAAGCCAACTTGTAAAGAACTGAAAACAGAGAAGGCATTGTTCTGAGATTTAAGTACAAGGTCCCTCTTGAAGGCTTATAAAAGAATGAAGGTAATATGGGGAAGGCAGGAGGAATAAAAGAGAAAAACCAAAAGGGAAAGGAGGAAGAAAGGAATTTTTAGGGGAAATCCAATGTGTGCGTAAACTAAATGTAAGCTATAAACATCTTTCTTGGTCATTTTCTTACAAAAGGAAAAAGCAACAGCAGACTGATGTCAAAGAATGGTTGCAAGTGGCACAAAGAAGACAGCTCTGTGGGAAGACTTAAATGCTTTTTGAAAATGGGAAGAAATTTAAGTTGAATCGACTATGGCTGGCAACAAATTCCAAAGTTAAGAGCTATAAAGGGGTTGGGCAAAATACAAGATGAGAAGGAAGAAATATGCCATCTTGACAAGGGGGAAGCCCTCCCCCATGACTTGAAAAATCAAGGAGTTAAAAGAAAGAAAGCAGAGCTGAAAAGTGAAGCAACATTTCCACAGTAAAAACCTTAAACTGAAAAGGAATTTGCTGAAACATGATGGAGAGCAAACAGGTATAATCAAATTTATAATCCATACAAAGACCAAAAGAGTGCAAAAGAGGAAATGCTAAGGAGCAACCAGGATCATAGAATCATAGAGTTGGAAGAGACCACAAGGGCCATCGAGTCCAACCCCCTGCCAAGCAGGAAACACCATCAGAGCACTTCCTGACATATGGTTGTCAAGCCTCTGCTTAAAGACCTCCAAAGAAGGAGACTCCACCACACTCCTTGGCAGCAAATTCCACTGTCGAACAGCTCTTACTGTCAGGAAGTTCTTCCTAATGTTTAGGTGGAATCTTCTTTCTTGTAGTTTGGATCCATTGCTCCGTGTCCGCTTCTCTGGAGCAGCAGAAAACAACCTTTCTCCCTCCTCTATGTGACATCCCTTTATATATTTGAACATGGCTATCATATCACCCCTTAACCTCCTCTTCTCCAGGCTAAACATGCCCAGCTCCCTTAGCCGTTCCTCATAAGGCATCGTTTCCAGGCCTTTGACCATTTTGGTTGCCCTCCTCTGGACACGTCCCAGTTTGTCAGTGTCCTTCTTGAACTGTGGTGCCCAGAACTGGACACAGTACTCCAGGTGAGGTCTGACCAGAGCAGAATACAGTGGCACTATTACTTCCCTTGATCTAGATGCTATACTCCTATTGATGCAGCCCAGAATTTTTGTTAAGGGGGCAGAACCTCAGATTTGTATTGATTTGAATTGATTTAGGGGGGCAGCTGCTGCCCCCCCCCGCCGCTCCTGGCTACACCCTTGAGTTTTATGTTTGCATGTTTTAGTTCTTGTGTTGGCAGAAAATGTATTTGAGTTGGGAGAATCTTTAGAAAGGGACGGGAGACGGCTCTCTCCTCTCGATCACATTCAGACAGATGGCTTCTCGCAACTGCCACAGACACCGTACAGAAAGCTATTGTTATTTTCATCTATCCATTGATAGATATGGTAGAACTAAAGATTAACGGGGGGGGGGACTTGAACTTCAAAGAAACAGGAGTCCAGGTGCATCATGGCTGTTAGGGCTGATAAGAAATACAAAGGAGCCGCCAACACTAAGATGTAAAAATTTTTTTGTCTTGGCTTGCACAACTCTTACAAGCTCATTCATGGAATGCAGACAAGTTGCACAATTTTTGGGGGGCTGCCTTCTCCTCAGATGAATCAGCCAATAGTTCATCTGGGGGCCAATTCTAAACTGCCTTGCAATTCACTAGGACAGGAAGGAGAGACTGTGTGTGTGTGTGTGTGTGTGTGTGTGTGAAGTCTTCTACTTGCTTTAATGGTCAATGAGGCCAGTGACCAAATGGGACAGTTCCTCTTTTGTGTTTGTTTGTCTTCAGCTTTCCTGGATACCTATTATCCACAGTTCTTAAGCATCACCCTCAGATGGGCTGCAAAGTCTATTTCCCCAGTCAAACAATACCCAGGCAGGAAGAACCAGATGCACAAATATAGGATGGGGGACACTTGGCTTACTAGCAGTACACATGAAAAGGATCTAGGGGTGAACCGCAAGCTTAACATGAGTCAACAGTGTGATGCAGCAGCAAAAAAAGCGAATGCTATTCTAGACTGCATCATCAGAAATCTAGTGTCCAGATCAAGGGAAGTAATAGTACCACTCGATTCTGTCTTGGTCAGATCACATCTGGAATACTGTGTCCAATTCTGGGCACCACAATTTAAGAAGGATGCTGACAAGCTGGAACATGTTCAGAGGAGGGTGACCAAGATTCCCAAGGGTCTGGAAACCAAGCCTTATGAGGAATGGTTGAAGGAGTTGGGGATATTTAGCCTGGAAAAGAGGAGCCATCTTCAAATATCTGAAGGACTGTCCAAACAGAAGAGGAAGCATTCTTGTTTTCTCCTGCTTCTGAGGGCAGGACTCGAGGCAATGGCTTCAAGTTGCAAGAAAGGAGATTCCGACTAAACATTCAGAAAAGCTTGCTGACAGTAAGAGGAGTTCAGCAGTGGAACAGACTCCCACACACAAGGTGGCGGACTCTCCTTCCTTGGAGATTTAAGCAGAGGTTGGACGGCCATCTGTCCCGGGTGCTTTAGCTGAGATTCCGGCATTGCAGGGGGTTGGACTAGATGACTCTTCCAATTCTAAGATTCTATGGTTTTATGTACAAAAGTAAGAGCATGTGCTTGTCATTGGAGGTCCTTGTCAACATCCCCCTCCCTGAGGGGTTCAGAGGGTGGCAAAATGAAAACGGGCCTTTTTGGTGGTGACTTGCCTGACGTCATCATTACATGTCTTAGGTGCCAGACGAAAACAATCCTTTCACCCAGGTCTTTGGCCATTATATAGTCTATGGTCTGTTAAAGGGGTGGGGGCACCTTTTATTATGATTATTTCATTATCATAAACATAGCTTTGTCTATGTTTTTATTTTTATGTCCTGTAAAATGTGTTTTTAATGTTATATAAAGAGGCCTGCTTCTTGGGAGAAAAGCAATGACAAACCTGGACAGCATCTTAAAGAGCAGGGACATCACTTTGCCAACAAAGGTCCGTATAGTTAAAGCTATGGTCTTCCCAGTAGTGATGTATGGAAGTGAGAGCTGGACCATAAAGAAGGCTGATGGCCGAAGAATGGATGCTTTCAAATTCTGGTGCTGGAGGAGACTCTTGAGAGTCCCGTGGACTGCAAGAAGATCAAACCTATCCATTCTGAAGGAAATCAGCCCTGAGTGCTCACTGGAAGGATGGATACTGAAGCTGAGGCTCCAATACTTTGGCCACCTCATGAGAAGAGAAAACTCCCTGGAAAAGTCCCTGGTGTTGGGAAAGATTTAGGGCACAAGGAGAAGGAGACGACAGAGGACGAGATGGTTGGATAGTGTTCTTGAAGCTACCAACATGAGTTTGACCAAACTGCGGGAGGCAGTGGAAGACAGGCGTGCCTGGTGTGCTCTGGTCCAGGGGGTCACGAAGAGTTGGACACGACTAAATGACTAAACAACAACAACAACTGGCCTGGGATCTTTTGATAAAGAGCAGTATATAAATCAAATAAATCATCATCATCTATTGCTCCATTCACACTCTGACCCTGCCAACCGCTGTCCTGCAACCCCCCAGGTAGTTGTCAATGAAGGTATGTGGAACCTGAGCTGTAAAAAGTTCCCCACCCCTGTATTAAAAAAAGTAATAAAGTGTATGGAACATCATTCAACCATTTCCCCACCTTAAGAGACCTCTGGCAAGTAGCATGTGAATACGCATAACTGAAGCTTCATGTATGGCAGCATACCTGTAGTACCAGCTGGGCAACTGGTGCACACCACCTCCTTGGTTTTGGGCACTATGGCGCAGCTTGATCCCCCTGGACATGGACAGGGCTGGCAGTCGGAAGAGCTGCCTGTGGTTGCATCTCCATAATAGCCATCGCTGCACTTCTCACAGTGAGGACCTGCTGTGTTGTCCCTGCAGTCACAGGCTCCTGTTTCAGGTGGGAGAAAGAGGTTTATTCCCCAGGTCTATGCAGCCAGTGGGCAACTGCTTTACCGGAATCTCTCCTGGCCCAGACTAATTTCTCAGCACATGGCCTTTTCCGGGAACATGATGTGCTTAAGCTTTAGGGGGTGGACAAGGCACAGGGCTGGATTTATTTTTTCGCTTATGGCTTTGTCTTTCCATTGACTGCTTGCCATTCCGAGAACAGTATTATCAAGGGGGGCGGGGGAGAGAGACTGAAAAGTAAAACTAAATGAGGAAGAGGGGAATTTCCCCTGTGAACACTGTCAGGGTCCAGAAGAACTTTCAACTCTGGCTGCTTGGCTTAAATCTATGTAAAGTGCCACAGGCCTCAAATTAGAGACTGAGAAACTGATACAGGCACCTTGCCAGAAGAGGGAGCTACTGGCTTGTTCTTTGCTGTGATCAGGTACTACCAATGCACCTGGGAAAGGAGTTGTTGGGAGGCATGAAAAGGTTCTCATAAGAGAACGTTCTCATAAGAACGTAAGAGCCTGTAAGTGTGTAAGGGCCTGGCTGCTGGATCAGGCCAAAGGGGACCCATCTAGCCCAGCTTCCTGTTCTCCCAGTGGCCAACCAGAAGCCTGCATGAAGCCCACAAACAGCTCCTGGGTCCCCATGTGCAGTTCCTAGGAACCAACCTTCCAGGCTGGTGGGCATCGCTCCCTCTTGTGGGAGAAGCTGCCATAGGACAACTACATGCTGTGTGAATAAGTACTTTTTTCAATCTCAGGTCAACTGCCAATGCTATCAATTCAATGAGACTTCCTGGGATAGCATCATATTCTAGGTCTAATGGCAAAGCTCAAAAATAAAAAGTTAAAACCCCAAAACCATCTGCATCTGAGCACTCTCTCTTACCTGATTCAGGGTTGCACGTTTCACTGTGCCCATTGCAGAAGCAAGGCACACACGGACTATAGGGCCCAAGATTAGGGGTCTCCCTCCTGTAGCCCTGGGCACATCGTTCACAGAACTGCCCCAGGTATCCTGTGGGACACGTACAGCTCTCCACCCAAGTTGCTGGTGTTCCAGACCCAGGCCGTGCGCTCATAATAGTGACATCATCCAAATATCCAGCACCTGGAAAAAAAGATGTGGTTCATACATGCAAATGTGACTATCATTAACCATTAGAAGTGTAGAAGCTTAAAACAGCTTTGGAAGCAAAAAACCTGAATCCTGTCCAAGACAAAACACATGTTCAAGATTTCCAGCTGTGGGCCTCACAGATGTGACCCTCTAGGTGACCTTCTCCCTAAGGCCCTGGTCAGGACTCGTGTGGGATGAGAGTGAGGAGGGAAGGAACCAGCTCCATCCTTTCAACTTCCCCACCAGCAAATTCTGTGGCTACTTTCACCACACTTTTGTCTCCTGTAGTCAATTCTTAGTTCCTTGGTTGTTTTACAAACCTTCCTATGAGGGATTAGAAATGACCGTAACTATTGGCAGCACTGTTGCACTAGGTGAACGTATGGTTTAAATGTCAACAAAATTATCTTCCATGTGTTTCTGCTTAGAAGATAGCATATAAATAAATCAAATTATTAGGTTTTGGTTTAAAAAAAAACCTTTCTAATTCATCCATGTCAAATTATACATTTTGTGTACTGCAAGGCTGGTTCTAGACCAGGCATAGGCAAACTCGGCCCTCCAGATGATTGGGGACTACAACTCCCATCATCCCTGACCACTGGTCCTGTTAGCTGGGGATGATGGGAGTTGTAGTCCCAAAACATCTAGAGAGCCGAGTTTGCCTATGCCTGTTCTAGACACATCAAAAAGGTGTTTCAGGAAAACACATTGTTAAATTTATTATGGGAAATCATGTTGGTGAAAGACAGGAAAGAACTTGTTTGCTACCAACTGCACCAGGGGCCAGGAACAAACACTCCATCCCACTCCCTCCTGCGCTCCCTGGACCAGTTCTGCCTCCTCTCCTGCTTTGTGTGAATTATCACTTTGCATGAGATGTGAAGCAAAGGTCCCTCATATCTACGCTTCACAAATCTGCTCAAAACCATAGCTTTTATTCTCTTGTTCCTGATTTGCATGCAGGCACATGCAACATGAAACCACAGTTAATGCTGGCAAGTGGAACTGCTCCAGAGACGGCAGGAGGGAAGGTGCATCTCTGCGGCTGGCTCCTGATCTGCAGGTGCAGGTGCTCAGGGAAGCAGCCCTACATCTGCCCTGGGCCTCCATGTGATGCTGAGAGACCAAAGCAGGGAGATGCCTTTGCGCAGCAGAGCTAACAGGCAAGCAGAGATGGCAACTTGCCAAAAAATCCTCCTTGTAAAAGCATGGGAGTGGGTAAAGAATGCAGCTTTCACTACCATAAAATGTATTTGCACACACCATTCCTTCGGCTTATATGGTCAGGAAAGAGCCCCCACAGCCACCGCCCCTTCGCAGATGGACTGGCTGATCTCTTGGCCCAGCCTAACTTTTTAATTCATCCTTTATAAACATTTGTTGTGAGAGCTCCCAGCAAAACTCTAGAGCTCCCCTAACTGGCTCGTTGCTGAAAGTCATGCCCTAGAAATTGCCCTTAGGAAGGGCTCTGCTTCATGTATAAAACAATTTTATGGGACTATATTTTGATGGAAGGATGTTTACATTTTGGGTAGCGAACTCTGGCTTCAGCCACAGCCCTAGGTGTCCCTGCATGTTTGCAATGAAAGGAATGTTAATTACACCACAATTTCCCTGCATTTCTCCCTCCCCCCCTTTCAGCAAAGCTATTCACCAAAGCATACATAACTTACCAATGCTTCTGCAAATTCCATACATTTTAGACATATTTAACAGATGTTTTCTGCATTGTATCAGCAGAGATTTACATTATGGGCAACTTCTGTCAGGTGGTTAATGAATACATAATTCAGAAAGTTCTGCAATTTACATGGGAAAGCAGGGAGGTGTTGGCAAAATCAAGATGACCTGTTAAATTCTCAGGAAAATGTCATTTGCTGGTCAATGACAACAGCATTTGGACATTTATTATAAGTGCTCATTCAGCTCTTAGATTTACTGGAAAATGTTAAGAATTTTCCTCTGGCCCTCTTCTAAACTTAAACATTGCTGGAAAATATCCTCAATTTAGCAAATCTACAACATTTACCATCATCCAACAATAGTTGAATGATAATATTCCAGGGATGAGGAGTGTGTGTCCCGTCAGATGCAGCTGGACTCAAACTCCCGCTCGCCCCAGTCAGCCTGCCCAGTTCTCAGGGGCGGTAGAAGCTGCAGCCCAACAAGATCTGGAAGGCTTGCAATTCCCCGGCTGTGGCCTATTTCCTCTCCTTCTTGATGCAAAGAGGCTAACGTGCTTGACACCCATGCAGCCTGATCATCCAGCTACTGTGGCAACTTACTCCTCTCACTGTAGGTCCCACGGATCTTGATTGCAGTTAAGTTGTGCAGCAGCTTCTGGAACTCAAACGGGGTAAGAGAAGGTCTCCATGGATAATCTGCAGCTTCATGGAGTCTAACAGGGAAGAAACATGCATCACTTTTCAACCTCTAAAGCATTCACTTGTGAGATTAGTCATTCCCCTTCTACAGGACAACTCAAGAAACTGTGCAGTGTTACTGTATTATTATTTGGCGGGGGGGGGGCACTTGCCTCTACTCAGGGATTAGTGCAGAGGGTTAGGCACTTTTATTTGTTTCTTCCTTTCCATCCCACCAGGCTAAGAGCTTCGGGAGCAACTTCCCATTCTTTGCCCTTCACCTGGCAGTGGCATGCCAGCAGTGCTTGAAGGAGGTCACACTCACTCTAGCCTGCCCAGCCATCAGCAGGTTAGCCAAGATTTCCAGAGCCATTAACACCCAAAAGTCCCACACAGCAGCTGCCATGCAGCCCACTATCCCTCCATCATCCCATTCAAATAGGCACCACTGTCAAGTTGAAACAGCTATGTTTAAAAAGCTATTAGAGTGTGTAAAGGGTAATAAAGGGACCCCTGACCATTAGGCAGACTCTGGGGTTGCGGCGCTCATCTCGCTTTATTGGCTGACGGAGCCGGCGTACAGCTTCCGGGTCATGTGGTCAGCATGACTAAGCCTCTTCTGGCAAACCAGAGCAGCGCACGGAAACGCCCTTTACCTTCCCGCTGGAGCAGTACCTATTTATCTACTTGCACTTTGACGTGCTTTCGAACTGCTAGGTTGGCAGGAGCTGGGAATGAGCAACAGGAGCTCACCCCGTTGCGGGGATTTGAACTGCCGACCTTCTGATCGGCAAGCCCTAGCACAGCAAATGGTTCAGCCTGAGGGGGAACGATGCACACAAGACAGGTCTATTTTGCATGTTCCAGTTGCGTTTTTAAGATTACATTGGCAGTGAAGAGAAAGAAAGGTGGCAGCCCTGAAGAGCTGGGAACAAAATAAATAGGACAAGAAGCTATCCACATTGAGATAGTCAGAGAAGGTGGTCTGAAGCCACAGGGGGCTGGTTCTGTTGAATCAAAGCTGGGTCCAAAACATATCCATAAGCTGCCCTGAGCTATTCAGAGGAAGGACAGGAAAAACAACAAATCAATACAGGATGAAGCTATAATGTTTTAAAGAATGTTTTTAGAGTACAGTCTGAATTAGCCTTTTATTAATAGCTATGTGGGATAAAACACTCAGTCCAATTTAAGCTGAAAATATGAATGTGTGTCCTCAAACAAATTTTAGACATGATCCCACAAAAAGTGAAGCAAGCACCTGTGGACACACTGGTTGAAAGGGAAAAGTTGGGTGCACTCTTAACTCTCCCCAATTAATATTAAGAGGACTTCAAAAGTGCTCAACTCTGGCTGGATCATAACCTCTCCTTTCCCCCCAAAATCAGAGCTTCACACTTTTTAGCCTCGAAAGCGTAGCTCTCTTAAGTGATGCTGCCATATTGTTTGGGCTACAAACATCAGACAATTGGTTAGAGTAATCAGTTTAAAAATCTACTGCATAATTAAAATGGCAGCAGACATTTTTAAAGTAGCATTATTTTTAATACAAATTACTTTTTAAAAAACGCTGCATAGAGCTGTATTAAAAGAGGTATTCTTCATCCACTCAGATACAAGGAAAAAAACCCTCTTAACAGCGGCGTAGCGTTGGTTGTCAGCACCCGGGGCAAGGCAAGTAATTTGCGCCCCCTAACCCGTGGATTTGCGCCCCCTAACCTGTGGATTTGCGCCCCCTAACCCGTGGATTTGCCCTAACCCTAGATGTTGCGCCCGGTGCGGCCGGCCCCCCCTGCACCCCCCACGCTACGCCACTGCCTCTTAATATGCAGGATACTGCCTGCCAAGTGGCATTGGGAATAACATGCCTACATCTAGAATGGAGACATGCATGCACAATAATTATGAGCCAACTTCAAATTGTTGAAAAAAACCCCACAATCTCATTGTTCCCAGAGTTTTTGCAGGCGGCTTTTATCAATGATTCAAGCTAAGTAATTCATAGCTGGCCACAGCTAGAATTCCAATCCGAAACTGCACTCTCTTTAAAGAAACATTTTGTGCTGCGTTAGATTCTGGTTAAAGCCATTTGCTGCTCCTTCAATCAACCTTGAACTTCCCCAGATTAGAAAAACACAATACACATGTCCTCACCTGAAGGCATACTTCAGGGTGCTCTCACTGGGATAGGAGTTGCCTTGAGCAATCAGAGGTACGGAGACTCTCAGGCCAGCACCTTCAAGCACTATGTCCTCCGCAGAAAGGCGTGTGTCCCGCCTATCGACCCGAAAAGAGAATGTCACGTTTTGGCCGTAACTCAAGATTTGATTCCCAAGGAACTTGCCTGAAAGGGAAGCAACAAAGTCCACATCCAAGGAATGGTAAAGGCAGGGAGTTTAGTTGTAAATATTAGCACGCTACCGGTCCATGCAAATAACTATGCCACTCTTGTTATATACCTGGAGCAATGAAGTAAATGGGAAAGGGAGTTTCTGAGATCACAGATATTTCTTGAGTCTCACTAATCCACTGAACTGAGATTTCAGAGCCATCTCGCTGTTCTGCGTGCCAGTCCTCCTCTCCTGAAAGCCACAAAAAGAAACTGGAACTTAAGCACTGCCAAACTAATTTGCTGCATAGCCTGTGCTTTTCTTGATGTAACCTTATCATTTTATAATTTAATTTAATTTATATTTTCTGCAACACAAACCATGTTCTACTGCAGTGCAGCTGGAATCAGGCAGCAGTCTCTAGCTTGTGAAAAGAAAATGTTAAAGCTTTTAAGGTATAGGGCAGGAGTTGTTCAAGTTAGATTGAAACTTGCACTTACCATACTGAAAGCTGGAGGTAATTCGGTAGACGCTGTATCCAACAGCATTGGTACAGACAGATGAGTGCCCAAAACAAAAGCAGGGAGTGCATCCCCTTGGGTTGGCGGGATCCAGGTTAAAAAAGCCAGGTTTACACCTAAAATAAAGTAAAAAACCACTAAGCATTTCTAATCCATCTCCCACATTGATCTTCTGCCTTCACATCTTTAAGAGTTTCATTTAACTGGGCCACAGAGCTGCATCCACAATATTTCTTACAGTCAAGCTAGACCACTTTGTGGCAGAACTTCACACTAAATCTGAGGAAGTCTTCCATTCTGGTAAAATAACAGCCAGCATCCTGAAAAAGTATTGCTAGAGATTGTCTTTCTTCTGTGGTGCAGCAGATAGATGCTGGTCTTTGACACGGAAAAGCTGGACTCTAATCCCTACTCAGAACCATTCCTCACTTTATACGGCAATTGTTATTTCCATGGCTATATCCATGTTCTGGTGGAGAGCTGAGACCCAACCTCTGCACATGGGGGTGTCTAAAGACATGCACCTGTCATAGATAATCAAATTCACCCTGTGCTTTTGCTAGAATAACAACAGCGCGTTCCACACAAATGTTACTGAGCCCTAAAGGGCTTGTTCTCACTAACAGCAGAAGAACTGCTGCAAGTTGAAAAGGAAAAAAAAAGAGCCACTACTGCCAAGTGGATCTCTACATATTTAATTCTCAATTGGCAAAATGGCCTCATTTCAGTGGCCCAAATTTCTCTTCCATCTCCCCAACAAAAACTGAGCCCAACATTCTCAAGTGAAATCTTTTCACTCAATCCCAGCACAGGTGCCAATTTATTACCCCACCTGCTCTTTGTGAGAAACAGACTGAAACGTCAGGAGCTGCTCCCAACCATCAGATTCATTAGGAAGTCTTTCAAAAAGCAGCCATCTCTCAGCTTTAAAAAAAGGGAGAGCCTAACAAAGTTCACACAGAAGCATAATATTGCTTACTTTAACTCGCTTGTGGAAACAACTCAGAGGCTATTAAGAAAAAAAAAGGATAACAACAAGAACATTGAAAGATGGGACTGGTGAACACTAAAAGCAGCAGAAATATGAGATGATTGGACCCTTACTGAACTCGAAGCATGGGAACCCCCAACAAAAAATTATAATTTGGCAAAATATTTGGACTTTATGATATGTATTGGTATAATTTGGAATAATTAATGTGATATGATTGGATTGTTAAATGGAAAACTTAATAAAAATTATTTTTTAAAAAACCAAAAAGCAGCTGTCTCTCAAGCCTGATTTTCATCATGGATTTTTTGTAAGGATAAAAAAGGGATCACCCCTCTTGTACACTGCTCCGAGCCCTACAAAGGGCAGAAAGGCAAAGCGCAGCAAATGTGTCAAATCCCACATTCAAAATCCTGTGACGCAATGCAACCCCCCCTACCTTTCACAGTTGAAGCCCTCAGCGTTGTCTCTGCAGGTACAACGCCCCGTGTCCATGTTGCACTCGTCCATACTGCCAGCAGGATTGCAAGAACACCGCCTGGAAGAGAAGCAAAGAAGTCCAGTCAGAGCACTGAGGAGAAGGAGGAAACCAAGTTTCCAGGCCGTATATCAGGAAGGGGACCTGAGGCCCTGCAGATATGGATGGGCCACAACTCTCACCAGCCCCCAGCCATCACGGCCAGTGGTCAGGAATGATGAGAGCTGCAGCCCAGCAACATCAGGACATTCTCTGTCACAGCCACTACTTTCATCTATATATTGATCTAGGGTCAGTCAACTTTTACCTGCAACCGGCCTCTGTGAGAGAGTGGAAGCCGGGCTGACATCTGTCACATTTGTCGCCCATCACACCAGGCTTACAACTGCACCGCCCATAGTTGTCACACTGAGTGCTGAGGGAACCTGTGTGTACAAAATGAGATCAAGGTACTATTAAAAAGCAAATCAACACAAAAACTGCACTATTTGTTCTTCAAACTAGGCCCTTAAATAGGGAGGGGCCAGGATCCTAGAATAGGCAAAGGCAATCACAATAGTATATCATTTCTATAGTCCCTCCACCCCAGACTAAAACAATGTTATCTAGATGAAGTAATCTGAAGTAAAATATGCAACATGTGTTAACCATCTAAAGGTTTCCAACCTACACACTCAAATCAGGACTTATCCTATATTGAAGCTGCAATCATCCATAATTTAATACTTGGCAGTTATATGGTGTATGTGTTCCCCCTCACCCACCCACCCAGTGGTGCATATACTTAGACAAGAACAACCTTTTGCTCCAATACAATGTAAAACAAACTATTTTGATTCTTGTTGGCACAGCTCAGAATAGGCTAAGCCCATGTACACAAAAATCCTGAACATTCTGTGAGGCAAAAGAGCATGAAGTGCGCTGCTAGTTATTTAGTTATATGGTGTTTTTGAGAAGTTCAATATCCAGCTGTCTGTCCACTACAATTGAGGGAGTTTAAAAAGCAGCTTATGATTTGCTTGTCAATTGTAGGAAGCAGCAGACTCCACTCCCCCCCCCCCCGCTCTCTTTTGCTGATCTGAGTTATAACCTGGGCTTTGTGTACATAATTTCATTTATTTAAAAGCAGTGTTATCATATCTCTCTATGGGCTGCAGGTTGTAGAATTCTAGCACAGCCCTTTTCCTTTAAGGTGGTCCTTGTCTATTGGCAGAGACTGTTTCTGTACAGAGGTGCGTTCTGTCAAAGAGCTTCCGCCTGGGCTCTGACGCAGCGCAGACTCAGATATCCTGGGCCACCAGCAGCCAGACCAAATGCCACCAGACTCAACAACCTAAAAAGCTTTCACAGAAGACTTGGCAGTCCCCCCTCTGCCCCAAAGGCGAGGAGAGATCTCCACTCTCAGACCTCACCTGGAAGGTCATTCCATAACTGCAGGGCACACTGACTTCACCCCCAACCATTTTAAGTTCCTATACTGAAGGAATACAGAACACAACTATATAGGCTTTGGGGTTTCATAAGCAAGAGGCTTTATCTGAAATAATATAGGTCACAATCCATTAAAGCACGGATCAACAATCAGCTTCCCAAGAAGCCCACTTCAATAACACACTCTAAATAATCCTGCTGGCAAGTTCTCTTGAAGCATATGCTGTGTCTCCACATATCTTTTCCCTCTAGATTGGTGACTGGCAGCACAGGAAGCAGGCTAGCTGCTGCCTCTTACATTAAAGCAGAGGTCGGCAACCTAAGGCACATGGGCCAAAAGCGGCCCATGAGGGTCACTTAACTGGCCCATGAGCCGCCCCTGAACTGAGCTGCCCACTCAGCGAGTCCCTGCGCACCACGCTAAACCACGCAGTGCGGCGTGGGGACTCTCTCCCGTGGCTCCGGAAATCACTTCTGTGCACACCCAGATGCCAGAAATCGCTTCTGTGCAGGCGCACTTTTCGGCATCTGGGCATGTGCAGGAGTGATTTCCGGCACCATGGACATGCGCAGACATGATTTCCGGTGTCGCGCTGCGCAGGCCCGGCCCATGGAGGATCTCCGTGGGAGTGATCCAGCCCATGCCCGGTGAGCCTTGCTGACCCCCTGCATTAAAGGCTTTGAATGGCAAGGCATTTAACTTCCAAACTAGGATGCACTGAGATCATTTGTGTTGTTTTTCAGTGGGTCAAGTATCAGTGCTTTAAAGAGGCAAGGATGACATTAAAAAGCTAACTTCTCATTGGCATTGCAAGAGGTTACTTCATTTTTAGGCTAGAAAAAGATTGACACAAAAAAACCCATTAAGAGGATTAAAACAAAACAGATTGATTTAGCAACAAGAAGCTCACAGAGACCTTTACCATATACAGTCAACAGTCTTCCTTCAAGCCAGCAATTATTTAGGAACAATTACTCAGGCAAAAATGCCATCTTAAATCAACACACACACACACACACACTTTAAATATACACTGGCTGCCTGTTGTGTCATGGAATATACTACAAGGTTTTAATGCTCCTTATCAGGCCTTCTAAATTTGCCGTTGACTGAAAAACCAGTCTTCATTGTTGCAACCCCACTTGGCATTTACACTTGGCACAATAGCAAAAGTCTGATCACAGCATTAGCCTGACAGAGAAACACATAAACACAGCTCAGATCAGTGCCTGAGTTGGACACCTCAGCTATATTACATTCTGTACAGATTTTATTGAATATGTGAATCTGGATAACCGGTGTTTAACATTTTAAACACTATTCTACTAATGCCCAAGTACAGATCTCTGTTCACATATCATCCGTTCCAGAACCACAGAACTGTAGAGTTGGAACGGACCATGAGGGTCATCTAGCCCATTCCCCTGCAATGCAGGGATTTGTTGCCCAACACAAACTTGCGACCCTGAGATTAAGAGTCTCATGCTCTACCAGCTGAGCTGTGACCAAGAAAGATCATTCAAGGCAGACCAGAAGAGGGTTAACCTCATCAGTCACGCCAGGTAACTTGAATCACTAGGCGCAGCAAGAAGGCTTAACTCTCCACTCCTGTTGGAAGAAGCACTTGGGGACATCACTGCCTCTTCCATAATGGGCCCCTCCAGCGCTGATCTTGGGTGGCCATGCCCCATGGCCCCTTCCACATGATCCCTGCAAGAGGCAGTCTCTTCTCCATCTCACATACATCCCACCCATTAGGACTACAACCATTTTGGTCGGCCCCCTGCCTTTTAAAAACTAAAGCTGATTTAAGAGCTGACTTCACACAGAATGTTATTCTAGTTGTTACAATTTAAACCCACAAAGCATGCCAAGAACTCTCTCCCTTTGGAAGCTTAACAACTGAAAAACCCAAAGAGATTCATCATCTCTGCTACTCACCCACAGGGTTGCAGTTACACGGCAGGCACGCTTCCTCACTCCCAAGGCGGTAGAAATTCTCCCGACATCTCTCGCAGTTTGGTCCGTCAGTATTACCAAAGCAGCTTGTGCAGTGGCCACCGTGGCCCGTGGAGCGGTAGAGCTCAGGGTCAAAGTAGCACTCCTGTGACCGGCCATTGCAGTTACAAGCTAGAGGTAAGGGACAAACATGTGCTTGTTTAGTAGGCCACTAAGCACATCTCCCTGCTAAACCCTTTTCCATCTGCCCAACCCTCCAGGCAACAAATCCAGAAGTAAACGCTACCAAGTCTGTAAAGTTGTAAAAGAAGATGCTCAGTCCAAAAGAAAAATGCAGAAACACCAAATGGCTCAGAATGAAAAGAGGTTGGGGAGAAGTAAAGAGATGAGAAAATTAAGCAATTGTTTCTACCTGTTTGGAGATGATGCAGTGAGAGTTTGGGACCTCAGATAACATTCCAGGTTTACCATACAGAATATAAAAGCTCAACAAGTTCAGTGATTTTCAGAAAGCTAGTTCACTGTGGTTTCCTTCCTATTAGTTTAGGGGGACACCAAAGGTAGCAGAGGCTGAGATGGTTGGTGAAGCTTCTGAACTGGAGCCAAAAATCCCATAGGATGGGATGTAGTAGAGCTCAGTTTCCTGCTGTTCTGGTTTTTTTAAAAAAAGAACACCAAGCCATACAGTGGTACCTCAGGTTACATACACCTCAGGTTACAGACTCCACTAACCCAGAAATAGTACCACAGGTTAAGAACTTTGCTTCAGGATGAGAACAGAAATCGGGCTCTGGCGGCGCAGCAGCAGCGGGAGGCCCCATTAGCTAAAGTGGTGCTTCAGGTTAAGAACAGTTTCAGGTTAAGAACGGACCTCCGGAACGAATTAAGTACTTAACCTGAGGTACCACTGTATTTTGAACTAAAAAAGAAATAACGGCCAGCAACATGGGCTCTATCCTTCAATTCCCATGTAAGCTAGAACACAGGCAACATGCTCTTTTACACACACACACACACACACACACACACACACACACGGAGTGCTCTGCTTATGAACTTCGTGCTACGCAGACCCATTTCTGGTGCACAAGTCAAGGCAGGTGGGAACGTCAGGAGAGAAATCTGCTAAGGTTCGTACACTGTGTTACAGATCCCCTTTTGCCTGGGTCTTGGCGTACATGGGGGAAACAGCTAGAGTGACTAAGGGTGCGGGTGCGATTCCTTAGACTTGGGGGCGGGGGGAGAGGGCCCAAATGGAAAGCCAGGGTTGAGCTCCCAGGCCCCTAGCTGCCAATCCACAGAGCAGAGTCAAGCTGACACACCCTTCCTGCATCTGCAGTGTTGAGCTGCTGCCTGATCCTCACTTCAGCAGCTTTGGGGTAAACCCCCCCCAAGGCAGAGGAACCGCAGGGAGCTGCATAGGTACCATGGTGCAAACCAGAATAGCACGATCCTTATGGTTCACCTGCCCTCGCCCGAGGCTCCAGGAGGTGGAGGCAATTAGCCCTTGTCCATGAGCATGCCTTCCCCACCCCCTCACCCCAAAGGGCTGGAGTCGCGATATGTTGCTGAGTGTACTAGATTTTCCACCCGGCTGTCTCTCCAGCTGTGCCACAGTTTCTAGCCTTCCCACAGCCCTCCCACACAGTTTACACTGCTCTCTGGCATGCAAACTGCAGGGAAAGATAGCAGTGAGACCAGCCTGCCCCAGCTGCATCCTGTGTGTCTGTGCATGTGAATGAGAGAGAACAAACTTTCTGCTTTCCTTAGCACAGACAGGCCTAATTGCTCATGTCTAGGACATGGAGCAGAACAAGAGCCCATCAGACACCAGTTTCGTCAGGCTTTCAACTCAAGTCACAGACTCACATATACAGCTGGGAACTTTCAGCAAACATATGAAGCAAGTTAAGAAGAAATGTTGCCTTCCCTCTCCATGCAGTAAGCTAGCGATTCTAATGCTGGAGGCCAGAGCACACTAGCGTGCAATGAAGCAGGCTAAACTGTGCCTTCAAAAATTAAGACATTGTGTTGGGTGTTCACCAGAGTGCAGAGTCCCCATGCAGCACAGATGCTATACCCCACCCGTCAAATGTATGGGAAGGAATAAAGAAGCACCATACAGCCTGTGCTACAGCTAAGAAGTGTGGGGGAATTCCAGAAGCATCACCATAACTCAAAAAGTGCAGGCCCATCGCAGACTGTCTGGGCAGAGGGAAATGCAAGATGCTGCAAGGCAATTATTATCTGTAGTTACAGGGAGTATGCCTTCTCACAGACATTTTAAATTCTTATAGCAAAATGTTTCAACATTCACATTCTTTGGTTCCTCTGATAGATAGAAGGCTGTTTCCAAGCGGGCAGTTTTAGGGTGTGCACAGAAGGCCTTCATTTTGCTGAAGTGAAGGCACACTGCTTGTATCCTCTGGGTTGAGGCCATGCAGTGCTGAGGCGTCCACTGTGTGCATCCAAAAGTTCTGCCTTCTTGCTAACATGGTTGGATCTGCCGGCACCTCTGTACCAATTATTAAGTCCGACAAGACACTCAGAAATAAAGTGTATGGCAACAGGTTGCTCCACCTCTTTTTTTTTGGTCAAAATCTCTGATTTGTGGTTTCTGAAATGTGTGCATAGGTTGGTTGTAATTTCTTTGCATTCAATGATATAAATTATTTTGCATGATCTGCAGGTGATGTTCTGTTTGAAGCGATATGTTCTACCTGTCCTGGTACTTTGAAGGTAGCTATATCTATGGAATACGCACAGGTGATACAGCACTTAGATTACAAGGATAAGACCCAGGATGGCTTACGTAAAGCTCTCACTAACAGTTTGCGTAGAATGGAAGGCTGGCAAACTGCAGTAACAGGAGGCTTGCTGATAGCAAACTCTGAATGGTTTGCTAAATCTAACAAGAAGTAGCTTTCTCTGATTGCCAAGTGATAGCTAGAAGATGGTGGGTGGAGGTCTCCCACACGTGGGATATGTTGCTCTTTGTCAGGTGGCCCCTCACTTTGATGGAGGTGCTTTTCTCTAGGCAGGATGGGAGCCCAATGGATGTCGCAATCAACATGTGGAGGATATTCTTTTTTGCAGGAGACATTGTTTATTTTCAGTGATCCTTTGGTGTTTTATCTTTGTTGCAAATGCATTTGATTCAAAGAGCCGGTCTGTAAACAATTCTTTATATGTTTTGGATGTCTGGATTTCCAGCACAGATGCGTGTGAGCATCACTGGCTTATGTTGTAAAGACTGGTGACTATTTTGTTATTTCAACAGTGAGGAGAACATTCCATCCAATGACACAGTGAGAAACGCACAGCTCAGTGATGTGCTGCCCACTATGGAAGGGGATGGGGAACTTGATACGAGGCTGCTCTTCTTATAACATGCACCTATATCCAAAGATAGGACTCAGGGGGTCTTTTGAGAGTCTTCACTTGAGTTTCAGCTAAATTCATGGTGCTGGATCATACCTTGAAGGAACAAGGGTTCCAGGGAAATAATTTTCACAAACATTTCTCAGTTTCTTCAGGAGAGATCATTTGCATCTATAATCAGAACTCTATTGTACTGCAAACCTGTGTCCATTTGAAAAATCTCTGAAGGCCAGAAATACTTTGCAACTCCAGAAGCAAGAAGATATAGTAAGTATAAGATCAAGCAATTAAAATAAACTGCTTTTATCAATACTTTTCTCCTCTTTTTTTAAAAAAACACCTCTTTCTATGATCACTTAAACTGATTCCCAAGGATGTCACAAAACAACTAACAATTGCACACAGAAGTTTTTAGACAGTTGCCTTACAACAGTTCCCCCCTGCTTCACTGTCATCCTATTCTACTGTACATTCCAGACAGAAGATAAATCTGCCGGCCACACACTGCAGTCCTCCCAACCACCACCCGGGTACCATATGTAAGCACTTTTCCCACAAGAAAAGCAGTCACTATGGAAACAACTGTAAGGTGCCTTGCCCAGAATAAAGCTCTGGGCACCAGGTTCATTCTGATGGACACATCTCACACAGACGGTTTCTTGATGCACCTAACCCACTCTAGGACTAGGGTATTTTTTAAGCCTGAGGGTTATAGCAGTTTCTAGGAAGACAGCAGTCCCTTGTACTGGTTTAAGCTCAAGTCCCATGACCTTTCTCCCCATCAGAACTTTGCACCCAGAATGAAAGACAAGAAATCCAAATTTTCTCCCTTTTCTCCCCCTAAGGTTTGGGGTTTTTCCCTATCAAAAAAGAAAGGACCGCCTGCATATCACAAACCCCACAGTAACTCAGAAAAACACTAGGTCTTGGGTAGCATCCAGAATAGAGTTCCCAGATTATTATTATTTGTTTAAACAACCCAACCACCAAACACTTTCTAGTACTAATGGCTACAATGATGTGCTTTAAACTGTATGTGGACAAGACCTGGGGGAAGTCTCAAAAGCCAAAGGGATTGCTGAACAGGATTTCTACTAGTTAGAGGGCAAGGCTTCTGTGGGGTTGGGCTGGGTGACCCTTGGGGTTTGCTTCCACCTCTACAATTCTATGATCCTTGGCCTCTTCCCAGGACTAGGAGAAGCAGAGCAATGTATGCAAAGGGAGAGTCCTGCATATCAGCTTGTATATTTCATGCATATTATAGAATTCCTTTCTTGTGACTGCGGAATCTGGGTCATCCTGGCACAGATTATCTATTTATTTTCATCCGTAGAACACAATTCCTGGTGATAATTAGTTAAGTCCAGAGGACTATGCTGAATCAACAATGCATAAATGAAAAATACATTTTTTATCTTGCAGTTGGGTAAATAGATCGGTGTGCCAACAATAAGCACAGATAACAAGCTGTACAGCACCTAGTGTGGTCTGAATCTTGAGATACGAGACAAAGAATTACCCAACACTCTGCAGGTTCCAAGGCATTTCTACCACACAACACACGCCAACTGATAAGAGGAAACAAAGACGTTTGAGGTAGGGTTTAAAATAAGCCAAACTCCTGAATTAATACAGGATGACAAGAGACAGGAAGGGACTGGATCTTGCCAGGAGGAAAAAGGAAGAGAACACTCCAAAGAGCTTTAAAATTGGCTACCTCCCACATGACAGTAGGAGGTGATGAAATAATTGGCAGGAAGATTTTGCTTCTTAGACAAAGCCAGATTATTTAAGAACAACCCCAGCACACTTACGCAAACATTCGTTGGCACTCTCTGCCGTTGCTCTTCTCCAAGGCCGGTCGTTGTAAAAAGGGAGGCACTTTTCACAGTCCACCCCAAAGGTATTGTGCTTGCAATTGCAGGACAGCTTTCCATATTCATTCTTCACACACTCGCTTGCGTGGCCGTTGCATTTACACCTGCACGGTAGGAGCAAGACTTCAGGAAGAAATGTACATCTTGTGCCCTACAAGAGTCCAAACCTCCTACACAACCAGACTGACTCACATCAAAGGAACTCCTGGGGTCTGTCTGTTCCTTCCCGCCTCCACCCCAAGGAAAGTGATTCTCAGGGCAGTGGAAATTTCTTAACATACAATGAACCAGTACAGTCACCCGACCTCTCTCAAGTGACGGCTAAAGCAAAGTAGTAGGTGAGAAAGCAATTTCTAATTTTTTTTTCCTTTAAAAGAAAGAAACTGATCCCAATGTGCTTCCATATTCCTTGAGGAATCGCCTTTTATATTGCCAATGAAAAGCGTGCAGTATAGACAGGCAAACAGGGACCTGTTGTAACATTTCTACCTTTGCTGCCCTGGGCTTCTTTGGGAGAAAGAGCAGGATAGAAGTAGCAATAATTATTCCAATATAGCTTTCAGGTGCCCCTCTCACATCCGCTCCACATGTTATTATGCAGTTGATTTCTCCAGAGTTAGCCCAAACCAGTGGCTCTCTAATGGTGTGACACACCACACTAGTGTGGCAGGAGAGAATGGCAAGTGTGGCAGGAAAATTCAAGCACAATCAGTATTATATTTTAGGAATGATTCATGCTCTTACATAGTTGCATTGTTTTATACCTTCTAGGTGTCCCACGATCATATGATAAAGTAGTTGTGTTCTATGTTATAAATCAAGCACTGTTAGGAGTTGTGTCTCTTTGTTTTCCAACACATTTCTCATCAATAAAAACATTTGGTGTGGTGCAAGCAAATTTTAATTCTGACAGTGTGGCCCAGAGAAATTTTTTTGAGAAGCACTGATTTAGACACAACCCAAGTGTTATGACTCTGACAGAAGTGTTATTGTTTTACAGACTGAAGAATACTGACACATTTAAGTGAATCAACGGCAGATAAGGGATGCTGATATTATTGAAAAATGAATCAAAAATGCTATTAGCTCCCACTATGCCAGAGCACATAACTCACTGGGAGAGCAAACATGATGAAGTTGTGTAAAGCAAGTTCAAAGTTTACAAATGATACGTACTCTGCGTACCTACTCTAGCAGCCAGAGTTTAGTGGCTAGAAGTTCAAAGAGCGCATTGTGAGCCAGGAAGCCCAACTTCCACCTTATTTGCCTTATGCAAACCAGCTCTTCAGCATCCGTTGTCTGCTTCTTCCACATCTTTGCATGGGGATAAATATACTGGCCTAACTGAGAAGGCTGTTGTGAAAGTTACTGATGTAATATATACAAAGTGCTCTGAGCACGTTGGAAAAGTTAAGTATTTGTATGGAAAGCTTTTATAGACAACTGTTAGCTTAAACAAAGTCAGGGATAAGGCAGAGCTGCAATTAACACACAACCATTAGCAATACTTTCCCCCTGCTTCTCATCTGAACTGTTGAACAATTATTAACCAGTGAAAAGGGCTTTCAGCAGGGGGCTGGTCCACTGTCCCTCAGACCTTCTGTGGGGCTGGACTATATTTGGGGGGGGGAATAAAAATGAACAAATTCCTATCCCCCACAAATAACCCAGAGATGCATTTTAAATAAAAGCGCACATTCTACTCATGTAAAAACACACCATCCGCGGGCCGGATTGAGAGGGCTATTGGGCTGGATCCGGCCCCCAGGCCTTAGGTTGCCTGCCCATGGGTTAAATTCTCATGTCTGGGTTTTACTTTATGACAACCTCTTTTATCATGGACAGAGACTTTTCATAAAATGTAAACAACGCTAAGTAATTATGAGAAGTACTACTGAACTTTATAAGCTTGACCTGGTTACACAAATCTAGTGCAAATGAAGTTGAAGAATGCACCATAGATATAGGAATAGTCCTTGAGCCTGTTAAATACCAGTACACAAGTTCAGTAACCGATGTTTTATTAAGTCATCATTTTTAAATGAAAAAAATCACTTTAACTGTGTGTACATACAAATAAAAATGGGGCTGGGGGATGCAGTCAGAAGCCCCAAGCAAACACTTATTTAAGATATTAAATATATAATTGGATGTGGTTTACTACTTACCTGCCACCCACTGCAAAGTCAGAAATGGCATAGTAATAAGACTTGAGAACTTTGGGATCGTTAAAAACTTCATCTCCAAAGGTGTTCAGGCGATTAAGGCTGACTCTGATATCGGTAGCAGTTACCCATTCCTAAAAGGGGAAATTGAAATTAAGCCACAATACACGTATGAACAAGCCACAGCAACACTCAATGTATAGCATATATTCTATGTGACTCTAGCCAAGGTTTGTTTTTGGCTTATTGCTTGTGGTTTGCTTGGGGAAAACAAGCCCAGAGGCAAGGTTCAGGTGTAATGCTAAGCCACACACAGCAGCAGGAGGCGGACGGGGAGCAGAGCACCCAACACTTTGTCCTGCTGCAGGTTCTGCTTTGAACCACAGTCACGTGTAACTAGAGTTTAAAGTGACATGCAAATGAGGCCATTGCCAGTAGGCCTGTTGGGCCTTGTAATTCCACATTATTCATTATTTCCTTGAGAACCCAACTCATCCAGTATCAAAACTCGTTATTTTTTTTTTAATCTCTTTATACCCTCACAAGAGAGCTTAAGAAGCCTCTATGAACAGCATTTTTAAAATTCTGTACCAACTGTGCATTCATTCTCCAATCACCCATCTGGTTACTGCTCTGTGCTGTGACAACCATAAAGTCACAAACAGAGCATTTGGATCTGCCAGGTTGTGCAAAACCTGCAGCTTCTGGACACATTAATTATTATTATTATTATTATTATTATTATTATTATTATTATTATTATTATTATTATTATTATTATTATTTATTGAATTTATATACTGCCCTATACCTGGGGGTCTCAGGGCAGTTCACAGAATAAAATCAAGATGTAAAATCACAAAATACATAACAAAAAGAAAAGCAACAACAAAATACCCCCCCACACACACAAAAAAGCACATTTTAAAAGGGAATAGGATGTAAATCAGATCAACCAAAGGCCTGGTCAAAAAGGAACGTTTTTGCCTGGCGCCTAAAGGTGTATTAATGAAGGCTTCAGGCGAACTTCCCTGGGGAGAGCATTCCACAGATGGGGAGCCACTACAGAGAAGGCCCTGCTCTCGTGTTGCCACCCTCAGAAGGGCCTCAGAAGATGATCTCAGGGTCTGGGTAGGTTCATATGGAAAGAAGAGTTCCTTGAGATATTGTACTCCTGAGCCATCTAAGGCTTTACAGGTCAAAGCCAGCACTTTGAATTGGGCCTGGAAACTAATTGGTAGCCAGTGCAGTCTGACCAGAATGAGTGAAATATGCTCAAACCGCCTTGCTCCAATGAGCAACCTGGCCACTGAATTCTGCACTAGATGAAGTTTTTGAACAATATTCAGAGGCAGCCCTATGTAGAACGCATTGCAGTAATCTAACCTTGAGGTTACCAGAGCATGGACAACAGTAGTTAGGCTATCCCTGTCCAGATAAGGACGTAGCTGGGCCACTAGCCAAAGCTGATGGAAGGCACTCCAGGCCACTGAGACCTCAGCCTCAAGCGACAGCAAAGGATCCAGGCGTACCCCCAAGCTATGAACCTGCCCCTTCAGAGGAAGTGTAACCCCATCAAGAGCAGGCAGCCTTCCAGCCCATCCAGTCTAGGGAACCACCCACTAACCGTGCCTCAGCCTGATCTGGATTGAGTTTAAGTTTGTTAGCTCTCATCCAGTCCATTATCAAGGCATTTCCACTGCCTCACCTGCAGATGTAAAGGAGAAATAGAGCTGAGTGTCATCAGCATACTGCCGACAATGTACTCCAAAGCTCTGAATAACCCCACCCAGCAGTTTCATGTAGATGTTGAACAGCATAGGGGATAAGATTGAGCCCTGAGGAACTTCACGTTGAAGGTTCCACAGGGCTGACCCTCAGGGAATGACCACCCAAGTAGACCCAGAACCACTGCAAAGCAGTGCTACCCACCTCTAACTCAGACAGCTGCTCCAGTAGGATACCATGGTCAGTGATATCAAAAGCCACTGAGAGGTTGAGGAGAATTAACAGGGACACATTTCCCCTGTCTCTTTCTCAACAGAGGTCATCATACAGGGCGACCAAAGCAGTTTCTGTGCCAAAACCAGGCCTAAACCCCAATTGAAATAGATCCAGAAAATCAGTTTCTTCCAAAAGCGCCTGGATCTGGTCTGCGACTACTCACTCCAGACCCTTGCCCAGGAAAGGGAGATTAGCAACTGGCCAGTAGTTAGTTGGATTTTCTGAGTCCAGGGAAGGTTTCTTAAGGAGTGGTTTTAGCACTGCCTCCTTCAAACAGGCAGGGACCACCCCTCTTGTAAAGAGGCATTGATCACCTCCCTGGCCCAGCCAGCTGTTCCTTCCCTGCTGGCTTTTATCAGCCAAGAGAGGCAAGGGTCCGGAGTGCAAGTGGTCGCTCTGACTGATCCGAGCATCTTGTCCACATCGTTGAGGCTTACCTACTGAAACTCATCCAACACAACAGGACTAGACTGTGCTCTGGACACCCCATGGGATTCATCTGCTATAACAGCAGAGTCAAGGTCTTGGTGGATGTAAGCGATGTTATCCTCAAAATGCTTTGCAGACAAGTCACAGAGAGCTACCGTTGGTTCTACCATCTCCCTTGGGCCAGCCTGGAAAAGGCCCTGTACAACCTGGAAAGGCTCTGCCAGACGACATAATGAGGATGCCATGGAGGCAGTAAAGGAGGCCTTTTTTGCTGTCTTCCCTGCCACTAAAGGTACCCCTGCCCGTATGGGCCAGTCTTGACAGACTCTAGGGTTGTGCGCCCATCTCACTTAAGAGGCCGGGGGCCAGCGCTGTCCGAAGACACTTCCGGGTCATGTGGCCAGCATGACAAAGCTGCATCTGGCAAGCCAGCGCAGCACACGGAAACGCCGTTTACCTTCCCGCCAGTAAGCGGTCCCTATTTATCTACTTGCACCCGGAGGTGCTTTCGAACTGCTAGGTTGGCAGGCGCTGGGACCGAACAACGGGAGCGCACCCCGCCGCGGGGATTCGAACCGCCGACCTTTCGATCGGCAAGCCCTAGGCGCTGAGGCTTTTACCCACAGCGCCACCCGCGTCACTAGGGAGGCTCAATAATGAGCCCTTACCAGTGTTTGGTTGCATTCATTTGAATCTTTCCTCCACTGTTCAAGCCATCTCCCAGCTTGTTTCCTTGCCCTTATCTCCAGAGTATACCAGGGGGCCAATCGGGCTCCACGAAGTGGGAGAGGGCACTCAGTGGCATTCGGGTGTTCCAGAGGTCAACCAGGGCTTCAACAGGCGCACCAGTCATATCAGCCAGAAAACCACCCAGAGCCATTTGGAATCCCACTGGATCCATCAGCCGCCAAGGGTGGACCTTCCTAATAGGTCCCCCATCTCTGCAGAGGGGGAAAAGGTGCTGAAATTCTAAATCTAAACAGGAAGTGACCACAACAAGGGACTGATGTCAATGTTCCGCACATTCAAATCACCGTCTTCCTGCCTAGTTGAAAAGACAAGGTCCAGAGTGTGGCCTTCCATGTGCATTGGGCCGGTGACATGTTGGGACAGCCTCATGGTTGTCATGGCAGCCATGAAGTCCTGAGCCACCCCAGAGCCAGCTGCCTTGGCATGGATGTTGAAGTTTCCCAGAATCAGCAGTCTGAGAGTCCTCAACACCGCCTCCAAGACCAGCTCTGTCAGCTCAGGAAGGGAGACTGCTGGGCAGCGAGACCGGTGGTAAACCAGCAGAATCCCTAATCTGTCCCGATTGGCCAATGCCAGGAACACACACTCTAGACCCCCCCCAAACTGGACAGAGACCCTAGGGATAGAGAGAGAATCTCTATAGACTACAACAACTCCCCCTCCCCGACCCTCAAGTCTGGCCTGATGGTGCACTGAGCACCTCGGTGGGCACAGCTGGGTGTGACCAACTCCACCCTGTTCACCCACCCAGGTTTCAGTGATACATGCCAGATCAGCCTCCTCATAATCAGATCATGGGTGGTCCCTCCCTTCCCCTCATATGAAGCAATTCCCTACATCTTACCCTGATTAATGGAAAATGGCCAGTGATGATTTGCCTCAAGACCAACTGTCACACACAAGGGGAAGATGGAGCCAGGTTCTGGTACAGAATGCCAAAATATGGCTTAGCGTTACATCTGAACCATCCCAACAGCTCAACTCAACTAAGCAGCTGAGTCCTCAGGGATGCTAGTGTATCTTGGGATTTATTTCTATCCCATATCCTTCTTTCTAAATGGTTTGGAATGCTTTGCTTGGTCCAGGAAGTAGGGGAGAAATTAAAAAAATTAACCAAAGATATGTACATGTATTTGGTTTGCTGGGAGTTTTCCAGTCTCAGAACCAAGTACCCCTGTATAATACACACAATGAATCATACTTACACAAATGCTTTGTTTTAAATTCTCAGCTTCCGCTTTCCCATAGACTCACCACAACCCAAGGGAAACCAGCATAATTGCTCCAGAAGAGATACCTGCCCCAAGGCTCTTAGGCTCAAGTCTGTCTTTTCTTGGGAGCCTGCATTCCAGCACATACTGAATAATCATCAGTGAGGCTTTCATGTTCACAGCAACCAGCATTTTTCCTGTTCATTTCATAGCTTTAAGATATGCTGATGCCAATTGAAAAGGAAGCAGGCGGATCCCACGGAAAAACAAAGACAACAGCGATGCAACACAACAGTTCTGCTTCCCTTAAAAGGAAGGTGCCTGGTTTCCTTGTTAGGAGGTGTGACAGGATGTAAATTTAAATGGATCAGTTAAAGAAGAGGCAGTGGTGGCCCCCAACTTAGGTCGCTTTTGAAGAAGATTAGACAAATTCACAGCTATTAAGGCCATCCAATGGCACTGCACTTCTGAATAATGCTGCTGGAAACTGCAGGCGAGGAGAGTGCTCTTGCTCTCAGGTCTTCCCACGGCCAGTGTGACAACAGGGCTAGATGGGCCGCGGACCTGATCCACCAGGCTCCTCTTATGTCCTTATAAAAATCTGCACCAGTTTTCCCCCTGCAATGAACCACTGGACCTACACGGTGGACCACAAAAACAGCCAAATTCCCAAGCTCTCCCCTTACCGTTTTACTAATTATTCTTCATCACACATGTATATCGGTCTCCTTCAAAGGAGCGGACAGGTTGTTCTGTGGTTCCCATTCATTTCAATAGAGATTGTGCCAGAGAATGTGTGAGGAATCGCACCCTGAGGCTCAGATCTGTCCATTCCCACTGTGCTGCACTCAGGCGCAACCCTGAAGCTGCGTCACGTCTCAGGCCAGGGGTCTCCCTGACCAGCTGCTAAACAGCAAGATACAGAACACACCTGAAGAAGCAGGACCACAAATAACCTCGCTAACTGGAGCACGCTGTGGGCCTACATTGGGGTTATCCATAAAAAGTAGAGAGGAGCTGCCCAGTGTCTTCTTCTGGTTGTACCCAGGAGAGACTTAGATATGAAGAACAGAGATGTGCCTCAATCACAGCCTCTGATCCAGATCCAATCCCCATTCTCCTTACCTGTAAGACAGGGCTGTTGTCAAAGTTGTAAGCGCTGGGCCTGCCCTCCAGCGTTGAAAAGGCCACGTTGCCCCCCGTGAGCGGAGAGATGTCACTGAACTCGTCTGTGCAAAGGGCCTGCTGTTCATCCTCCCCGGTCCTGATGAAGGCACGACTGGATTTGCGGTAGGTGTTCTCGCATGAGCCACTGTAGTACTGGTAAGGCACCCAAGGACCATCTTCCCGAGTGCGTTTGTAGATGGCAAAGCTCTCCGGCCGGCTGGTGTGAAATTTCAGGCGTACGTATGTAATATCAAAGGCCTTTCCTGTAAAAGAAGAAAAAGTGTTGAGAGTTTGAGACTAAAGCACAAGTGCAGGAAGAGAGAGAAATATCTCTTCGTTCTTTTCAAAGTCTGCAGAGTCGACTTGCTATAAATGTTTGTGTGAAAAATCAGAATGAGAAGCTATGTTTATAATATCAAAACAAAACGAAAAGGCTATGTTTGTCATACTGTAAACTTGTAAATGGTCGCTCTCCTGGTTACTTGTGGCAAGAAAAGACATTAGGCAATAGGTTAGAGGGAGTTTTAGCACACTAGATGAGAATGGACACTTCTTCCCAGCTGAAAATGTGCCACAAATGTTTGAGAGTGGTGTGCATATACAGCTTTGTCATTTTACCTGCAAGGAGTGCAACTGGTATTTATTTTAAATTTTTCATAACAGCACAACTGCCCACTCTGTCATTTTACTAAAGGAAGAATTAATCAATAGCATTTGTATCCAGCCCGTCCTCCACATGAGCTCAGTGCAGAATGAATGGAACGTATCCTTTATTTGCCAAAGCAAGGTAGGCAAGTGATATATGACCTGTCCAAGGTCCCCAGTGAATGTCATGTGGTGGACAGAGATTTTAACTCTGTGCCTAAGTACCATACTCTACCCGGGTCAACTCATGGGATGCAACTGTGGTGGTCCTTTCTTCCCCTATGCCGACAATGCCCAAGCAACTGAGGCTGAGGAGGATGAAAGAAGCACACTCCAAAAGTTAGCACTGAAGACAGGAGTCCTTGCTCCAACATAGGTCTCACTACCTCATGCGCATATGAAATGTGCAGCCGGTCTGCATGCAAGTCAATGAAACATGAGGCTTCTCCATGCATTTAATGCTTGATTTGGCCTGAAAGGAAATCTGAGGGTGCAATGTTAGTGGTCATTGGATTACACTGTAGGGTTGTACACTACTCACCCAGCACAACGTGTAATATGGAGATAAAAGGAACAGGTAACACAGCACCGTCCTAGGCCAAAGTCCCACTTCTCCAGCACCCCATGCTCACAGTGTCCAACCAAATGCCTATGGGAAGTCTGCAAGCAGAACCCGAGTGCGAAAGCACTCTCCGCATCCGATTCCCACAAACTGGTAGACTCCACCATATGGCCGTTGTTGCTGGCATCCCCTGATAACCACAAGCCCCATGCATCTGTCTAATCCCCTTCTAAAGCCATCCATGCTGGTGGCCATCAGTACATATTCTGGGGACAAAGTCCGGTTTAATTTTGTGCTGTGTGAAGAGGTTCACTGGATGACCCTGAGCATCTACATTTTCCACACCATGCACAATTTTGTACATGTTCCCCCTCTTATTCAGCCTTTTTTTCTAAACTAAAAAGTCCCAAACATCACAACTTTTCTCATAGAGCAATTGTGCCCTATAACCTCAGGGTTACTGGAAGATTCTCTCTCTGTTTCAGACCAAACCCCAACCTGCTATAAGGGGCTGATACATCTGGACAACACAGCACGGTTGCTGTGCAAACCACGTAGAAGCTGAACTACACTGCAGGGTTGTCACTCTCTGGAGAGCGCTTGCCAGACAATGCAGCGCTAGAAAGACTGTAAGGCAGCTGCCTAAGCAAAATATCTGGAACACTTGAAAGTCTATATAAAGGCTAAATAAATAAATGCTAAAAAAACAACACCCCATTGCTTTGTTTTAAAAAGGTACTTGCATAGTCTTGAGTCTCGCATAATCTTTAGAACTCCAAAAGAGCAGACATGTTTCTGTGTATGACACTGAATGAAACCACAGCAACTGGTTCAGAAGTGCAATATACGTTTCCCACAAAGATGATGGGCTCATACTTTCACTTTCCCTATAGTTGACACAGCAAAGAGGAAATGCTGGAGCCAAGCCAGAGAACTGGGAGAGTCGGGCCTCTTGTTGTGACAATCAGAGCCTTTGTTAGCTCCTCATTTCGTGCCATTATGGTTAGGATCAAGGAACTGTTTTCGACTCAACTTAGCCATCCCAGGAAGGAAGAAAAGGGGAATCCCCCTTTGATACTAATTCTTTGTAGGCAATCAAATGAAGAATAGCTTCAGGATTTAACAGCTTTAGCAAAAAGCAAACAAAAACCCCACTCTCTTCCACCCCACCCCCCACCCCCTGCCCACCTACATACATTTCCCACCCAGTTTGTGAAAAGAGGCCTCTCCATTATAGATTCTTTCCATTTGCTGGCATATCCCCAAACAGGCTCAATAAACGTCAAATAAACCAGCCATGATCAGCTTTGCATCCTAGGAACGTGCGGCACTCCAGCATTTCACTCCCTTTAGCTCAGCGGTTTTACGAAGTATCTCCCTACAGGGAACTCTTTCTTCATCAAGTTATCTGAAAAGGAACCCCAACCCACAGCAAGGTGGTTTTGGGGCACATTGGGGGGCAGCCTTGCAAATACAGGTGCAAATGCTGTTACCCCCAGAAACTTTTACCGTTTATACATTGATGGTCTGGAAACAGAACAGATGTTGGGGCACAGCCCAGGGAAAGGGAAGCACGTTTAAGGTCAACTGTTTTCAATGGCAGATAGGTAGCCGTGTTGGTCTGCCATAGTCAAAACAAAAAAAATTCCTTCCAGTAGCACCTTAAAGACCAACTAAGTTAGTTCTTGGTATGAGCTTTCGTGTGCATGCACACTGTGTATCTGAAGAAGTGTGCATGCACACGAAAGCTCATACCAAGAACTAACTTAGTTGGTCTTTAAGGTGCTACTGGAAGGATTTTTTTTGTTTTCAATGGGAAAATCCACTGGCAAGTAAGCTTGAACTTTGCCTCCATTTGTCACCTCTCTTCTAGTTACAAAAGCTTCCCTGTCTGGTCAGCTGGATGCAAGTCATAGCTTGCCACAGCCAGCCAAATGAACAGCTCTATCACCAAGGCTAGGGATAGGAACCTTTGGCTCTCCAGATGTTGCTGAACTACAACTCCCATCAGCCCCAGAAAGCATGACTAGTAGCTAGAGGTGATGGGAGTTGTAATTCAGCAACATCTGGAGGGCCAAAGGTTTCCCAAGTGAACTGCAAATGTACTCTGGAGCAACTCTGTACTCTCACATGGTTGTGAATTGCAGGGCCAGTGATAAAGGATGGAAGGCAAGATGTCTTCAGCATTTTTGGTGTTTATTCCTCAGCAAGACCATCGGTAGTAGAGGACAGTTTGAAAGGAACTGATCTATTACAGCACTGCATCAGAATTATAATAGCCCAACTGTTAGTTGGGGGATTTGTGGCCCAGTGGGAAACATGCTACTCTTGGCCTAATTTCATGAAAACCTCAGCATCCTCTGGCTCTTTGAAAGCCGCATGCCTACAGTCCTTCCTAGAAATCACTTCTGCTTCGTATTTGTGTGTATATGCATAGAAATGCACGGGGTGTTAGAGGAGGGGTAGTGCCTCTGGTGGGGGACATGCTCCACCACTGGTCCCCACTCTGCACTCAGCTCTCAACTGTGACTTGTAGAAACTGTCAGCATTCAATAGCAGCCGCATGCCAGGAACGGCTTGGACTAGGCTAACCAGGTGAGGGTAGCAAATGAGTTTCAAATCCTTGGTGATTTAGAAACTGCATGTGAAGATAGACTCCAGCCAATTGAGTGGAAGAGACCAGTAGTGGGTCTAACGGTCAAGAAGGCAGTTTCTGCACATGCTGTAGAGGGAAGTGAGGAGCAGGTGGGCCCTGTCAACCTAGGAAGGTAACCCACCGAGGAGAAGGAAAACACTGATCCTAAACGTTTGCTGCCTTGCAGCTATACTCATTTGTGGGAGCGGCTTTGGGAGTAAACCCTGAGGAACAATCTGAACCCACTGACTTGTGGGACATCTTTTGGAGAAGAAAGGGCTCAGGAGTAAACCCAACGCAAATCCTGAGTAGAGTCCCTACGGCAGTTGGCGGGTGTCTTGTAGGTCTCCTTCTGGCAACTCCTGCAAAGAATAGGAGCCAGGGCTATGGGGACCTTGCCCCCCCTAAAATATTTGAGGGGGCTGGAGCCCCCCAAAGTTGATGGGCATTGCCATTCAAATGGTGTGCATGCACCACATCATGTGATCAATTATGTGGGGCAGGGCTTACCTTATTCAGGTTGGCACCCCTGCAACCACACGGGTGCCAAACACCTTGCTCTGCTTTCCTCACATCCGTGAGGCTGAGAGGGGGATCTCATCATCTAGGCCAGTGTTTCCCAACCTTGTGCCTCCAGCTGTTTTTAGCCTACAATTCCCATCATCCCTTGCCACTGGTCTTGCTAGTCAGGGATGATGGGAGTTGTAGTTCAAAAACAGCTGGAGGCACAAGGTTGGGAAACACTGATCTAGGCAGCCCAGGACCTCCAAACATTCTGCCCAGGCTTGTCCCCTGGCGGGAGTTCACTTTGGTGCTGCTAATGCAGCATGAATGTGATAAAGGAAGAAATACATGTAATCCTGCAACAATATACTCTCTACCCTCGCTAGCTGCAGCCTAAAGTTCCTTAAGTGGGGAAAAGGGTCTCCCCAGCAAAAAGGCAATGGAGCAAAATACTTAAAATTATGAGGCATGTTCTCGACCGTATCAGCTGGGCAGTGCGGATGGCACATTTTTGAAGGGGTGGTGCTGAGAAAGTGACAGAAGGAAACCAGCTTTCATTTATGCATTTATAATGGACATGGAGAATCCATTATAAGAGCTCCAAGAGTTACATGTGGGGGTGTAAAACAAAAACCCCACCCTCCTTTTTGAACTGGGAATGAAATGAGCATTCTTAAGCTTCACTGTTCAAGAACACTGGCACTTCTGTTAAGAGACGCTTCAAGGAATTTTCTTTAGGAAGAGCTTGCTAGACAGCCTTCCACCACAGTTGTAGCAACAGGGGATGGTGCTTATTGTTTTCAGATTTTACAGTGGAGCACACTGGCTGCCATTCCTCAGTCTGGGTGGATAACTAGGAATTATTTTTATTTTTTGTCAACGGCCTCCTGAAAAGCTCAAGACAAATGACTCCTGTG